TATCTCTGCAACTTCTATTATATTTGCAAACTATTTGTGTAAGACATGTTCTTTCTAAAAAGTCTTCTTTATAGAAAATAAAAGAATTTATTTATTCTGTTGCCATAGACACACTCTTCGTTGCTGTCTCCACCCATTTTTTATTTTTTTATTAGTCTTTTTTTTTAATCTGCTTTTTTAAAGTACTTTTTTTATATAACTAAAAAGAATTAGTTGTTTCAGTTGCCATAGACACTCGCCCTCTCTTTTCTTTTTACTTCTTTCTTTCTCTTTTACTCTTATACTTGCAAATGTTCCTGGTAAGGTGCTTTTTTTCTTTATTTTTCTTTATTAGTAATTTCTTCAAATATAGCTGAGTAATAACAAGTATTTCTGCTACCATAGTCACTTGTGTATAGTTTCCTTCTGATGCATTCTCTTCACAATGGCCATCCGGATTAGCCAAGGTTAGTAAATATACTTCATACTATCATCTCATAAAAGTATCCTGATTTTTTCCTTTCTTTTTTATAGGATATATCACCAAAAATATTTTCTACAGCTAAACACGACCACCAACACAATAATATTTTCATCTATTTATTTATTATATTTCTCTTTAATATTAATCAAACTGAATCCAATTTTTACTATAGATGAACAACCCTCTCCAAAACATGTTATGAATCAAAAGCTTCTACCTCATGCTGCTGTCATTAACATGGTAAGACTTTTTTTTGTTCTTTTACTATCCTTATATGTATCATTATATTACTTATACTGTTTATTAATAAAAAAACTACCAGATACTATATCGACTTTTGATAAGTATTATCTATATCTACAAATAAATCCGTTTGCTTTGGGTATGTAAATTAATAATTATATGACCCAATTCACAAAAATTAATTTTTTTCAATCATTTTCATAGTCAAAGGAATCAAAATTCCGTAGCTTTACTTGTAATATTTTATTGGTTGGTCTTTGTACTGGATAATTACAATGTAAGTATTAATGGTTTATAAGAATTGAAATATCCAACACACACGCACACCCATCACTAACGATTTATCTATTCTCAAAGAGTACTGCTCGTACCCCAAAAAAAACGTATTGAGCAGCTCATTTTTTTTTAGGTATTTCTTTTTTGTAAAAAATTTTTTATCCCAAATATAACAAACCGACCAAGCAAGAAGTAGCTAGAGATATAGAATAGTATTATTAGATCTGAAACCTAGAAACATTCTATTCTTTCCAATAAAAATAAAAGCGTAAACCATTACCAACCTAATAAGAACGGGAAACCAAATAAATAAAGAACATATTACTGGTCCATAATTTTAAAGACGCCTTTTTTTGCTGCTGATGACCAAACTTCTTAACAATAAACTAACTTAAAGGTCACCTTTACGCTACTTTTAATCTTCATAATATGTCGGTGTCTGATCTTTATGGTTCCATATAAAGAATATCAAAATAGATACGCAGTTTTAAAAAACTTTCTTTTTATATATCAAGTCAGATAAGTATATCTAAAGTGCTAACAAACCTTACCTGCGGCACCCCCCACCCACAATTCCGCTAGTTGACTCTAGTCATTCCACTATCTGTGAAGGTCACCTTCAGCACAAGTGGAAAAAAAATCAACTAATTTAAATATGGAAAGCACATTACACTATACCCCATATTTAAACTACCTTATTTTTTTTAATTTTTCCAGTGCGATGTTTTAGTTTATATATCATTTTTCTTATGCTATTGGTAGAAAAAAAAAGTTTTTTATTGGTAGTAATAAAAGAGTTTTCTCTTTATATGGTCACTCATAAAATACTTTGGTCATATTATTACTTTTAATTAGATAATTGAAACTTTATTGCAGTATGAAAATTTATATTATTGGTCATTTTAACAAAAACATTACTTCAATTAACCCTCATTTATATATATTCTGTTTCATTTACAAATTTAATTGGGTAAAAAGATTTTATTTTGTAAAAGATTATTATTTAAAAATGTTTTTATTGGTTGTTATAATAATAAAAGTCTTTATTTCTGAATATCATTGGCCAAATATCATTCAGATTATTTCATATCTTCATATTTAATATATAATTTAATGTACTTAACGAACATAAACTTACTAGAAGGTTGTTGCTTCACATGGTTTTTCTATGAATAACAGACTTTTGGAAGAGATGTTCAGCTTTTGTGACATCCAGTAAAGCCAACATCACTTCGTTTGAGTGAGCATATATGTTTGGCATATATCAAGTTCTTCTCATCTTGAGAAATAGACATCCTATCTGGATTTGGTTCTAAAGCTTATACAGAAAGATTGTCAGCCATTTTATCACATATCAGACATGTACAAGTATTAATAATTGCTTTGCGTTTTTCTTGTTAAGTTCAACCCTAAGATTCTGACTCATCATTCTAAAGTTATATTTCAAAGTTATAGATTTAATACAGGCAATAGTCTTGGAATTGGGACAGCAAGAGTCTATATTACTTTATATTAGTTTACATGTCTTTTTTTTGTTTTATTATTTCTTACATCATAGTCTGAGGTTGGCTCCTCACATGTGCATCCATTCGTAACATTATGTAGTTTGGTGATCTCCAGTTATAGATTTGCTTGTTTCTTTTGTAGTGCTTCTTGCGTAAATTTAAGTAACTGGATGATTTTTATACAGATATTATTCATAATAATGACAATAAAACCAGATGTAAGGGTTTGTTATGAATAAAAAGAAAAATAAGAGAAAAGTTCACGTCATTATTAGCATCATATATTTTGTACAAATGTATTAGTTAGTTTTTTATATGAAATATTAATATAGTAATTTTACAATGATGACATACGGTTCATTATTTAATTTTTTTAGTGTGCCTTTGAATTGTCTTTACAAATTTTATTCAAGTAACAAAAGCTTAGATATTTTCTTTCTTTTTACGTCTGATATCCAATATTTCTCAATTGCTCTATATACTTACTATAAATGTAATATCTATAATTAAAATATATATTTGTTTCTTCTGAGATCTAACTTTTGGTAGTTCACTTGCTTTTTATTGCCCATTTCAAAGAACAGAGATTTGCATGTTTCATTTTGTATTTTTGGTGACTTTTTAATTATTATAGACCAAAAATGAAGTCACAAATTCGAAAAAGACCACTTTTTTCCTATAGTGCTGGATAACTAGCATCTAAGACATATTGACGTAGCTATTCTTTTAGTCAGAAATCAAGTATCAATTCGTATAAATAGTCAAGAAATATATTTAATAAAAAATATCTTTATTCTTATCTAAAAACTATTCATAAACTTGACATTCCCCAGTGGTATTAATTCTGCGACTTAGTTACAAGTGCCAGAAAAGAAATACCAGATTGAGACTTGATATAGCATCCGTTTCCATCTAATTAGACCCCATTGACATCTGATTGACTTCCATAGAAATTGAATTTGCATCCATTGCTAACTGAATTTGCTCCCATTGCCATCTGAATTTGCTCCCCCCTTTTATTATTGGTGGAAGGGTACATGGCACTCAATTTTTTTATCCTTATGCCTTACAATTTTTTTATATAACTATAGTATTTTTTTTTCAAACGTTGTACTTTTTTTTTGTAAATGTCATATTTTTTTTTATAACCATAGAATTTTTTTTTGTAAACCTTGTATTATTTTTATAGAGCTGTAGTATTTTTTTTGTAAATGTTGTATTTTTTTAATACAACTGCCATATTTTTTTATATACATGCCAAACGCCTAATGTAATAGCACTTCAATATATGTAAATCTTTCTATAAAGATATAGCATAGAAAATATCTATAGAGAGAACTAACAGAATATACAAACTGTTGTAAATGAGTATTGACTACTGCTGTAATTGAGAATAAGTCTGAAGGAAACAATATAAGGCCTCAGCTATTCCAGTCAAAGGTGTCTACCAATTACTTTATTATTTAACACACAGGTTTAGCATGCATGATAGTGATTATATTTCATATGATGATATCACCATAATATGGGATACATCAGTGGATTATTATAAGCATAATTATAACTCGTAAACACATTTACTTTCGATGTTAATACTTCATTGGGACTACACACATTTATATAATTAATCATACATTAATTATCCCAAGATCACGTTGCTCTGATTAAGGCTCAGATAGGATCGATTACCTGACTCCAGTCATATAATTTTCCCAATCCAAAACAATATAAATAGCAGTAGTAGTTCAGTGTAGGAACCTGACCAAACTTTGATACCAAATCTTTCTCAATAAACAAAACCTACACAAGTTCTCACGAATCTTCATTCCTAATCTCAAATCTTCAATTCTTCCTCTTAAAAACTTCTTCAACTTCAACCACCACAACAGATGGCATGCTTGAAGTAACACTTTGGTATTGGTAAGTCGCATCTGATCAAACTTGAACTGATGAAATGTCTCAAAAAACCGCTTGAGCTTGGTATTGCTATGAAAATTCAGTGTGATGGGGATGCTGACAAAAAGAGAATTTTTTGATAAAGCAGGTAAAGAGGACGACTGAGGATGATGTAAATGTAAAAGTGATAGCAGGCAACCAGACAGAAGGGATTGAGCACAAATACAGAAATTGGATATCAAAATATCAGAGCAAAACTGCATGCTTGGCAAATTGCAAATATGTTTCAGTACTGCAGTAGAAGAAGTAGCATGACCACCAACAATCATACGCAAACATTTGTCTTGAATACGTTCTATCTCAGTATAATCTTTTTTGCGTAGAATAGTGATGGCTAAACCATACTCAAATATGGGGCGAACAAATGTCTTGTAAAGTCTGGAGCTCAAAAGCAAAGAGAATCCAGAGCGACAAGCACCAACAGAATTCAGATTGGACATTGTAGCAAGTGTGCCAGAATGATGATGAGAAACTACAGAAGGCCCACAAATACCCTTGTTGCGGAATGGGACACCCAAGTAAATAAATTCCTGAACTGCAGGAAGAAGTTCACCATAAATAGATAGCTGTTGCTGGTGAGGAGATCGAAAAGAAGGGTATACAATTGCACATTTAGATGGGCTCCAACAATATCCAAGCAAAAAGGAATGCTGAGCTGCAAGGTTGACCATATATTGGACATCTGCAGGTGATCCAAATATAGCCACATCGTCAGCAAAAAGGAGCGAATTGATGGGTGTAGAAGATAGGACATATCCAAAGCCATTGACACCAGAAGGAGAAAGAAGAGAATTATAGGTGTCCAAAGAAGATGGCGAAGTTGAGGGAACATGTGTAGAGGTGAATGGTAAAGCAACTGTGCAAAGGAGAGGTGGCAGAGAGTTGATATATATAGAATACAGATGAGGGCTGAGGACTGAACCTTGGAGGACTCCAGTGGCAGGCGAAATTGATTGTGAGGAAAAATTTCCAAGATGAATAGAAATTGATACATTGTCAAACATATTGACCAAAAGTCCAAGCAGAGCAGGTGGAGCACATCGTTGGGAAAGAGCATGCCAAATGACGCACCGATCTACAGTGTCATATGCTGCTTTAATATCGAGAAAAGCAACAACTGGGTAGTGGTGATGACGATGAAAATGGGCTTTCATCAAGTCATGCAGGCAGAGAGCTTAGTCAAGAGCACTATGACGAAGACGAAATCCACCTTGGGCAACATCTAAAGGAGGAGAATATCTGTGCAATTCAGAGGCTATGCACATCTCAAACAACTTACGGACAACAGATGTAAGAGAGATGGGGTGGTAGTTTGCTGCATCCAAATGGCCTCCCTTCTTAAAGATTTGAAACACTTGGGCATGGCGCCAAAGAGAGGGGGTGTATGACCATTGCCAACAAATAGTAAAAAGACAGGCAAGAAGAGGTGAGATGTGAGACCGAATGGGCTTTAGCATTTCTAAATGGATGTGGTCAGGACCCGGCGCCTTATGGTTAGGCATAAATTGCATGAAGGCCTCCACCACTGATGAGGTAAATGGGAAGTCAACAGAGGCAAAAGGCATGAGAGAAGTGTTGAGTGGTGGTGGTGAAGATCGAATGTCAGGAAGAATATGTCCACTATAGACTGATGTGAGATGGTCACACATGACTGATGCTGCTGCTGCTGGGCCATCATCATGCTGGAACGTATGCTGAGGCTGCATGCACCGATTCAACTGTTTTATCTTAGATGTGGCCTTGTTGAAATCCGAGTTCATTGAGCGGCAAAAAGCATGCCAAGACAAATGCTTTGCTGTCTGAACTTGCTGACGAAACTCCTTGTGTGCATGCTGGTGCCGGCTCTACCAATTGATCTTGTCAATGCCACAAGCTTGACGCCATTGCTTGTAACAACCATCTCTATGGTCAGCTGCAGCTTGCAATGCAGGGGTCCAAAACGATTTCCAATGTGAGGGGCGGGGGGGGGGCAAGAACTAATTGAGCTATTAAGAGAGTCATAAATGAGTGCATTGAAAGAGTTAGTAAGAGCATCAATGGGTGGACATATAGTTGGCGGATTCTGAACAAGGTCTTGTAGTGTGGTGAGAAGGGAGGCGGATTTGGTGACAAAGATGGTGACATATAATGATCTGATATCATCTTCATAAAGATGTGACAGATTCCAAGTTTGGCACATAGGTGGAGGTGCTGGTGGTGAGTGTTGCAGGTCATAAGTAAAGGAAAGTGAGAGAAGTCGGTGATCAGAGCCTAAAGATAGTTTGGTTGCAATGTGTAAAGAAGGGTTGGCAAAGTTGGTGTTGGTGATAAAAAGGTCAATGATGCTGCTGATTTCAACTTCATTACGAAAGGAAATGTATGTGGGTGTGCATGGTGAGAGAACTCTATTGAGGACAGTTAAAGATCGTTCTTCAAGCCATTGCTCTAAAGCTACACCACGAGGGTTAGATGCATAGTCACCAGTTACTGAACCAAGGTGTGCATTGAAATCTCCACATATAATGGTATCATCAGTTAAAGGAATGGCTGAGATGATATCAAGAGCTTCATGAGTGAGCATAGAGGGTGGTAAGTAAAGGCATATAAGTCGAAGGGTACCAATCTTGATAGTAAGAGCATAGTTGTTGGGCATAGGTATTTGTGTGACAGCATAAGGACAGGAAAGAGAGACTAACAATGACACCCCCATCGATCCGTGGTAGTTGCCAGCAACAAGAGATCCATAGAGATGAAACTGAAACCATGAGATTGGAAGACGGGCTGGGGATAAGAGTCATGTTTCAGTTATAAAAAGCATATGAAGAGATTGACAGTGGTTGAGCACGTCTTTAATTGCACGAGGTTGAAGTCAATTAGCATTCCATAATCCTATTGAAAGGTCACTCGTTCAATCATAGCAGTGAGAGCATCAAGGGCATGTTTTTTGTTTGGAGCATCACCAAAGTGCTCAGCTACTAGTCGGGCAGGAATTTCCTCAAGTCCAATCCATTCTGACTGGACAAAGAAGTGAGCAACTGGCAGAACTAAGTGAGAACGCAAAAACTTGAGAGCTTGAAGACAGTGGGCATTTTGGAGAACCAAAGCCTGGGTTTCAAGACCAGAGACAGACAAGTTGGCAAACTTGGGATCAGCAACATTTTTAGGATCAAGTGGATCAAAGTTGTTGACAAGAGAGACCTTAGCACTAGCTAATTGGGACTTAAATTCCTCAAGATACTGCACATGAACAAGAATTCCAATAACTCCATGAGCAGGAAAGTTAATATCTAACAGGTGACCAGTGTCAACACCAAGAGTGCGGAGAGAGCGGTGCACTTCACTGTGCATAATACGGCGTGAGCAAGAAATATAAACATATTCAAAATTATCAGGACCAGTTTTGTCAGAGAACAGTCTTTGAGAGGCAGCAACTCGGTGGGCAGAAGGAACTCGAGGTGTCTTGGCTGGCAGAATCAAGCTTGTTTTGGTAGCCCAAGTGGAGGCAGCAGTTCCAAGATCTGCAGTTGACTGGTGTGCAGGAAGAGAAGCAGAGCTGGGAACAGGACCAGTCACATTGTTTTGCAACAATTGAGATTGGAGATCAGCATTCTCCTGCCAGACATTAGCTAATTAAGCATGCAATTGGACATTTTTGGCAGCAAGAGATTCCAAATGTGCTGTACGTTCGTTAAGTGCATTGAACTGTGACTGCATACTGGTTAAAAACGTCACAAGTTCGGCTGGCAGACTTTGCATGCAATTAGCAGGCAACAATTGCGACATGTTTGGCAATAATCTTGAGATGGCAGCAATCGGCAGAGAAAAAGTGAAAATTGATGATAAAATGGCAGGAACGATAGGAAAATTTTTTTTTGACAATGGATGTGGTGGTGGGAAGGGTAGATGTGTTGTGTTTAACAATGGATGCAATACTTGAAGCAATATTTTGGATGGATTGATAATAGAATTGCATGGATACAAACTTTCACAAACTCCAATAAAACAAAGTAAAGTTTACATAAAAGAGAGCCCGCTTAGCTCAGTTGGTTAGAGCGTGGTGCTAATAACGCCAAGGCCACAGGTTCGACCCCTGTAGTGGGCATACATATATTTTTGCAATTTTCATTTTGTCGTTCCTGATCTGGGATAGTCTTCCTTTTACTATAGCAAAGTCAAAAGGTCAAACCCACTGGGGATCGGAGAGTATATGTAAAATCGAAGAGAGGATAAAAGGTACTTTTTATTGAGAGGAATTGAATTGTCTTATATAGTTTTCTAAACTAATACTGTACATTATCCGCAATAAACTGTTATACTCTATTTAATTACAAGAGAAGTCCTTTTACTGCGGTTGATGCTCAGAAGATGTTACTGTGATTAATCTTTACAAGACATTACTGCAGTTCGTTATCTATGAGATATCTTTAACACACAGAACTGCTGCGGTCAATTATCCCGATTTCTTGGATTCATCAAAATAATGTCCAGCAATTTTGTCCTTGATCTGATTGTCATTCCCAATCTAGATTGGTCTTCTTTTTTGTCAAGTCTCAATCTGGTATTTCTTTTCTGGCACTTGTAACTAAGTTGCAGAATCAATACTACTAGGGATTGTCAAGTTTATGAATAGTTTTTAGATAAGAATAAAAATGCTTTTTATTAAATACATTTCTTCACTATTTATACAAAATGATGTTTGATTTCTGGCTAAAAGAATAGTTACAATAATATGTCTTAGATGCCTGTTGTCCAGTAATATCTTCTACAAGTATATTCACCATCTTAAACATCTAAAACATATATGAAATACCAATTAGCAAAAGTCAAAATCTTTTATCCTAAAAAGTCAACTCTTACTGATTGCTTATAACTATCGATTTTGTTCACCAATGTCAACTCTGACAGAGACTTGACATTATAGCATTAGAAGAACAACCCAGATCAAAAACGACAGCACCCTTCCGTACTTTAGCAAAGTAAAAGTATAAAAATGTAAAGCACATTACTTTCATTTGCCTTCTGCCAGAATTGAACTGGCGACCTTCTGCTTACTAGGCAGACGCTCTGCCAACTGAGCCAAGAAGGCACTGCTCTTTCGCTTAAGCATTTTATTTGCCTGGTTCCCAAATTTTATTTTTGACGAATCCACATATAAAGTGTATCCATCCATCAACATCTTTACGCAAAACGATCCATCCATCACGAAAAACGTACCTCCCATTGCCAAAAGTAGTGCAGTCCTTGTCCTTGGTATCCCAGCTGTCAGTAAAAAAATTTCAGCTCAATCAGACAACATCACGCCATCTGCATTCTCAATCCCAATGGCCAATTTGCAAATCGGCAACATGCAGGGATTGCCAACTGAGCTTACCTCATTCCTGACAACATTGCAGGCACAAATCATGAATGTGCAAAACAGAACCGACCAGTTGGAGCGACTTGCAGCAGAGAATGCAAGACTAACTACTGAATTAGACCATGCTAGAACAACAATTGCTAATCTGCAGAAGCAATTAGGATCTCAGAGTGCACCTGAAAAAAACTTTTCAGAAATTTCACTTTCGAACCCAGCCGGAGCAGTAGGTGCTCCTGACAAAAACAAAGAACCAGGTCTGGAAGCCTCCACTTGGGCTACTAAAGCCAGTGTTTCTCTTCCTGTAACTGCCCCAAAAATGTCTACTGTTCCCTCTGCTCGCCGTATTGCAGCTTCTGTTCGTATGTTTGCTCTTCCCTCTGGTCCTTCAGGTTATGAATATGTTTATATTCCAAGATCAAGACGCCTTAAGCACAAAGAAGTCCGTTCCTCTCTCCACACTCTTGGTGTGGATTCTTCTCGACTTTTGGACATTAACTTCCCAGCCAGAGGTGTCATTGGCATCCTTGTTTATGTCCAGTATGCTGATACATTTAAGGCCAAACTGACAACTGCTTCTGTTGAGATTTTGGACGCATTTGATCCCCTTGATCCTGATAATGTTGCTGATCCCAAGTATGCATCTCTGTCCACTCATGAACTTGCCAACACTGCTGCCATGCTTCACCATGATAGATGTCTCCAAGCCCTACAGTTCTTGCGCCCACACATTGCTATCCCAGTTGGTCACTTCTTTTGTGAGGAAGGGTGGATCAGTGAAGATGAAATACCAACACGTACTACTCTTACCAATGCTACTGGCGGGTCTTTGTTCAAACGTCAGCGCAGCTCATCAGTCACTATGTCTGAATGAGTAATCTCAATATCAGATTATGGAATGCCAATGGCCTGCAACCCAGAGCCATTCAAGATACCCTTCAACACTGTCAGTCCTTACATATGCTCTTCATTACAGAAACATGGCTTCTCTCTCCCTCACATCTTCCCACATCATGGTCACAAATTCACTTGTATGGGTCTCCCGTAGCTGGCACCTATAGGGGCTCTATGGGTGTTTCTGTTCTCATATCACCTCACTGTCCTTATGCCGTCACTCAAATACCTATGCCCTCCAAATATGCTCTGGCTGTCAAAATTGGCTCACTCAGAATTGTATGCTTATATCTTCCACCAAATATGCCCACTCATGATGTCCTACATGTACTCTCTTCCATTCCTTTAACACATGATACCATTCTTTGTGGTGACTTCAATGCAAGACTTGGCTCTGTTACTGGTGACTATGCATCAAATTCTCGTGGACTGGCACTATGTTCTTGGATAGAAGAGAGATCTCTATCAGTTGTAAATGCAGATCTTGCACCTTGCATACCAACATATATTTCTTTCCGCAACAACTATGAAATCAGCAGTATTATTGACCTCTTTATAACTAATATGCCACTCATCAATCCTTCTCTTCATATTGCTACTGACTTGTCTCTTGGATCAGATCATCGCCTTTTATCACTTTCCTTTACCTATGATCTACAGCACTCTACCAATATGCCACCACCATTACGCAAGACATGGAACCTCTCACGCCTCAATGAACCTGATGTCCATGCTCTTTATGCTCATACCTTCAATCAAAACTCGACCTCCCTCCTTTCCACCTTGCAAGACATTGTACAGAATCCACCACTCACTAGACCCAACATTGATGCTATCACTGATGAGTTCAATTTACTCATTTATGACTCATTAAATAGCTCAATTGGACATCGACCCTCTCGCCCAAATCATTGGAAATCCTTCTGGAATGTAGCTTTGCAAACAGCAGCAGATCGTCGTAACCAATGTTACAAAAAATGGCGCCTAGCAATAAGTATTGACAAAGTTGTTTGGTGGACTAAACACAAGCATGCACAGGCCGAATTCCGATCTCAGGTTCAGCAAGCAAAACGTCAGTCTTGGCATGTCTTTTGTCAGTCTATGGAACGTGACTTCAGCAAAGCAACATCAAAGATAAAGCAGTTAAAACGCCGTAGACAGCCGCAACATACTTTCCAGCACGATGATGGACCAGCCGTAGCAGCAGCAACAATGTGTGACTATTTGGCAACAGTATATAGTGGACATATACTTCCAGCAACCCGACCACCAGCACCAATGACCACTTGTAACAGTGTGCCTTTTGCCTCTGATGACTCTCCCTTTACCTCACCAATTGTAGAGGAATTCATGCAATTTATGCCTAACCGCAAGGCACCAGGACCAGACCATATCAGAGCTGAAATGCTAAAACCTGTAAAAACACATGTCTCACCCATTCTTACTTTATTATTTACAGTTTGCTGGCAATGGTCATATGTTCCAAGTTTGTGGCGCCAAGCCCAGGTCTTCCCAATCTTCAAGAAGGGTAGTCCAACTGACCCGGCAAACTACCGACCAATCTCCTTGACCTCTGTACTGCGTAAGCTTTTTGAGATGTGTATAGCCCCCAGTTGCACAAGTACTCTCCTCCTTTGGATGTGGCTCAAGGTGGTTTTCGTCCTCGCCGTGGTGCTTTGGATCAAGCTCTCTGTCTCCATGATCTGATGAAAGCCTATTATCACCGTCATAAGCACTACCCTGTTGTTGCATTTCTGGATATCAAGGCTGCCTATGATACAGTGGATCGACGAATCATCTGGCATGCTTTACAAAAACGTTGCACTCCACCGGCACTTTTGGGTCTCTTGGTTAACATGTTTGACAATGTCTCTATCTGTGTCCTTTTGGGTAACTTTTCTTCACACTCGTTCTCACCTGCCACTGGGGTTCTCCAAGGTTCTGTCCTCAGTCCACATCTGTATTCAATATATATCAACTCCCTGCCCCCATTGCTCCGCACAGTTGCTCACTCACAAACTACAACCCATGTTCCATCACCCTCTCCTACCTCATTGGATGCATATAATGCTCTTCTTGCTCCTTCAGGTGTAGATGGCTTTGGACATATTCATTTCTCAACACCCATCAATTCTCTGCTCTTTGCCGACGATGTAGCTATTTTTGGTTCTCTTTCAGACGTTCAGGCCATGCTAGACCTTGCTGCAGACCACTCTCTTACTCTTGGATATCGATGGAGCCCCACCAAATGTGAAGTTATATATCCCAAAACACGTGCAAGCTCGCCAGTTTCTCTTCTTTTATATGGTCAAGTTCTCCCTGCCACTGACCTGTTTATTTATCTGGGTGTTCCTTTTGCCAATAAGGGTATTTCTTCCAAGTCCATTGCCACTCATAGACGTTCTGGTACACTCGCTACAATGGCAACCCTAAACTCTGTTGGTGCTTGTCGTTCTGGTTTTTCTCTGCTGCTCAGTTCACGATTGTATAAGACCTTTGTCCGCCCAAAGTTTGAATATGGTTTGGCGATCTCCACTCTACTGAAACAAGATATCAAAGTGCTGGAGTCCATTCAAGATAAGTGTCTTCGCATGATTGTTGGGGGGCATGCCACGTCCTCTACAATTGTGTTAAAGCACATCTGCAATCTGCCAAGTATGAAGTTTCGTGCCGATGCTCTTATGGCCAAGTTCTGTATAAGATCACGCTTTTTGCCAGCCCAGTGCCTTCTGTCTCTTTTGCACCGTCATCATACCGTCTATTCTTCACTTGTCTCCTTGGGAAAAACCCATCTTCTGTCCAATCTCCCTCCAACACTCAAACTTCGAAGCCCTAGTGCTGTAAAAAATCATTTTGAAAGCATTAGAGAAGCTGGATTTGCAACCTTTCTCCAGTCCAATACGCAAGTTCTCATTCAAGCATGCCGCCCAGTTCTTGGAGTTGATCCAATCTTGTTTTTGCCAGCCTCACGTGTGGAACGTAGCCGTTTGATTCGTTGGAGAATGGGGTGGTTACCAGGCAAACCAAAGGAATGTCCTTGTGGATCAGATCACACCTCACGCCGCCATTTGTTGGATTGCCCACTTGTTCCTATGGCACTATTTGAACAGTTGCCTCAACCTGACCAAGATCAGATACACAGAATTGATTTTGCCATCACATCCTTGCCTTTGTCATCTCAAGAACCGCGACCTGCTTACTGGATACCACTGCTGACTATTCTCTGGCACATAGATGTTATATGTAATCCTGATGGTGACTATTCACATGAGACTGAACATGGTGCTCTTTGGATATAATTTAGACTTTTTCTTTTCTTTCATAGCTCTTCACTTCCCATTGTTCTTTACTCCCTTTATCTCTCTTCTTTCTCTTTTGTTCTTTGCTGTCTGAAAAGTTCTTTGTTCTGCAATTCTGTCTCCTCCCTTTCACTGTTACAACTATTTTCACAGCTGCAAAGTGGAGAGCAGATTCAGCCATTGAAGCTAGTATGATTTGATCTTCTCTTTCCCCTCTCTTTTTTTTGTCTTTTGTGATCCCTTAGGACTTTTTTATATCTTCTTTTTGTACTTTGGAGGCTATATGATCTATAGATCGCCAGCAATATCTCCTTTAATAAAATATAATCTTTAACCTGAGCCAAGAAGGCACTGCTCTTTCGCTTAAGCATTTTATTTGCCTGGTTCCAAAATTTTATTTTTGACGAATCCACATATAAAGTGTATCCATCCATCAACATCTTTACGCAAAACGATACATCCATCACGAAAAACGCACCTCCCATTGCCAAAAGTAGTGCAGTCCTTGTCCTTGGTATTCCAGCTGTCAGCAAAAAAAATTTCAGCTCAATCAGACAACATCACGCCATCTGCATTCTCAATCCCAATGGCCAATTTGCAAATCGGCAACATGCAGGGATTACCCACTGAGCTTACCTCATTTCTGACAACATTGCAGGCACAAATCATGCATGTGCAAAACAGAACTGACCAGTTAGAGCGACTTGCAGCAGAGAATGCAAGATTAACCACTGAATTGAATCAAGCTAGAACAACAATTGCTAATCTGCAGAAGCAATTAGGATCTCAGAGTGCACCTGAAAAAAACTTTTCAGAAATTTCACTTTCGAACCCAGCCGGCGCAGTAGGTGCTCCTGACGAAAACAAAGAACCAGGTCTGGAAGTCTCCACTTGGGCCAGTAAAGCCAGTGTTTCTCTCCCTGCTATTGCACCAAAAGCACCTACTGTTCCCTCTGCTAGCCATATTGCAGCTTCTGTCCGTATGTTTGCTCTTCCCTCTGGACCTTCTGGTTATGAATATGTTTATATTCCACAATCAAGACGTCTTAAGCACAAAGAAGTCCGTTCCTCTCTCCGCACTCTTGGTGTGGATTCTTCTCAACTTTTGGACATTAACTTCTCAGCCAGAGGTGTCATTGGCATCCTTATTCATGTCTAGTATGCTGATGCCTTTAAGGCCAAACTGACAACTGCTTCTGTTGAGATTTTGAACGCATTTGATCCACTTGACCCTGATAATGTTGCTGATCCCAAGTATGCATCTCTGTCCACTCATGAACTTGCCAACACTGCTGCCATGCTTCACCATGATAGATGTCTCCAAGCCCTACAGTTCTTGCGCCCACACGTTGCTATCCCAGTTGGTCACTTCTTTTGTGAGGAAGGGTGGATCAGTGAAGATGAAGTACCCACACATACCACTCTTACCAATGCCACTGGTGGGTCATTGTTCAAACGTCAGTGCAGCTCATCAGTCACTATGTCTGAATGAGTAATCTCAATATCGGATTATGGAATGCCAACACTGCAAAAGGAGGGTGGATTCGGTCGAATTTTATTTTTTGAATTTTGGCAAAACTTGAAAAAATATTTCAAACACCATTGTTTTTCAGTATATTTTTTTCTTGATATGTGAATTCGCAATTTTTTCTGATTATATTAAATAAACACAGATACAAACACAAATATTTATTAATTAGGCAATAAATCGCACAATTGTTTTAAAAAATATATGTTTTGATTGACTGGGCAGAAAAATAAAAAATAAAAATAAAAACTTAAATGTTAAATGTAGTATTTAATTATTTTTCTGGAAGGAAAAACTTGTTGTTACAGATGCACCTAATTTAGACTCAATAATATTTTTATTGCATTGCAAAAAATACCAATTTTTATTAGAATATAATAATGTATGATGTATGACTTATTTTTAATAAGAAAGTATATCAAAAAAATACAAGAAAAAGAAAATCCAAAAAAGACCACTTGCCAAAATGAGCAAGAATTGATGTCATGTTAAAAAAACGCGAAAGAGAAAAACTACGCCATTATATCAGTGATTATTAAATTGAAGCCCCATTAATAATCAGGCACACTTTTTTTAAAAAAAGATTGCTGCATCAAAATCCATTTGTAATTCTTACTAATAGGGATAGTAAGCTCAATGTAGTCAATGACATAGTGAACAAGATATATCAAGTCATTATTAATGACAAAAATAAGAGACATATAAAAGATGAAAATAAAATATAGTATACACCTCTTTATTATTTTATTATTATTAATATTATTCTTACTGCTATGAATTCTACAACTAAAATCTACACTGTTATGTGTACATGTTCATCATGTACCAAAAATGCAATTGACGGAATTTTGCAAAATGCACAGACCTTTAAGCGTCATAATAATGCTGATAAGTTATTAGACATTGGCCCAAAAAATTGAGGTAAATGAGATTTGAGTGATACGCGCATTACTGGATAAATTGTAATCTAATATTTTTTTTGTTAATTATCAGTTAATACACAAGTTGTCAAAGAAGATACAAATGTTGAGATGGTAGATGTATCTGAAACATCAATTGATTGTGAGTATAAATTTTTTTTTTAATAAATCATAATTTAGATAGCTAATAGTCTGGTTTTACTATAGATGAAGACAATTATTCTATTGTATCAGCCAAAACTACTGTACAGAGTGTACCTTTTTTGAGAGAAGATGAGATTTTTCAATTCGAAGAGTCTGATGTTGAGACAACATTATTGGCTTCTGACAATGACGATCCTGATTCAAGCGATGAGTCTGAAGATGAGAGCGAAGTTGAGGTTGCTGGTGTTGAAGATTTTGAAGACATGGTTGCTTCCGGTATGCATACATTTAAAAAAGAAATATACATAAATTGTGTTACAAATAATTAACAGAAATACTTGCCTTTGTAGTTGCTTCTTTGAAAATTCATGAAATGTCTCAAACAAGCCAATTCATGGCTCTATTTGGCGTTATCTTTCAGGCGTTTTACTTGGTTCAAGCAGGTGGAACTGCTATGTTGAAATTCTTCCACCATCTTCTTATTGCCTTTGATAAGGATACTGATCTCCCACTCACCATTGATGCATTAAAGACTATGACCGGCTTCAATTTCATGACAAAAAGCATTGTCAAATACACCATCTGCAACAAGTGCTTTGCAATTTATCTACCAGGCAATCGCCAACCAAATTGCACATTCGAAAAATACACAACCACACCATCAACATATTGCGGAAATCCTCTTTTCTCTGACACTGAAGCTGATCGCACCGTCCCTCTCATGGTTTTCCCATACAACTCGCTCAAGAATGCATTGGCACAGCATTTCGCCAAACCTGGGTTTGAGCATAAAATCGTTCAATGGTGATTAAGGGAAACCGTAAACAGTACCTTGTTGGACGTCTATGATGGTGCAATGTGGTCTGAGCTCCTTGATGAAGATGACGAGCCTTTTGTGAATCACGACCATTCTTTGATGTTGAAATTGAATGTAGATTGGTTTCAACTATTTGAGGGTCTTCACATGCAAGTGGGGCCTTGTACTTGTCAATGAACAACCTGCCTAGAGAAGAAAGAATGAAGCCGGAAAACATTATCCTTGTTGGTGTCATGCCTGGTCCAAAGGAAGCGAAGATCAACCAGATGAACAACTTCTTGGAACCTCTGGTAGATGAGCTGGTAGAGTTATACGGTAGCATAACTATGAAAACTCCAGAGTTCCCCAATGGTACTAGTATCCACGCTGCTCTTATGTGTGTTGCTTGCGACATATCTGCTGCAAGAAAGACTGCTGGATTTACAGGATTTGCAAGTACAAACGCCTGTCACATATGCAAGCGTCATTTCACTGTTGTTGCTGGAACAAGTAAGATCAATTATTCTGGATTCAATCATGAGAACTGAGTCTCCCAAACAAAAGAGGAAAATGCAACCGAAGCTGAGATGTGGTTCTGCGCAGAATCTGATGCAGAGAGAGCTATTTTGGAGAAGCAGCATGGCACCCATTTTTCCGAGTTGCATTGCCTACACTACTTTGATCCCATCTGATGCATGATTGTTGATCCCATGCACAATTTGTTTCTTGGGACAGCAAAGCGTATGATCAGTGTTTGGAAAGACCTGAGGTATCTCCCAACTGCTGTTCTTGTCTGTATGCAACGTCTTGCCAATGGTATTCTTGTTCCTCCTGGGTATGCCGTTTTATCAACAAAGATCGAATCTGGTTTCCCGTATATGAAGGCAGACGAGTGGCAATTGTGGTGTCTGATTTATTCATTGGTGGTACTAAAAGATGCTTTGTCTGAAGACGACTACAAAAACTGGACTCTCTTTGTAAAAGCATGCTGAAAGTTGACCGGTCCTTCAGTCAGATATTCAGAAATTGACAGTGCACACCAGCTTCTTGGAGAATTTGGAAAAGAGTATGAGACTCTTTATGGAGAGAGCAGCATCACGCCAAATATGCACTTGCATATGCACTTGCATGAGTCGATGCTTAACTTTGGTCCGGTATATGCATTCAGGCTGTATAGCTTCAAGAGATACAACAGCAAGTTGAAGAACATCAAGACGAACTGTCGCAATGGTCTTGAGGTCACCTTCATGAGAGGCTTCCTGAAGAAAGCATTCATTGGTAGCTTTCTTCGAGCATATTCTACCAATCTTTTATCACCACTGATAGAGTTTCTTGAGGGGGTTGCCCAAGTAAAATCAAATTCTGACAGCTCTTCTCCCTTGAATTTGGATACTGGCCACCCTCCTGCGTTGCCATTTAGCTTAGCAATGTTCTAGCAAGCTGCTACTAATCCATGATACAATGTCACCGGAAGTGAGGTCTTGCCCCCAACCACATTGCCAATCAAGTTGCAGTCTTTGACTATGATGAAAGATGATCACTATCAGTGGTTATTTGAATTCTATGTCAAGGCTTACCGGAGTACAAGTGTTTTCTTCTGTGTGGTAGGGAGAATCCCAATTGGTGAGGATGTATTTGTGAACAATCGGATTCAAAAGGTGAAGAAGATTTCGTTGCTGGGGCAAGAGTACTGCAGTGGTGAAAAGAAGAAGCGCGGGTCTTTTGTGAGGGTATTGTTTCTTAAGAGAACAAATGACAATGTATCTGAATTCTCTGGTCAAATAGAGTATTTATTTACTCATACCATCAAGATCGGTGGAGTCAAAAGAGTGTCAACGTTTGCATTCATTAAATGGTTTCCCACCTACCATTCAAGTAGTCATCAGCCATTAGCTGATCAAGGTCTGCAGTTGTGGGACAAGGGATTTATGGAAGAGGATGCTTTGTGCATTGTTTCAGTGCATTGTTTACATTTGTGCTTTGCGTTGACTATGCATAAAATGCAGAGTGGGATGCAAAAGCACCTGGTTATTCCACTGTCTAGAAAATTAGTCACATAAAAAGCAAAAAAAACAACAACTGTTTAGGTTACCAGTATAAATAATTATAATACGAGTTTTTTTGACTATAAAAAGATTTAGCTTTATTTATCTCTGTATTCTTATTTAGTTTTAACATTACTTCTTTATTAAGTATTTAAAAGAGCAATAGTAAATTATATTACCAGTTTTTTTAACTATTAACGAATAGTAAAAACCATTATTTATTTCTCTTGCTTTTATCAATAATATAAAAGACAAAAAAACTTGTATATTTAATACCCGACATTTACTATTTTCTTAGCCTTTATTACATATTCTTGCTAATATTGGTATTATAATTTCCAATAAAAAAAAACGAGGATAAAACAATCAGAGTTATATAATTAAATAATTGCTTTGTATATATTTTTTTTTATTAATTGGCTTTAAAATAAAATAAAATAAAATAAAATAATAATTTATTATTTTGATTTTTGATATTGTCTTTTTCTTTTTCCTTTTATTTATATATTAATTGCTTCTCATCTTGACAATGCCGCATGATTATATTTTACTACTTCACCCCACATCATTCAATACAATCAATAAAAATCATTAAAGTACTATATGCGCTTTGTAAACAAAACAACAATTTATTGTTGGCGTGTGTGAATCCAAGCAGTAACACGTGCCTTTTTCTTGTTCAATAACTTGATGTTTCTCAAAATAATTGGATAGACAGAATTGCCAATGACGTCTGGTCCCTTGTTAGCAAGTCTCTGTTTCTTCAAAACAGTAAAGTATTCATCTACCTGCACTATAATATAAATAATTTTGAGTTAGAAGTATTAAAAAAACTTTTATCATGAGTGCCTTACCAAGAAATGTCTATATCTAGGAGTATATCTAGGTTTATTTTTCTCCTCATCTAACTCAATATCAGACAACATGTCATAGTCCAGAAGGTCAACGACAGCCTCACCAAACTTAGACTCAAGGTTTGCCTTGTCAGCCAAGTGAATCGCCTTGTAGTCTGCAAGAATCTGAAAAAAAAGTTAAAATAGTTTACACAAAAACTGTTGACTATACTTACTTTTGTCTTTCTGGACCAGCGTCAAGAAATCTGCTTTTGTCAAGCTATCTTTTCTGGCAAAGCTTTTGCCGTTTGAAGCATATATAAAATATGTCTTTGGGTTTTCTCTTCCACAACTACAGACGAAACAGACTTTACTTCAGCTTGCTGATGTGTGTAGCTCTGCACTACATCTACAATGAGATGGTTGGATGTTGAGAAGGCACTCTCATTGACTGTCAATGACATTGTTACAAGAACTGCTCGTGTTTGAGAACAGATTAATATCTGCAAAATATAATGTAAGTAACTTTGCAATATTCTGTTCCTAGTATATATCTTACCAAAACCGTTGGAAAGCACTACTTTATATATTCTCTTGTGATAAGAGCCTGGCTGATGGGACTATAGGTCGAAATATTATTCTGGCCATTGGTTGCTCCCATGTTGTGGTAGACCTTCTCCAGAAGTGAATGAGATTCATTCAGTCTGGTGCTCATGTTAGACAAAGCAGACAGGACAGTGACATCTCGCTCTGCACTAACTGTCAAGCTAGGAAGAATTTCCCATTGTCTTGTGCTTGCTGCTGTCCCAGTGGTTTGTTTAACAGACTTTCTTGTAGTCGTCTTGTACGGTTTTTTTGGTTTGCTGCGTTTTAGAAGATATGAATTGATATATTTAAGGCTAAAAAAAGAAATTCAAATAATGTAAATACTTTAATAATTAGAGTCGGTTTTCTTTAAAATAATAAATAAAATAAGATAAATCAAAACATACATAAAAGTGAAAAGTAAAGCACCAAAATATTATTTTTCTGATGATACTCTTTATAGCATTTTGATCTCTATATTATACTTTTCTTTATATGCTGACTTGAAAAGATATTTATAATAGCTTACAACCATTACAAAAATGTAAAAGATTATGATTTAGTATGTAATATCTTGTCTCAATCGGGTTGGTTTGAATGATTTTCAATTTGCTCAATTGATTCTATCAGTTTCTCAGGGTCAACAGTCATAAAATTAAAATTTTGAATTTCTTTCCATTTTTTTTTAATTTTTTTCTTCTTCTTCTTTACTTCTTTCTTAATGTCTAACATTGTAAGCTTCAACTAACATCAAAGTCTCAAGACCTAAACATCTTCTTGTTTCTATTCTAGCATGATACTCTATGCTTTAAACCACTAAGTCCCTCTTAACTGCCTCAAAAATAATAATAAAAAGGTAATAAAAATATACTTGAATATTTATTCACAATTTATGTATTAATTATTCTGCTTAGATTTTTCTGGCCCTTAACAAAGACATATACCTCAGAAGGGTTTATAAAATAGTATGTTGTACAAATATTAATATATATCTTCAAGACACAACTTCTATTCATTATAATTCTTATGTATATCATAGACTCTATCATCACTAGTCTTTTTCTTGGTCCTCTTTTTTTGCTTATACACTAACTCTTATTCTCTACAGACAGACAAATAAATAAATAATTATTATATTTCTTTGTATGTAGCTCTAATGAAAAGAAATTATTTTATAGATAATATTTTCATTTTCCACATGCCGCCTCTTTTGCTTTATCAAATAATTGATAAGCAAAAAATAGTCTGATCCTCTTTATTTCATTCTAATAAAAAAATTATATTTTATAGACAATGTTATTGTATTTTCTGTCTGTCACTTCTGTTTTCCAAATTTCTGATAAGCAAACAATAGTCTTATTTACTTTGCATTGTATTATATTAACAAAAGCTATTATTTTTTATAGACAATATTACTATAATTGAGACATTTATCTAAAATGTTGATATATCTATCTTTATGTTAAAGACATTCATCTGTTTTCGTGTTTAACTCTATTGTAAGTACGTTCATATTTTTTAAATAATCTGTTGCTCTCAAATAAATATACTGCAAAAATGCTTTCTAATTTATCCTATAATTATTTTTTATAAAAGTAAACAAACAGGCCAAGAAGGCGTCCCACAGCAAGCACTGAAATACAGTAGAGGTCGATTGTACCAGGGGTGGAACAATGAATATTCGAAAGAAATAATACAATATCCACTAAAACAAATGACGGCATCATGAGTGTGATGTTTCAACCCAATTGCAACAGGAGCCAATTAGCAAATAGATGAATAGAAACAGCTATAAATAATAAGATTTTTTTCAAACCAATAAAAACCTTTAAAATGATCCATAAACCTCTAAATCTTGACTAAATCTTGACCAAATCTCTTCTTTAACAGCCCATATATGGTAATCAAAAGATGTTAAATGTTATGTGCTGTATTTAAAAAAACCCCCAAAACCAATATAGAATGAAAAATCTGCGGTCTGATAAAAGTGCATCTATATTTTCAAGACCAAAATATATTATACAAAAGTATATCACACTTTTTTTTTGCGTTCCTAAAATTAAATATACTACTTGTATTTGTTGTAAATGAGTATTGACTACTGCTGTAATTGAAAATAAGTCTGAAAGAAATAATATAAGGTCTCAGCTATTCCAGTCAAAGGTGTCTACCAATTACTTTATTATTTAACACACGGGTTTAACATGCATGATAGTGATTATATTTCATATGATGATATCATCATAACATGGGATACATCAGTGGATTATTATAAGTATAATTATAACTCATAAACACATTTAGTTTTGATGTTAATACTTCATTGGGACTACAAACATTTATATAATTAATCATACATTAATTATCCCAAGATCACGTTGCTCTGATTAAGGCTCAGATATGATCGATTACCTGACCCCAGTCATATAATTTTCCCAATCCAAAATAATATAAATAGCAGTAGTAGTTCAGTGTAGGAACCTGGTCAAACTTTGATATAAAATCCTTTCTCAATAAACAAAACCTACACAAGTTCTCACGAATCTTCGTTCCTAATCTCAAATCTTCAATTCTTCCTCTTAAAAACTTCAACTTCAACCACCACAACAGTATTCATTTAGCTGACAAACTTTAAAAAATTGGCATCATAAATTCCAATCAAATTCATGCTGAATTTTATTCATTCCGACAGTATTTGATGAATATTTAGTATAATGAATTGGCCCTCCTTTTGCAGTGTAATTGTCTGATCTTGCCTGGTGCTGATGCTCTTTGCTGACTGCAATTCAAAATGCCTGTCATGAGCTTAATGAAGAACATTCTCTTCCTATTTAAGACTTTGTCAAAAGAACTTGGTTATAATCTATAATAATTTTTTCTCCGATTGTTTCTCTTCATATAATAACTTTCTCAATTATGTTCCAATCAGCAATATATACTCTATAGATTGCCAGCACTATGTGATATAATAAAAATAATCTTTAAACTGAGCTAAATCCCCCATCTCTCTTTCCCATAAGCTTTACCTTTTAAATTTTAGAATTTTTATAGTTTGCATGCGTACAATTCACCAATAAGTAATGGGTATGCACAATGAGTAAAATACATATAGTTTAACCAATAAATAATGAGTATACACGATTATTAACTACATTAAACTCTTGGCTGCAAACTAAAGTAAACTTGTACAATTACTAAGATATGTATTTTTAGTCAACCAATAAATAATACATATGCATCATTATTAAGAACTATATATCTTTGCAAACCAGTAAAGCATGTGGCTTCACTATGAGTAATAAATATTTTATTGGTTAAAAGACTAGTAGATATGCAAGATTAAGCAAAGCTATATTCTCAGTTAACCAATAGAGAGTAAACATTCATATTCATAAGACATATGTTTTTAGTCAATCAATAAATAGTAAATGTATATCATTATTAAGAACTGTATTTTTTGCTAACCAATAAAGAATGCAGCCTCAAGATTTGTAAAGTTGTTTTGCAGCTAAATCAAGAAAGGTGCATATGCAGGATGAATTAGAATTACAATTTCAGTTAACCAATAAAAAAAGGATATGTAATATCAGCAGTATAATTCTGTCCGGATCGGCCGCCTATTATGTTCGATCTGGACTGAATGGATATTTCCGACAATCTCGGACCACCGGAATCCAAAAGAAAATAATATCATAAAAACATATACGATAGTAATAATAACTTTACTTTCTTATAAATATAAAGCTTTTATCATATATCTCTCAAATACTTTCAAAATAACCCATATATTTTGTCTCCTCAAGATTTTAATTAAAATTATATCGGTTTTAAGCTATAGATAATGATACAATATACATTTTAATATATTCTTATAACCAATTTGTTCTACGATATATATATATAGTAATTATTCACAATTACATAGTTCTTTTTTTTTTGTTAATATTTTAAATGTATGATAGGCACTATATATATACATATATATATATATTCATACAGTTGAAGTTATGTTTTCTAGTATGTTTAATATATGCAGTACTATCTAGGTGCGGACCCTTTTTTTACAATTACACTTGGTGGAATTTAATCAAAGAATAATAATATACAGAATATTATTATCGAGTTATTTTGAAACAGTCGGTATTTATTGTCAAAATTTTACCCTATAACTATATATATATAAATTGCTATTATATCTTGAATACACTATTAGGTATATATATATATATTCTTCTTCTTCTCTTCAACATACACTGATACAGACATACACCAGAAATCACTATCGATCTATATATTTATATATAGCTCTTACTTTATTTTAGATATACTGTTCAGCCTATTTTCTTTCTTCCCTTCAACACACGTACACACACACGCACATGCCCACGCCCACGCACATGCCCACGCACACGCACTTGCACTTGCACTTGCACACACTCAGAGATCTCTCTACCAGTCAATTGGCTGCACCAATACAAAATATACGATATTGTCTATTTCGTTTTATGTCTTTTTACAAACTAAGGGTGCTAATTGGTAATTTGGACAGTGTGCGCTTTTTTGTAAACTGGTATTACCAATCGGTGGTGCAGACAGCCTTTGTGTACCCGATCGTAAAAGAACCATAGCAGAGCCCATCGACAGGGACACTGTTATCCATATGGAGGTTGAAATACCATTTAGTATTCACTCAAAACTATTCGGAGAGAAGTGTGTATTAAAATAACCTTTGCTGTACCGCAACCAAAACAAAAAAAATATATTTTTTTAACGATGGCTTGAATCTTCTTTCGACATTCCCAACATTCCGCCATCCCAGTTGAGGATCTTCATTCCTGTTGGGGATCGACATTCATATTGTATTGCAACTCAAAGTGGACCAAAAGCGACACAATACAAAAAGGAAGCGCACTCTTTTTAAAAAAAACCAAAATATTCTTTATTTTATTTTTTAGACGGCTGTCCATGGTATATACAAGTCGAGCAAAAAATAAGCCCTTGGTCATACCTTCGTGTCCCTATAAACTGCTCAACGCTTTAAAAACCGGCACCAATAAATAAAAAAAAAAATCTATTACGTCTAGCAACACCAGCTTCACAACGCTATCAAAATTGACATCAACAACCATAATATCCTTTTATTCCACTATCACTGAAAAATAAAAATTGAAATAATATCCATATAATAAAACTTCAAAACTCAAAAGCCATACACTATATTCTTTTATATTTGAAGTGCTATATACCACTGTTCTCAGAACTACCTTCAAACTCTTGCACGCACATAACACTTGTATGCTTATGCTTCCAAGACTGTCTTCAGTGACAATGACCCCAGCCCATCATACATATTCTCCAAAGCTTCCGCCTTTTACTATATCTTTAAATAACTGGTTCTAGACCAAACAGAAATCACCCATCACAAAGTCCTACCATAGTAATCTCCCTTTATAGGCGCACACAATAATCCTCAAGTCTATAATAATAATAAAATTGTTACACACCCTAATTCTCAAACCCGTCTTATATAAAAAAAAAATATTCTTACACACTGCCTCCGTCTATCTCACTATCCCGCACTCTTTACACAATACAAATACTCTACTATCAAAACCTTCTCCATATTTTTAAAATAAAATCGCTGTTACAATTCACTCTCATTCTTCTTCAGCCTTTCACTTTAATCAATTCGACTCGGTCTCCACCTACCCTATTTATTTTATTATATTTAAATAGACAAAACAAATAGAAGCTATAATGATTTATATATGTATTTGATTTAATTACAAGCATATTATTTATATATATAGGTTTAAAAAGTATTATAAGAGATGTATATGTAGTTAAAATATGTGTAGTTGAGGTTTGTGTGTGTGTGTGTGTGTGTAGGTGAGGTATGTGAGAAGGGGGGAGTGGGGTAGGGGGTGCGATAAAGAGTGGCTTAGGAAGATCGAGAGTGAAGGTCAGTGTATTCTTGAGAAAACCGCAAAACTATAAGGTTGCTCATTCTTTATAAACAATATTTGAAGCTAATGAGCTTTCTCTATAAAAGCAATCTAAGCGCACAGCTTTCATATCCGTAGTGAAGTTATGAATTCTATATACATAAACAGCAATGCCTTTGCGATGGACATGCGTTGAGTAACAGCTTTATTATAAAAAAATGACGAAGCTATCTTCCTAAGTAAGTATGCTTCCCGTCTAAAACAAGTACACAATCATATAAAAGTCAAAATTAATTAACCAAAAATGGAAGTCCAATGACTTTGACATTATACTCGATAGCTAACTAATAACTTATATTCTTTGGCTTATATCTTTGTGCGTGCAGATAATGAGGCCTATAAAAATCTCATATTAATATATTAGTATATAAAATAAATTCTAAAATGCTTTATTTTATTACTGAAAAAGGTTGGTACTACTATATTCGGTAATTATCGAAGTAGTAGCTTGACCAAAATATATAGCTTGTATCATTAACTTCTCATCCAATTTCTCATATATACTCTCTTTTAGAAATATTTAAACAGTGAATTACAAAAGTATATATATATATAGTTTATATCATACACTTCTCAATCAATTGGTTAAATAATTCTGAGCAAGGATCAATATACTTTGCTTAAAATAAAATCCGATCCGAGCTATAAGCAACAAGATGTGTTTTAATGTGCTTCTAAAATAATTCGATCCACTGGATATTTATGGATCAATTAACGTCTTACTTTCCTTAATTATCTTTTTCTCTCTTTTTCTCTCGCTTTCCCTCTCTCTCTCGCTCTCTCTCTCTCTCTCTTTCTCTCACTTTCGCACTTTCTGTTTATCCACCGCAAATCTTTATCTCGTTGATCTCTCTTCTTCTTGGACAATTAGATCCTTAAGATAACACGCCGCGTGATAAATCCATATATCAAAAGTCACTCTAGAATCATATATACAACCTGTTAGTGTATTTCAGATAAGCTCTTACATCTATCTCTTTCCTCTTTCCAATATACACGCACACAGTCAGGGATCTCTCTACCAGTCAATTGGCTGCACAGATACAAAATATATGATATTGTCTATTTCGTTTTATGTTTCTTTATAAACTAAGGGTGCTAATTGGTAATTCGGACAGTGTGCGCTTTTTTGTAAACTGGTATTACCAATCGGTGGTGTAGACAGCCTTTGTGTACCCAATAGTAAAAGAACCATAGCAGGACCCATTTACAGGGATACTGTTATCCATACGGAGGTTTAAATACCGCCCAGTGTTCACTTACAGTCGTTGAGAGAGGATAGTATATTAATGTGACCTTCACTGCGCCGTAATCAAAATAAAAAAAATTCTTTTTTAACGATGGCTTGAATCTTCTTTCGACATTCCCTACATTCCTCCATCCTTGTCAACGATCTTCATTCCTGTTGGGAATCGTCATTCATACAATATTGCAACTTAAAGTTGACAGAAACTGTCGCAATATAAAAAGAGAGCACACTCTTTTGAAAAAAAAAATTGAAAGACTATTTATTTTATCTTTTTGACGACTGTTCACTGTATATGCGGCTCCAACAAAAATAAGCCCTTGGTCAAATCTTTGTGTCCCTATAAACTTCTCAACGCTTTAAAAATCGACGGTCATCTCCACAGTAACGTTTTCTTTTTTCAAACTTGCACTAGCAACCGCTTCGCACCGCCTTCAAAGTCGATGGTCATCCCCACAGTAACGTTTTCTTTTTTCAAACTTGCACTAGCAATCGCTTCGCACCGCCTTCAAAGTCGACGGTCATCCCCACAGTAACGTTTTCTTTTTTCAAACTTGCACTAGCAATCGCTTCGCACCGCCTTCAAAGTCGATGGTCATCCCCACAGTAACGTTTTCTTTTTTCAAACTTGCACTAGCAACCGCTTCGCACCGCCTTCAAAGTCGACGGTCATCCCCACAGTAACGTTTTCTTTTTTCAAACTTGCACTAGCAACCGCTTCACACCGCCTTCAAAGTCGACGGTAATCCCAACAGTAACGTTTTCTTTTTTGAAACCTGTACCAACACTAGCTTCGCCACACTATCCAAATTGAAACCAAAAATCACACCAACAGCTTCTTCTTTGAGACCTGTACAAGCACTAGATTCGCCACACTATCCAAATTGAAACTGATAACCACAGTATCATTTTCTTTTTTGAAACCTGTACCAGTACTAGCTTCGCCGCACTATCAAAATTGAAACCGATAATCACAGTACCATTTTTTTTTGAAACCTGTACCAGCACTAGCTTAGCCGCACTATCAAAATTGAAACCGATAACCACAGTAATGTTTTCTTTTTTGAAACCTGTACCAGCACCAGCATAGCCGCACTATCAAAATTGACACCAAAAACCATACTATTTCATTACTCTATTACAACAGTAAAATAAATATTGAAATAGAAGTTATATAGCAAAACTTCGACACTCAAAAGCAATACATTATTTTCTTTTACGCTTAGAGTGTTATGCACTGCCATTCTCAGAATTGGCTTTCAACTTTCGCACATATACACTATTCATATCATCGCACTTCTGAAACCTTCTCATTTCATTCCATCGCATATAACTTTCAAAGCTTTTGACTTTTAGTATATTTTTGTGTGACTAATTCTAAATTAGGCGGACACCACCAAGCACAATGGCCCACTATAGAAATCTATTTTTTTATCAGTGTATACCATGAATGTCAAAGCTCTGTCACACGGACCACATACACGGGCCACCTACAAATACTGCCTACAAATAATATCTTTCTTTAACCCACTACATACTCTTCACTATATGAAAAGAATATACGACTATTAAAGCTCTATACTTTTAAATAAAAGTAAAATAAAATAAAATCGCAGTCTTGTTCTCATATATTATATTAGATTATATTATTTTATTTCATATACTTTTAATAATAAATTGAATTTTAATTTTACACCAATAATTTTTAGAAAGAATATATCTATAATTCTCTTTATTTTTGCTTTATTTTTCTGTTCGTGCCTGTGCTCATGTTTGTTTTGATTGTTTTCTGATAGGTATATCTTTCTTGTATAAGCTTTGTAATATATATTATATTAAAACTTATATTAAATAGAATGAATGAGTTATAAAATAATATAAAAAAGTAACAAATTATGTATACGGTAGAATTTAATACTCAAGATATATATTATTTATTAGGCAACCAATAAAGGGCGAGTATGCACAATGAGCAAAACACATATAGTTTAACCAATAAGTAATGAGTATGCGCAATGAGTAAAGTACATATAGTTTAACCAATAAGTAATGAGTATGCGCAATGAGTAAAGTACATATAGTTTAACCAATAAGTAATGAGTATGCGCAATGAGTAAAGTACATATAGTTTAACCAATAAGTAATGAGTATGCGCAATGAGTAAAATACATATAGTTTAACCAATAAGTAATGAGTATGCGCAATGAGTAAAGTACATATAGTTTAACCAATAAGTAATGAGTATGCGCAATGAGTAAAATACATATAGTTTAACCAATAAATAATGAGTATACACGATTATTAACTACATTAAACTCTTGGCTGCAAACTAAAGTAAACTTGTACAATTACTAAGATATGTATTTTTAGTCAACCAATAAATAATACATATGCATCATTATTAAGAACTATATATCTTTGCAAACCAGTAAAGCATGTGGCTTCACTATGAGTAATAAATATTTTATTGGTTAAAAGACTAGTAGATATGCAAGATTAAGCAAAGCTATATTCTCAGTTAACCAATAGAGAGTAAACATTCATATTCATAAGACATATGTTTTTAGTCAATCAATAAATAGTAAATGTATATCATTATTAAGAACTGTATTTTTTGCTAACCAATAAAGAATGCAGCCTCAAGATTTGTAAAGTTGTTTTGCAGCTAAATCAAGAAAGGTGCATATGCAGGATGAATTAGAATTACAATTTCAGTTAACCAATAAAAAAAGGATATGTAATATCAGCAGTATAATTCTGTCCGGATCGGCCGCCTATTATGTTCGATCTGGACTGAATGGATATTTCCGACAATCTCGGACCACCGGAATCCAAAAGAAAATAATATCATAAAAACATATACGATAGTAATAATAACTTTACTTTCTTATAAATATAAAGCTTTTATCATATATCTCTCAAATACTTTCAAAATAACCCATATATTTTGTCTCCTCAAGATTTTAATTAAAATTATATCGGTTTTAAGCTATAGATAATGATACAATATACATTTTAATATATTCTTATAACCAATTTGTTCTACGATATATATATATAGTAATTATTCACAATTACATAGTTCTTTTTTTTTTGTTAATATTTTAAATGTATGATAGGCACTATATATATACATATATATATATATTCATACAGTTGAAGTTATGTTTTCTAGTATGTTTAATATATGCAGTACTATCTAGGTGCGGACCCTTTTTTTACAATTACACTTGGTGGAATTTAATCAAAGAATAATAATATACAGAATATTATTATCGAGTTATTTTGAAACAGTCGGTATTTATTGTCAAAATTTTACCCTATAACTATATATATATAAATTGCTATTATATCTTGAATACACTATTAGGTATATATATATATATTCTTCTTCTTCTCTTCAACATACACTGATACAGACATACACCAGAAATCACTATCGATCTATATATTTATATATAGCTCTTACTTTATTTTAGATATACTGTTCAGCCTATTTTCTTTCTTCCCTTCAACACACGTACACACACACGCACATGCCCACGCCCACGCACATGCCCACGCACACGCACTTGCACTTGCACTTGCACACACTCAGAGATCTCTCTACCAGTCAATTGGCTGCACCAATACAAAATATACGATATTGTCTATTTCGTTTTATGTCTTTTTACAAACTAAGGGTGCTAATTGGTAATTTGGACAGTGTGCGCTTTTTTGTAAACTGGTATTACCAATCGGTGGTGCAGACAGCCTTTGTGTACCCGATCGTAAAAGAACCATAGCAGAGCCCATCGACAGGGACACTGTTATCCATATGGAGGTTGAAATACCATTTAGTATTCACTCAAAACTATTCGGAGAGAAGTGTGTATTAAAATAACCTTTGCTGTACCGCAACCAAAACAAAAAAAATATATTTTTTTAACGATGGCTTGAATCTTCTTTCGACATTCCCAACATTCCGCCATCCCAGTTGAGGATCTTCATTCCTGTTGGGGATCGACATTCATATTGTATTGCAACTCAAAGTGGACCAAAAGCGACACAATACAAAAAGGAAGCGCACTCTTTTTAAAAAAAACCAAAATATTCTTTATTTTATTTTTTAGACGGCTGTCCATGGTATATACAAGTCGAGCAAAAAATAAGCCCTTGGTCATACCTTCGTGTCCCTATAAACTGCTCAACGCTTTAAAAACCGGCACCAATAAATAAAAAAAAAAATCTATTACGTCTAGCAACACCAGCTTCACAACGCTATCAAAATTGACATCAACAACCATAATATCCTTTTATTCCACTATCACTGAAAAATAAAAATTGAAATAATATCCATATAATAAAACTTCAAAACTCAAAAGCCATACACTATATTCTTTTATATTTGAAGTGCTATATACCACTGTTCTCAGAACTACCTTCAAACTCTTGCACGCACATAACACTTGTATGCTTATGCTTCCAAGACTGTCTTCAGTGACAATGACCCCAGCCCATCATACATATTCTCCAAAGCTTCCGCCTTTTACTATATCTTTAAATAACTGGTTCTAGACCAAACAGAAATCACCCATCACAAAGTCCTACCATAGTAATCTCCCTTTATAGGCGCACACAATAATCCTCAAGTCTATAATAATAATAAAATTGTTACACACCCTAATTCTCAAACCCGTCTTATATAAAAAAAAAATATTCTTACACACTGCCTCCGTCTATCTCACTATCCCGCACTCTTTACACAATACAAATACTCTACTATCAAAACCTTCTCCATATTTTTAAAATAAAATCGCTGTTACAATTCACTCTCATTCTTCTTCAGCCTTTCACTTTAATCAATTCGACTCGGTCTCCACCTACCCTATTTATTTTACTAGATATGCACTTAATTTAATTATCCTTCCATTCGGATAAATCCTACCTATTTACTTTTTTTTTCTGTCAATGTCAAATACATCCAAAACACGGCTTAAATATATACCAGTAAACAGACACTACATGGGCTTATATTTATTTGGTATAATTAAGTCAAATATTATTTTTACTTTTAGTCTTATTTCTATTCCAGTATTTTAAAATATGTTACTCTATAATCATATTTATATTACTTGGTTTCATGAAGTGCAGGTACTTCATATAAAGCTTTCGTGCTTTAAACAACAACATCAGGTCATTTGTATTATGAGTGTGATGTACACAAAATAAATTAATAAGTAATATTTATGTGTACAGGCTTTTAATTATGTTGTAGATTCTATTATAATTATCAGTTTAGACTGTTACGCAATTAAGAGGAGTACTAACTCTGATGTTATGGAAAGTATATCCGAAGTTAATATATATGTAATCTATACATGAGTACAATTATGAAACACACTTTATTTTATAAATGGTATCCCAGCCCATTGAAATGGCTTACGATTTATAGTTTGAGTACAAACTAAATAATTATTCCCATATCATTGTGTAGCTTCAGAATCTTTAACTAATTAGTTATGTTTAAAGTAAACTCAAGAACTAATATGATGCATATACAATAACAATATATAAAATACATGTTTTTTGAAATCTTACTAATTCCAAAGCCAGTCCCTGTTTTATTTTATTAATCAATGCCCTTTAACTAGTACATGCTCTTTTTTATAATTCTTCTTCTTCTTTTACATTACTGTTTAATTCATTATACTTCTACTTTTTGCTTTTTTATAAAATTTAATTTTAATACTTAAGATCATACCTTTACACTGGTCTTCAAGCAAAATATATTTAAGCAAGTTAGTCTATAGTACATATATAATATGTTGACCAATTATATTTTGTTATCTAATTCTTTTTGTTTATTCTTTGATAGTTGATAGAATTTTTCAAAAGACAAAAATCTATTATATGTGAATGAAAGCGACTATAATAATTACAAGTTTAATGAAGGGATTAGGACTGATAATCATTTAGTACTCAGTGTTTTTTTATATAACAGCTCTACTTGGTAAACAAATAGGTATAATGGTTTTAGCTGGAAAGATTAAGTCTAACATTAAAAAATCAAATGTGAAATAAAATGGGAAGGTTCTTTTTTAACAATACATTTTTGGGGATTTCACAGTCTTTCTATCAGTGATGAACCGAGTTTCAAATGTTTTATTTAAATATGTGTTATGAGTAAACTAGATACGATAATGAGTTAAATAGCAATAATGTATTTATCTTGAGAAATTGCTATATATTATAAGTGAGATAAACGAATGATATTAAAGGGAGTAATAGATACTGCACATAATTTTTTACTTAATAAAGAATATAACGTCTTATAGCAATATTTGAGTTTCATGTTTTAAAGATTTCTGTTGATTAATAGCTATTTGTAACCTAGGGAAATCTGTATTAATCTTCTGAATTATGGCCCTGTCAGGACAAGAGACAATTACATAATATTTTTGGATTATGTAATTAGCTTTCTCTTAATTAAAAAGCCCTGTCTGTAGGCATCAACCCGTAGTTTCTTTTAAAAATTATCTTGTATGAGGAACAACTTTAAAGAGAAGCATGTATATAAGTTCATTTATTTTTTTAGATTTAACACATTATAAGGCTCGTTTTATCCAAGTTGCACATACATTGTCTTCTGTAATCTCTACAGAAATGAATAAACATTAAAAATAACAAAAAGGAAAGAAGGCTATCTATCTATAAATAAAATAAACATATAGTAAAAAGGATTTAATTTAATAAAATAAAAAATAAAGTGTAAAAAAAGGTTAAAATTTAATAATCAAACAAAAAAGTTATATTTCTTTATTATTATTATTATTATTATTATTATTATTATTATTATTAATATTAATATTTATTATAAGCATTTGTTTTTATAATTTATAAATTATAAAACACAGAAATATAAATATAATATATCTATAATAGCTTCAATAGAACTCTTATTAATTCTCAATAAGCTGTTATATGTTTTTTGTATAATAGTGCTTTACTTTTTCTTTTATTTTCCAATAAATCTTGTTATTACAACATCAACTAAAAATATTAAATTCATAGTTGATAAGATTTTTACTGTTTGTTATATTTCAGTTAAATTTATATCAAAATCTCATATAAATCAAGGAAATATATATATTTTATTAAACCTGACAAGATACAGCTGTAATAACAAAGATATATTCTGTTCTCGGTCTATCCTTATAATTCCTGATCAGGGAGCGTATTGCTCTAATTGACATTTCATATCAAATCCATGCCTGATAAAATGATATATGTTCTGTCTTTCAATACTACTCAAACGTAGACTGAAAACATCACTTTCCCACTGTAGGAGTGAGTGTCGGATTTCCATTTTTGAGCTAATTACAACTCCGAAAATTCGATTTAATTAAAAGTCCGCCGCGTCTCTTAGCCCATTCGTTTTTTATCGTCTCTAGCTCTTTATTGCACTTGTTTTCAGCAAAAACGAATTACTAGAACGCAAGATAATCAAACATTTGGTTGAATTATATAAAGTACAAGGATATAAATTTGGGTCAATTCAAGCTGCGGTTATAATTTATTCGTTTTTGATTTTGTGGTACAGTGATCTAATATAATATTTTAAGGAATAACGTCTGATTTTTTATAATAGTTATGCTGGGAAGGATATAAAATACTGGTATAGCATAAATGTAAGTAGAAATGTGGTAATAGACATGGGATAGATATACATATACATAATTTTGTGTGGCTACGAGTGTATCATTTCGAATAGAGCAAGTCCATCAGTTTCTACGCACGGATTTTATCATTTACTAAGTTTTCTTTTTTATATTGTGGCTGTACTTTCAGTTTCAAATCCCTGTTTTTAGAAAAGCAGTGATTTTATAGAAGCTACATAAGATCCAACGCCGTGCATTTTCAGTTCTGGCGGTACCAATTAAATACAAAAAAATAACTACTGAAGTTGTTCTTAAATTGTGTTTCCGAACCATTCTCCATTATTACCAATTCTAGACTTTAAAAGTAACACACGCACCCAACGCATCCAGTAACAACAACAACCACTCAGAGTACATTTAGAAGAAGATGATGATGTGAGACAATATATCAGTCTGGATCTTCTTGTGGGTTATAATTCAAGAAAATAATTATCAAGAGAATTTTAATTAAATGTGTTTCTTTTTATATAATACAGCTTCAGTTACAGAGGTAATATCGAATGACAATGTTGATATTGAAAATCAGGTTGAAGGTATTCATAGTATTTTTATTAAAGTTTTATACTTGTTTATAATATCTACTAATTTGATTCTTTTTTACTCGACAATATAGCCAAAGACTTACCTCTTTTTGCCATTGATTCCTTGTTTAATTCTGAAAGCGAAGATGAGGATGTCATTGGAACAGTTATTTTGGATATTTCTGACAGTGAATCTGAAGATGTTAGGGGTTAGTACAAAAAGTACATGAAATCAACAAATACAACATATATATATATATATGTAAATAGAACACTTTTCTCCGTTTGATATGCCAGCCGATCCCATCCATGCTTTCAATGCTTTGTTTGCTGTCTTATTTATATCCAAATATGCTGTCAATTCCACTAGTGCTGTCCTGTTGAAGTTCTTCAATGAGGTATTGGCGCATTTTGGACAGTCTTTTCATCTTCTTTCAGTAAAAACGGTATAAACTCTATGACCGGTCTCGGCGACGTGACTCAAAATGTCTAGCGGTTTGTAACATGTGGCGATTATAAAAAAAAGTATACGGCGAGTCCGATGTAGTTCCAGAGTGTTGTAATTTCGAGACGCTTTCTGGTAGAGAATGTAGAAATATTTTTTTTCTTTGCAACATCAAGATCCGTGAGTATCCCAACAAGGATCTTCATGTAAAGCTCCACAATCAAACCATTGTCTATACCTTTTGCCGCCCTAAATTCGAAGACATCATAAACCATTGGAGAAACAGATCACACGTTCCAGACATGACATTTGGGATTTACGATCGTGCATAGTGGAATAATCTGAAAGACAACAATTTTTTACTATCTGTGAATCACGAGTGCTCCATTATGCTTGCCATGAACATACATCCATTGGTTTCAGCCTTTCGATGGGGTCAGTTGATCGTGTGGTGCGATGTATCCTTGCACCAATAACTCATCCAGATCAGAACGGTACAATAACGAGAATGATGTCCTCGTTGGTCTCATACCAGGACCCAACGAAGCAAAGACGAGTGAGATCAATCATTGAATCCGTCCCCTCGTCGCGGAACTTATTTAGTTGCGTGGTAGTATGGTGATGCCTACTATCCAGTGTCCCTCTTGTGTTATTGTTTGTACTGCTCTTCTTCTCTTATTGTTTTTGTCTGCGACGTTCCTACTGCCTGGAAGAATTGCATGACCTGGTTTACTTCAACCTCATTGATACAATGCACAACCTGTACATCGGTACAGCGAAGATGATAATAGAGAAATTGAGATATTCTGGTCTCATCGCAGATGCACACTTGGCTGTAACAAATATGGATGCCGAAAAGATTGGGTGTGGTTTTCCGTTCATGAAGACTGATAAATGGAAGACTTAGTGTTTGGTGTACAGTCCTGTTCTCCTGCGTTACTGCTTGTCCGAAGACCATCTTATTAACTGGATAACGTTCGTCAATGCACCCCAGTACCTCTCAATGCAGATCGTACCCATGGCTCACCTTGATGAGGCCCATCAATCATTGGAAACTTTCTGCAGAGTGTGAGATGTTGTACAAAGCTCCGTTTTGTTTATCGAACATGTATCTGTATTTACATTTGCGAGAGACAGTTATGGGCTTTGACCCAGTTTACGGCTATTGGTTGTGCAGTTTTGAAAGATGCAACGGCATTTTGAGAAATTACGCGCCCAACGGAAGAGACGGTTCGAAAGAATGTATATGATGAAGTGTCTTGAGGATGCGTAGCAGAGAGACCTTATTCGACAAGCCTTTCTTCCAATCCAACCTGAACATTCGGCAATTATCGTAGAGCTCACTGCCATACCATTCGATATCAACGCTTTTCTTGATTTTCCTGAGATCAACTTTGATATTATAATGGGAAACGAGCATCTGCCCCGTATGGACTTCCTTTAGCTTTAACAGGTGAAATTTCCATGGAAGAGTTTTAGTACGAGCATTCATTGGTTAATTATCGGGAGATAGATGATGATCAAACTCTTGTTCACTATCGTCAGGCTGGTGACTCTGATAATTTGAATCCATGAATATTCTCGGGAAAATCTACAAGAGCAAAGCAAAGAATTAGAGTGGTTCGCTTGTCAAATCATTGTTTGAGCCGAGTGATGGTATGAGTACCAAACCTTACGCATGCCAGCTTCGTTACCTCTTTGTAAGTACTACTGTAAACTTGTTTATTAGTTATTTGAGTCATCGTATGTATTTGTATACATATGATGGTACAATGATATTGTGATTCAACCAAGATCAGGAGATGGAGTCGATGTTAATGAGGTGGAATTCGAAGATGACGGTATTATCAGCATTCTTGTGGTGCATATAATTTTGTATCCAGTTGCAGTAGATGGGCATCTAGGTGTAGAAAGCGAAGTTCGGAAGTGTGTTGTTCCTTTGCCCTATAAAGTATATGCAGATATCAATACAAAAATAAAACAAATACAATAATATATATATATATATTTATTATCTATATAATATTTTGTTTGTACATGGCATGCCGCACACATCTGTACACATCATGCTAATCCGTAAATATAAACAATTAGAAAAAGACTGTAAAATAGTGGATAAAAAAAAAGATGTATTTATTTTGAAAAGCACTACTCTGGTAAAGTGACTGTCAAATCCTCGGGAATGGGAACTTCCTTCTCATCAGGCACTCGCTTTAACAAGCTGTCTGCATTTTTTTTTTTGCAAACACCTGGCGATAAATCCACAAACAGCATTGATAAACTTTGGGAACTACTTTAAAAAGTAAAAAATATTAAAAAGTTATTATTATTTTCTTTAAAAAAATATATCCCTGTTTAACTTTAGAGTGTTGCGTTGAGGCAAAATCAAATCAAGTTGTCATAAAGTTCAAATAAAGAAATCTAACTTTTACGTCTTCAAAGCATTTTTCAACACCAGAAAATTGGAGGGGGATTGCGGCATTTTGGGATCATTTTGCCATAGAATTTTGTACCAATTTAATAGAATTCTGTGGCAATTTAATAGGACTCTGTGGCAACTTCAAAATACAAAGCACATCTGCTGAAATACAATATTTTGAACTAAGCGACACAAATTTGACAAATATAAAAGTGGGTATTTTTTGGGAACTCTATTTTACCACAACACAGCATCTACTCTATTCTACATTTATGCTATCTGTGGTATTTACCTGTTTCTCGGAAGGTATAATTACATCCGTAAAATAAGTATTTTAGATATCGCTGTATTAACAACATGAAACATATCTAACCGATCAATGCTTGTCTTATTTCAAGCAGGGTCTTTAACAGTTCATTAATATAAACTCGACTGGTATTATCTTGGAAGAAATTAGCCGCGTTCTCATTCTTGTTTTTTTTTCTCGAAGAATCTTTTACCTAGTATAGTCTATAATAAGTCTAATTAAACTTTAAGTCTTTTTCGATCTGTCTTTTATTAATTGCAAGATAATATCCCATTATCATTCCATGAAAACAACAACCTGCCCATACTGTGCGGTATTAAAAGCATGATTTTTTTATAGAACGATAATATGCCGCTTGGACACTTTTCAATGATGTGTATTTGCCGAATAGATCAATGTCTTTCTCAGCTTCATAGCAAGCAGTCCAGTTCATTTTAGCTCTATGTTCTTTTCTGTAGTTGTTAATAAATTGCCAATGATTGCTTGTCGAAATTCCGGTAGATGATAAGGATGTAGGGATATATCTCTTATGTAATTCTTCTATTAAATCCAGCTCATTCTGAAGGCATTCACTTGTTCGTTTTTGAGCTTTAGGCTCTGAAACGTTCTCAAGAACGAATGACACTGTTCGGTTGATTTGCGGCACTGATTTTCTGCAAATGATTTCAATGGCTTCTTGTCTTGCTTCTTTATTGTCTGTTTTATCTCTGAGTACAGGCGTGGCAATTCCGTATAATAGTTTAATAATTGGCTCTTGTGTTTTTTCTATATTCAAAATGGATAGCTTTTGTTCAATAAAAAACGGTCCAGTGCATTCAAAGGATCAAGTAGCTGTTGGTCGAAATATGAAGAAATAGTTTTTGCACTAATATAGTAAAACTCTTGTACCCACTCATGGCAATACATCCCTCTTGCTAAATACCATCTCCTCTCATTCATAAGTGATATCCTTGAATTCCTGACTCGTGCTGTGAATACAAAAACCACTACAACAGGTTACACTGGATATTGTTTTCTGATCATCAAACGATATTCATGAGGCGACCGAAGAAGGCACCACTGACTGCATATTGAACTTCGATAATCTAGGCGGTAATTTCTTTGCTTTTGCACGGCTAACTGGGCAGTGCACTGCATCCGATCGTGTATAATTCATCCATCAAGTCGGTTTTGCCTCGTATTCATTTTCAACATGTTGGCCTGCACAAAAATATAATTAGTATATTTTTTGATAAAAAGATGCTATACATACAAATAACACTTTTTACAATAAGACTTACGACATATTTATCATGCATGATCTATTTGTTCATTAAGTCTGTTCTTTGTGTGTATTTTGATGCCAACTGAAAATAAAGGCAACGTTACGGATAGCCTGGCAGGACAGCCCAAAAGCATGTTACATTACTTAGTTACGTGTTTGTGCAATTGTTATTTTTGCGCGACGGCTTGGGCAGCTCAAAATTATCTTACCCAAGTCGCATATTTGGGCAATTTTTTTTTTTTTAAAAAAAAAGGGGGGTAGCCAGTCATAGATTAGTCTGATTGACTGAATTCAGGATGAACTTTTTTTACTTTTCTTTTGTCCTTTTTTTTGAACTTTTAGTCTGTCCACACAAAGTGTATTTGTGATGAATTTTTTTTATAGCTACATCTAAATTTAGAGTCCAAACAACTAATAATTGAATATATTGCACTTTTTAAGATATGATATTTTGTCCTGAATGATTGGAGAAAGACACCTGGCCTCGGACAGGTAGTAAGAATTAAGTATTCTGGTTAAATAGAAACTTCGTGCTCCATCAGAAAACGTTGGTCCTGTTGGAGTGCTGGTTTAAAAAAGAAAGAAAATTGAGCTATCACTTAAGCGAATTTTTGTTCAATGGAAGACGAACTTTGGGAGTGGAGCCACTGTATTTGGATTTTTGCGTTTCAAAAGACTAAAAGCTTAATAGCCATCTGTATATAGCTTAATATAAAATGAAGCTCACTGGAAAGTGAACATATTTAGAAAACCCCAGTGTTCAACATCCAGAATTCTTGGTTTTTGAGAAAAAATAGTAGATCACATTTTTCCTTTTCTATACTTTATACATATATATTATAGATGTACGACCATGTCAAAACTCCCTGAATAATTTACCAGAAAAAGGTGTACTACATATGATATCATCGAGTATGTCAAGTGTTTTATATGGTATTTTTTCTAAAAAAATAAAATAAAAAATTAAGAGTATTTTCTGACGGGTGTACAGTAAAGAAAGGAATGAGATCGCAATGGTTTGTTTGGCTTGGTAGATATGTGCTTGTGCGTGGTGTATGTTTAATTGAGCAAAGTACAACATTACTTGATACCATTCTGATTTCTTGTTTTTCTCAATTGGTTGGATTATGCTGCTTGTGGCCCAAGAATATAAAATAAATGTATAATAGCAAAGACATATGTATATCATAAACACTTACGAAGAAAAGAGGATAAGAAAACTTTCTTGTTAATAATAAAACAGAAGGGGAGCAATGTTAGTACTTTATTCAGTTGAGATATAGAGCTTTATATTTTACACATTGAAATAACTATTAAGAATATTTGTAAAGGGTTTTTTGCTCTAAAAATATTATCTACAAAGGATAAAACGTTCAGATTGAGCATTCGGTTCTTTGAAACAAAATCACCATTATTGTTTTCTATATATGTGTATATACTTACAGGCATTCTCGCTATATGATAGCAAGAAATCTCATTTTGGAATTGGCTATCAATTGCACAGGATCCAGTAGAAAACAACTCTGATCGTAGTACTTGTTACAAAAGCATTCTAGCGTGGAAACCAAAAGGATATATTGTGAGTTGAGTCAGAATATGTCAGAATATATGACATACACACTTGATGACAAAAAGGTTATTTTCCTATATTGTGAGTAACAGATATAATGGAAAAGAGGTTTGGTAATTAACGTTGGAAGGAAGTGTATGAAACACAACTAGAGTGTAACGATACACTTTTCCTGCCTCTTTTTCTGTTTTTTTTTCTTTCTTTCTTTTATTAAAGCTTAATATATATATATGTATATATAAATGTGTAAATGTAACATTATTAGTAAGTAATCGATGTCGTTTACTTGCTTTGCAATTCCTCGTATACACATACAATTGGATAAACAGCCTGGTAATATCTGTGTTCAAAGACTCCCATTCCCACGCCTTCGCTTGCTTATTCCTCTTCTTCTTTGTCTGCATATGTGTGTATATGAGTGCTACTTGCAGATTTTAGTATACTTTGTGGCAAAGATCACCAGGGTAATTTTTGTCTATGTGACAGGTATGAATGTCTGATCTAAAAAAAAGCGTTTGTCTTTCTTGTCTTTCTTTGCTTATCAAGGCCTGTACATTAATACACACTCGATACCTATATATTATAAATACATGTAGTTCTAAAAATACTTATTCTGTTATCAAGGTCCTTGATATGAATGCTGCTTAGCTTAGCTTAGCTTAACTTAGCTTAAATAATTACTCTTATAATTCTACATGCAGAGCAAATTACTACTGTTGTAAAAGTTCTATAGGCAACGCAAATGCCAAACAAGCCGTGGGAGATATTTTTACACACTTGGCCGCATTTTTTGCTCCTTGCTGAAGGGGAATACAGACAAAAGTATCGGGCATACCAAGCATGTTATCTGATCAAATGACCTTTTTTTTAAATTTTTATTTTTATTTTATATTCGTAATATCAATACTACTAATCGACTGCTTTGTGCACATCACTTCAAAATATCTGTACATTGAAGTTTCTCTTAATTGTACACATGCCTATACATACTGTTTGGCCCTTTTTTTATTTCTTTTTGATAATCTAACTTGAATGGCGAATTTTAAGAAAATTCAAAGATATGTCATTTCTGAACAAGGTACGCTAATAAACTTCAAATTAATATAAAGAACACCGAACACTAATTTGAATATCGTTTGTAAGGAGATTTGATCGATATTCTATGCCAAGTTATGTAAATTACTCTTCTTTATCTATATGTTTCTCTATTTTATTTATATTATTATTATTATTTTGGAATACAAAACACTTTAGAATTCGATGAGTCATGAATCGTAAAATAAATAAATAAATATATGTAGTGAAACTACCTCCGCTTACTCGGTCATTTATATTATCGCTTTCCACACTATAAACCACAATGGATGAATGGGAGTCGGTTAAAAAAGAAAAGGAAAAAGGCAAGAAACTTTATAACCTCCGCTACGCCAATCTTATCCTATCGTTCGGATGTCTGGGACTCTAATGTCGGTAAATTAAATTAAAAAAGTAAAATATATAGCAACCATCAAGATCTTCAATTTTTATTTCATTTTTCATCTCAACTCAACACCAAATATGGACTACACCAAGTTTATGAGCGAAAGAAGCCAGGCCAGAAACCCTTCTGCCAGTAAGAGAAAGAAAACAAATGATAAACAATTCAATAGAAAAGATTCTTTTAATCTAATCAAACAAACGTCAATTACACTCTCTAGTTCGTGCTCTTATGCCTTACATGAACTGCAAAAATATGGTAAGAAATCATATATACACACACACACACAAAGAGAGAGAGAGACAAGTCTTTAACAATCTTTATTCTTTGGTCTACATAAACTAGATCTCTTTGGGTGCTGGACAACCCAATCCTAGCACATTCCCTTTCGAGAGCATGCAATTGAAGCTCAAGACAGGCGAGATTATCGATGTGGATCCTCAGTTATTCCAGCGAAGTTTGTCTTATGACCTCACTGTAAGGAAAATCTCTTTGTTTATTTGAACAACCATGAAAATCCATAGATATAGATCTAGATCCTAGATATATATATATATATCAGAATTATTATTTTTTAAAGAAACTCACTCACACTATATTCTACTTTTAGTCTGGATTATCTCCTCTGAACGAGTGGTTACGGGGACTTCATACTCTTGAGCATACCCCTCTTGTTGACTTTGGTCTCTCCATTGGTTCCGGATCTCAAGATCTTCTGACAAAGGTATTTATACAAAGCTAAATACTTATCAAAGTATATGGAGCTGTGTATTAACTTTATCATTTCTGTTTTTGTGGTTGTTGTCTAGGCATTTGATATGGTTATTGACCCAGGAACAGCCATCCTCGTGGAAGATCCCACTTACACCGGTGCTCTCTCTTTTTTGGACACTCTAGATTGTGACCTAGTTCCAGTTGCAACAGATGCGGATGGTCTTGTCCCAGCTTCACTCGAAAAGACTCTTGCCAACTGGCCCGAAAGTAACCCTATAAAAAAGAAGAACCAGGCTCGCCCCAAGGTTCTCTACACAATTCCTACAGGTGGTAACCCTACTGGTATCTCTTCTACCTTTGAGCGTAAAAAGGCTATCTACAAGATCTGTCAAAAGTACGACATTCTGATCATTGAAGATGATCCATACTACTACTTGCAGGTAAATAAATTACACAATATGTCTATAGATATGTTATACATGTATACTTATGAATCCTTGTCATTTTCATTTGGGTTGGAATAGTTTGATCCCAAGCGCATCAAGTCTTATGTAACCATAGACACAGATGGTCGTGTACTCCGTATGGACAGTATGAGCAAGATCCTTTCGTCTGGTATGCGTATTGGCTGGGTGACTGGTCCCAAAGCCTTGATTGAACGAATTGATATGCATACCATGGTGAGTATTTGCTTGTTGTCTTTAAATTGTCTTTTTCTTTTCTTTTCTAACTAAGCTTGTATTGTTGATATTTTGTTTCTTTCTTTAGGTTACTAACCTTCAGCCAGGAGGTGTTCCCCAGCTTATGGCATACGAACTTTTGAAGGTGTGGGGCTACAAGGGTTTCCTCAATCATGTTGAACATGTTGCTGGATTCTACAAGTCAAAGAGAGATGAGTTTATCAAGGCCCTTGAAAAGAGAATGACAGGACGTGCTGAATGGGTCACTCCCAATTCTGGAATGTTTGTCTGGCTCCGTCTGTTGGGAGGAATCACTGATTCATACGACTTGGTTATGAACAAGGCTATCAAGAAGAATGTCCTTGCTGTTCCTGGTGTTGTAAGTGATCATTTTGTTATCCCAACTTTTTTTTAAGAATAATAATAATAATAATAATAATAATAATAATCTAATTTATGATTTCCATAAACAGGCCTTTATGCCAGCCAAGAACAAGAACCCATATATCCGCGTGTCTTTTAGTTGCGTTACTACTGACAATATGGATGAAGCTCTGCGACGCCTTGCTGAATGTATTGACGAAGAAGCTGCTAAGAACCATATTCAGCTCAAAGTCAAATAGGTTATTTTCCTTGTATCCATTCCCCTTCCTCTCCTAACCATGTGTATATTCTTTGAACCCACCGTATATTTCTTTTTTTTTTAAAAAAAAAAGGGTTTTGAGATTTTTAGCCAAGCTTTATCTTATTTCTCTATATATAATTCATATCAATCATCCGTATACAAGAAATTTGTACCTTTTTTTTTCTACACACTATCTTGTATCTGCTTATTATATTAATAAATACAACACACACATATATATTACCATTATTACCATTATCTTTTCTTTTTAAAGAAACCCTTTAATTGTTACATTATTGACCAAACTTTGTACGATTAATAAATTGATCAAAAAAAAAGACACACACACACGATTATATATATATACAAATCTTCTGGCAAAGTTGTCTATGTAAGACATTGATTTATTTCGGATATAACCTTGAAAAAGAATTCGTTGATTTTTTTATTATTTGTTTCAATTTTTTGTTACATTTTCATTTACACACACACTACTTCACACTACTCCACGTTATTTCGCAACACTCCATTCAAATTCACTCCACTACATGTCATATAAAATATATTCTATTATATATATCTACCAAGGTATTGCAATATGTTTGGCTATTGTTGTTGTTGTTGTTGTTGTTTTTTGAAAGATAATTCTAAAACGTCGAGTTCTATTGATATAAAAAGCCCACATAGAAAATCCACACATTAAAAAAAAGGCAAACTCATCCAATTTATTCTGTATCATCGTCGGTTCCAATTGAAAAACGTCCAGAGTCCGAAGAAGGCGATAATGCTATTATTTGTATGCGTAAGAAATATATATATATAAAGATATATATTTATATATTTATATATTTGTGTATGTATGTATAGGTAAGTATATAGGTATGTATATTGGTATGCGTGTATGTAGGTATGAAAGAGAGAGAGAGAGAGAGAGTGTGTGTGTGTGTGTGTGTATTTGTGTATTTGTATATAGTTGTGTACATAAATGAGTAGGTTCGCATATATATATATATATATATATATACGATTTTGCAACCCAAGGGATTTTACAAGTCTTTAAACTCATGTAGCTTCTTTTTTTCTTTGCTTTCAAAGCATGGCTACGAAACGCGCTCTTTACTACGGCTTCGCGTCGAGTATTAAATAAAGAAGAGTATGACTTGTAATTTTTTTCCTTGTGGTTGCGTTTTGTTTTTACAAAGAAGGAGGAGAAGAAGTATGATAATAAGATAGTAATAGTAATAATAATAATAAAAAGAAAAGCATTATTCTCTACATGCCCATGGTTGGAGCGGCCTTTGGTCTTCCTGGTGGCTTACGGTTGGCAACAGTTCCAGTGTCGACGTATTTCTTGATGATATAACCAACTGTTGATCGGGGAACTCCTTCTGCTTCTGCAATTTCCATAATTGTCATTCCACACTTGAATCTTCCAATGATGATTCCTTTTTCAAAGTCGGATTTCTTTTGAATTTTTCTGAGGTTTCCGCTTTCTGAATTTTCAGACATTGTCGTCAGTGGTTATTGCAATAATGATGGTGATATTTATGGTGCTGGTGATTGTGCTGGTGACGCTGGGGAAGTGAATGAATGAAGAAGAAAAAAATATATATAAAAATACAAAATACAAAAAATATAAAATATAAATAAAATATAAAAAGTCAGATTTTTTTTAAATAATAAAATAATTATTATTATTCCTCTCTTTGTCTGCGTGTGTGAATGAGTGTGTGCGTGTATGTGTGTGGCAAGGGGGGGGGGGGAGGACTCGTCCACATGTGTTGCACCACCGAACATTGGTACATAAACACTCCGATACGGTTTAAGGTTATTTTTCTTTTTTGAAACAGAAAATGAAATAAAGGTAAGACAAAGCAAGACAAGACAAGGCAAGAAAAACAAGTTTTAGTTCGAGATATAATCTGTACACACTATGCTAGGCACACGTTAATTTTTGATATATCGTTTAAAGGGAAAAACCTTTTTGCAGTCATTAGATAGACAAGTATAAAAAAAAATGTGCCGTTCTATTTTTGGGTGCTTTAATTTTTGATCCCACTGCTTCAAGACCAAATTCAAATTAAATTCATGCTCACCACTCACTTGAAATAATTGTTTCAAATCTATCCACACACACAATAACAACAACAACAAACGCAGCAACAAAAACACTACCCAAAACATAAATGAATCATTGTTTAATGAGATATATTTTATTATATGTAGTCTTCACATTATTGACCACTCAGACTCTTGCTTAACATGTCATTGATTATTATAATTATAATTCAAAATAAACAAATAGATAGAATACCAATCGAAATAAGTAACTATGGCAACAAATTTTGTAATTTATGTCATTAAAGTTTATTAAAAGAAGAAGAAAAAAAGAATAAAGCAATCTTTTTTATGAAAATGCTTAAATTGCGGGGTTTCATTCCTAGAAGGAGATTTAAACACAATTATGAGACATCACTGTGACAGGCGAATCTCTCTATCTATCTTTTTTTTTGAATTTAAAAAAAAAATGGTTGGCAGGGAAAAAAGTGGGGGTTACGACTTTGGTCTTTCTGCAAAATAAAATATAGTCATGTCAACCTCTATTACCATTCCTTCTGCATGCGATTTCCATGTCCATCTTCGTCAAGGAGAGATGATGCGCATGGTCACCCCCAAGGTGGTTGAGGGTGGTGTGTCTCTTGCATATGTCATGGTGAGTAAAGAATAACAATGATAAATTACCGAGCCTCTGGGAGAAAGTATGACATATTATATTGCACACACGCATATGTGCATATATTTTTATTTATTTATTTGATATTAACAGTTGTTACAAATGTCTCTCTCTTTATATATATATATATAAATTTAGCCCAATTTGCAACCCCCAATCACAAACACTGATCAAGCTCTGGCTTACAAGAAAGAGCTTGAGGCACTTGCCCCAGAAGTTACTTTCTATATGACCCTCTACCTCTCTCCAGAGCTTACACCTGAAGAGGTCCGCAAAGCCAAGAAGGCCGGAATTGCAGGTGTAAAGTCCTATCCCCGCGGTGTGACTACCAATAGTGACAGCGGCATTGAGAACTATGAGATCTACTATCCTGTGTTCAAGGCCATGGAGGAAGAAGGCCTTGTTCTCAATCTTCACGGCGAAGTACCCAGCGACCACAATGCCGACATTTGTGTGATGAACGCCGAAATCAAGTTCTTGCCCGAACTCGAGAAGCTTCACAACGCATTCCCAAAGCTTAAAATTGTTTTGGAGCACGCTACAACTTCGGCTGCTGTTGAGCTAGTCAAGAGATTGGGAGACACTGTCGCCTGCAGTGTCACTGTCCACCATTTACAGCTTATTGTTGATGACTGGGCTGGTCAAGTACACCATTTCTGCAAGCCTGTTGCAAAGTACCCCCATGATCGTGATGCATTGAGACAAGTTGTTGCACAAGGTAACTATCATTCGTGTGTAAATATATATATATATATGTGTGTATACATACAATTGATTAGGATCAAACATTTACAAAAGAAGAAAAATTACTAAATTACTTTTTTTTATATTAACTTACAAGGACATCCTCGTTTCTTCCTCGGTACCGATTCCGCACCTCATCCTAGCCATACCAAAGAAACCGCACATGCATGTGCTGGTGTCTTTACCACCCCTCTTGTTCTGCCTTATCTTGCCAAGATCTTTGAGGACATCGGATGCCTGGACAAACTCGAGGGATTTGCTTGTCAGTTTGGTAAAAAGTTCTACGGTTTGTCTCAGAAGCCTGGTTTCAAGGATAACAAGGTGACTCTTGTCAAGGAAGCCGATGAGATTGTTCCCAAGCAATACCAGATCTCTAGCACCACTGCTTCTCTTGGTGCTGTTGTTCCATTCTTTGCTGGCAAGGAGATTGGATGGAAGATCAAAACCAACTTTTAAATATATATATATATGTATGCACATTGATTATGGAAAAAGAAAAGATTAATATTTTTTTAGTTATTGAATTTCAAGCTGATGTGTACTTCTTTGAATTCTAAAAAAAAATCAATAACAATTAGCACATGTCTCGTATTAAATCAACGTGGAGTAGATTGTGTCTACTCTCAGAATGCATAACCTGCTATTTTACAAGAGTTTTTTTTTGGGGCAACCTTTGACATTATTTGCCTAGAGAGACATTTTCAGATCATACTTGAAATCATGCTACCAAAATAATTTTTTAAAGACCATGTTTCCATTTCTTTTTTCAAAAGCAGTATGTAGATACATCGAACTATACAAGTTGTACCTGTTTGATCTGATAATCTTGTTTTAACGTAGTCCCAGAAAAAGTGATTTGTTTCAAAAAAAATTGAAAAAATTATATATATATCTTGGAATGAAAATAAGGAGAGTGAGAGAAAGAGATGAATTTGAGGTTGGGGATATTAAAGTAGTAAAGTCCTTTTCTTTTTCAGTGGTGTTCCAAGAGACTCCACATCAATTTCATCTTGGTGGTTACGCATGCCATCGCCTTCTTCTACGTGGTTGTAATATTCCATAAACCGGGTAAGGTCTGACTCAAATCGGTTGTCATCAATACTCTTACGGATTGAAGCCATAAAGTTATCCAATTGGTAAACATTGTGGCTAGAAAACAACAATAGTAATTAATTAAAGAATTATATATACGTATGTATGTATGTATGTATACAGAAGTGTGGACCATGCTACAAATTTGTTGTTCTTAGTATTCATTACCTCATCAACAGGATCGGTCCCAACATTTCATGTGCGTTCAGCAAATGATGAATATAAGCCTTTGTGTGGGATGCATTACATGCGTAACATCCACAGGTCGAATCAAGTACTTCAAAGGAGTGGGACATACTGGGATCCCAAAGATTGACGGTCTTGGGCTTGTCTCTGGCTGTGTTATCCGCAGAAATTTCACCAAATTTGAAAATCATGGCACGCCCCTGTTCTGTAACCTTGTACGCATAGCTGTATCAACCAAACTACCGTCAATATAAAGCAATGCATACATATATTATATTGTATTAAGCTATCAACTTTACCTGCCATCAAATAGATCAGCGCCACTGGCAACAGCATCCAAAATACCCTCTAAAAATTATAAAATAATAATAAATTATATATATATACAAAGTCATTTTTTTTGTTCTTACCTGGTGTTCCAAAGCCATAGACAATTCTTGGCTTGTTTTTAGGGAGGTTTCTCAAAGAGGCCTTTGCAAGCTTAAGAGTAGCTTCATTTCCGAGTCCAAGTCCAATAACATTTACAGTAAATCCTGAAAAGAATAAAGAGTCAATACAGAAACATTTACATGAATTTATTCTTTCTTCTTCCTTTTTATTTAAGTCATTTTGTATTAAATCGATTTATACTAACCATCCACATCTCTCTCTGCAGTGCTGACAGCAGATCGTGCACGCTCTTCTTCACTTGTGTGACCTACAACCGGAGCAAATACAGGAATTCCAATTTCCTAGACCCCAATTATATAAGGTACTTGCACTAACATACACATACACCCATACATATTTACTTACCTTTGCTTTTGGAAGTATATCGTCTAACCAACGAAGAGATCTATCCACAGAACGTTTTATCCGCTTCAATTTGGCATCGTTGTCTGTCACGATATCGGCCATGAGCGCACACATGTCAGGGTTGTAAGCCTTCATGGCTTGAGCCCACATTTCAGGTGTGATCTGACGTACACCACCATGAGTAGATACGGACAGGTATTTATCGGTATTAAAAGTGACAGCTTCCTGCTTCATTGGATCACGCATATCGCAGAATACAAGGTGATCAAGCTAATGGCAGAATAATTTTGTTAGTCAAAAATCCAAGTATCTTTCACTATTTCCCTTTCTTTTCTTTCTTTCTCTCTTTGTGTATGTGTATGAATGCGGATTACCTCGAGATTCAAATATTTGTGAATGCCATGAGGATACTTGAATGACATTGGTTCCTTTTCTTCAACGCTACGCAGTATCAAGTTAGTTGACGAATACACACACACACATATATATATGTATTGTTTTGTAACAATATATCTAAGAATTATTTGTATCAATCGAATACTTACAACTGCTCGAGTGTCACTTGCAGGAGTTGGACAGGCAAGAGTTTGACATTCTCTGCAACAAGATGCGGGACTGAGCCTCGGACGGTATATGTCAAACATGCAGGGGTTTGAATAGTTTTGGCCTTTTTTGAGAACTGAAGTGTGCCTCGTCTTACAATCCCAGATGCAGAGGGGGCATCTGTCAGTTGTTGCAAGGTGAAGCTCAGAGCACTTGTCATCCTTTGCATGTGCTAAGTTAAAATGTTACTTTTTTCTTTTTTTGGGCCAGCCGTTTTGGGAAAGTTCAGGACGTCGAAAAATTAGGGTGGCTTTGGCGACACTTTCTTACAATTTCCCAATCGGTGAATAAATTCCAAGTATACGGTTTGTCAATTATACATGAATGTAAAGTGTAATCTGTTCCCTGTGCTTGTTCCTGTGCCTGTGCCTGTACCTGTGATGCGTATACATTTATTTGATAAAATTATTACGTCTCAAGCCGATTAACTCGGCTCAAAATCTGTTTATGACAAGACAAAACATGGGCGTGTGCATGCAAGTTTAATCTAGAAAGGTACAAGGTAAAATAATGTGATTTTGTGTATAGGTTTTTTTTTGCTTTCATAAAATTAATAATGTTCTCCAGACCTTGCAGCAGTCTTACAGGAACAACGTTTCCTGGTGGGGCATAATATTTCTATACAACCGGACTAATCAATTGTGGCTACATGTCTGGGCTGGCGTCTTTCTCTAGTCCTTTAGGGCAAAATGGTGTGTCTTGAAAAAACCACAGTATATTCATTGTATCCATTAACTTTACTACTTTTTGTTTATGTATCTCTCGCCAGGCACCTAACTCTCATTATTTTAAGAGCCACAATCTGTATTTGGGCAACTTAATAATAAAATACTGTCTCATACGAAAAACAAATCCTGTATATTCAATTAATAGCAGTTTGCGTCTCAAATTTAAACTTGGTCATAAAAAAAACAATAATTAGTCCTAAATGCACTATATCAATAGCCAGCTTTATAGAAAATTATAAGTTGTCATTAGAGTGTGATACAATCTTGTTAAATATTTTACTATTTATCTGCCTTCTTATGCGTATAATGTCTTTCTCTTTCTTTCACCTAAATATTCCCAGAGTTCGACAGCACCAGCTGGTAACTAACTCCCACCCACTCTTTTTTGCAAAGCACAAAAAAATCTTTATGAATATCTTGTATCCTGGCTGGTATTAATTATTATACTAAGAATGGATCCGTAGGGACCAGATGGTTTTATTCCATACCGATGAAAAATGCTACAATTTATGGTCTGGTAGAGTCAAAATGAGTTGAATTTGCTATAACTCTATGGCAAAACGACCCCAAATTGCCACAATCCCTCTCCAACTTTACGGTGTTTAAATACTTTGAAAACGTAAATGTCCGGCTTCCTTATTTGGACGTTATGGCAATTTGATTTGATTTTGCCAGGACACGACACCCACTCTTATATATCGATCCCGGAAAATAATAGGAATCCCAAAAGGGAGCAAAATCCCATAAAGAAAGGGGATGCCGATAAATTTGCTGTTCACCAGCGTACGAGGGACTCATCTAGGGAATTCCCTCGATGATTCCCTCGTACGCTGGTGAACAGCATATTGGTGGTAATGCTTAGTAGATCAGACAAGCAAAGTTAATATTTTTTTAAGAAAAAGTAAAAAATGAAATACAAATTATAGTAAAGAAAAAAGTAAAAACATGTCTATTTAAAGTGAGGGTAAGAGTCTATTCCTTTCCTTCATCACGGCGATGAGAAGTATATTTTCTTGAAGTAAGGTTCTTTACAACATCATGGGCTTCTTTTACATTCATGTCTTGGCTGTATGCCTCAATGTAGCGCCAAGAGTTGTTGTAGTATCGTCGGATATTAGGTAACTTCCCAGCATGATCGAGAAAAGTATGGATGTTTTTATCTAGGGGCTTATAAGTGTAATCACACTGAAGATGAGCTTCACACTTTGCAGCACTCCATTACCTCGCGATCCAATTACATTTGCAATGGAACTTAGGGTATAGTTCAAAAATGTGACCCGAGTCTTCAACAGCCTCATGAAGAGCAGTTTTCTGTGACATAAAATCTGGTCGAGAAGCTAGAAAATGATGTGCACAGTACTTGCTATCTTCAGAGGTGTCCTTTTTGCAGTCCAATCTTCATTTATTGCTAGGATTATGTGGGTCCTTTTCCAACCACATACCATGCTCCTCTAGAAATTTACATGTACCCTTCACGTACTTCACCTTCTTGGTCATCCACTGTCCATTCTTCTTCGCAAACCACTCGTCTTTCTTGTAGTACATCGATTGTACTTGTTGCACACCGTCTCGGACAAAAGTGGTATTTCTCAGCTAACAAGGATCATCTTCTTCAACTTCTTTGTCGCCCAGAGTTATTTTTGTTGCTATCAAAGCATTCTGAGTATAGGCCTTGTGGTTTGTGCTTTGATCGAATGCAAAAACGGCCTTACACCCAGGGTGAATTATTGCGAAAAAATGAATCGAATTGCTCTCTAGCTGTATCAGTATATGACTACTAGTTCAATATCCACCTCTATCAGTTCTAGGGTGGAACATCTCACGACTGGGTCACACATAGTTAGTCATGGTATCATGTCATGCACATTTGAATTCACTATCCATAAACGACACGCTAGGGCCCTTCTTTCTTATGGGATTCTTACCCTCCACTAGCCACATAGCTTCTTTCCCATCGTTTGAATAGAACGTCGACTCATTATGTGTGACAAGGACAAGTTCTATTCCATTAGTTGATGGTTGTGGAATAGTTACTCCACAATTCTCGCCATCTTCGCCTTATAACCCATCATTCTATTTGCCCATTTCTTTCGATATTCGAGCACATCGGCTCTCTCGTGATCATCGTAATACATGTCTTTGGGTTTTTTTTCTGAAAATATATCCCCATTTGTGAAGATACTTCAAAACTGTACTTGTTGAGACGCTTTCTGGAATTTCAAGTCTTTTTGGTATAACAACCTCATCGATATGTTTTTTAACAAGGATAGTACTGCGACTTTCTGGCTTCTGTTGCTGAATCCACTTGTAAATCGATGCCTTAAAGTCCACGCCGGAAAACAAAGAGAAACTAATAGCATGTTTTCCTTGCTGGTGTAATGCAATTGATCGGAAATCGATATATTCTTTTGCATATTTTCTTATCATTGCTGGGCGATAAGTGTTGGTATGTAGCCATACTTCCATAGCTGCCTTCTAAGATGTTTTCATTTTCTTACTTCCTGAGAGTCTATGTCTTAAATAACTTTCAGCGGGTTCGAGTTTACAAAGCTTATAATGGTCTATTGGCTGAGATGAGCCACTTATCCGAGTAAATGGAGCAATTTCTTCTTTTATATCGTTAAAGGCAAGCTTGAGGAGAGAAATTGTATTCGCAGATAATTTCTTAGAAGTAACTTCGACTAACTCTAATTCTTCATTGACAGACTCTTTTTGACTTGAAATCGTAAACGCTTTTTCTGTTAGAAGATAACTTCCTTGACGATCGAAAGATTCCTTCATAGACTTTCTCTTTCTCCACTTAGTTATCAATGAATTCATCTGATATGTACCACGGAGTGACTTATCAGGTCCCTCGTGCAATTTGAGGAAGTGACGAGAATGATTTGCCGAAGTAAGATCAACTGTAATTCCCTGAAGTTCTCTACCATCCACAGTAATATTTTCTTCAAAGCTAATCTCAAATAAGTCAACCAGGTTGTCATTTCTAGCTTCTACGTTTTTTAAAGAAACAATTTCCAGATTATGATCGGGGTTTGCTTTTTACTAATCTTGATTTCTTGCTGGTAAGAGGAAATTTTGATGAATTTGTTTTGTAGATTAAAATGTTTAAGTATTTAGAAATGCTTTTATTGATGAAGTAAAAGTAAATAGAAGGTATACATTAAACATGTCAGTCTCTGTTGCATGAGTATCTTTTTATGGAACAGGTAATATAGATCTCCGCCATTGGCAGGGGAAAATAAATTTTCAATATTCAAAAACATTAGAACTCCGCTATTTTATACATATACCTCTTGACTTTGAAGGTCCATGACTTTTTATTCAAGCCTTTTTTCAAAATCTGTTGGACAAGGATTATTAAGAAAAGCGTTTTATATAAAGCATGTTTAAGCGATTCGGGATAGCTTGGCTGTACCAAAAGTCATGGAGCCTTGAAAAACACACACAGAAACTTAGCAGTTTATCTCCGAATGCACTATACGTAAAGAAACAAAAAAAGGAAAGATATTATGGGGGTGACATTGATATTACCCGGCCTTGGATAGAAACTATCTACGGCCCGACCAGGCAAACAAGGGACATATGGTAAATGCCGAATAATAGTAGAAGAAATCCAGCCACAGTTGATAAGAAGCGACTTTGTGTAAACTTATGATATTAATTTTTTTTTAAATAAATAAATCTAAATACAAAAATGTTTAAGGTACAAGCAAACGTTCTATTAAGAAAGGTATGAATATAAAGACATTTATTAACATTTGCTGAGTAAAATAGTCTTGAATTCAATAATGCCTTTGTTTCTACCTTATCCTGTACAACACACACCACCATTTCTTCATTTCCCATTGCTTTATTACAATTTTCAGTTGATGGTTTAAAATCATAAACTAACAAAATGTTAATAATAATGAGTACTACTTGGTGGATAATTCATGTGCAATTGAATCTTAGAAATCCTATCTCAAATATTATTATTTTTATTGCCTGTAATTTGTGTATATTACACTTCTACGTAAAGTGATATCATTATTAAATTAGCTCATAGTCCTTTTCATATGCACACACATATATATTATACTACGCTTTAAAAATAGGGTGAATTTTCGAACGCTTTTACTGGTCAAAAATCCAGGAGGTTTCGTCGTGACTGGCTTGTTATTCTGTTGGAAGCATCCACTTGCGCGACGCAAAAGGAAAAGGCCAAGACATGTAGGACAAGAATATTCGTTAAGCCGACATGTCTTGGCTTTAAATATATATACATATGTGCGTTTGTGTACATATATAAATATAAAAGGAGACAATTCAAACATAAATTTTATTATTCGCCTTGAGCATAATCTTTTTCTCTTTCTTTCCCTTTTTCTTCTTAATTCGCAACACCAGCAAGAAAGCAAAATATCAAACAACATCATGTCTACCGATACTGCTGTGAAAACCCCTAACAATACCACACAATCCCTTACAGGAGCTTCAGGACACGTTGGAAACCTGACAGCCAAGCAAACAGCCGAGCTAAAAGATATCTGGATTCGTCTATTTAAATTGTTCGAACAACCTGGAACCGAATACAAACCCACAAAGTCAGAAACATCCTCAGAGTCCTCCAAGAAAAGCGGCTTCTTTGGCTTCGGAAAAGAGAAGAAAAAAGAGGATATAAACACAGATGTCTTTTTAGGCGCGACGACTGACCCTGCCTTACTGACATTACCCCTGGAGAAAGCTATTACCCTTATCCCTGGTTCCACTCTCCGCAAAACCTTTTGGAATGCTGTAGCTACCGACAACCCAGATGCTGTCCTGCTTCGGTTCCTCAGAGCTCGTAAATGGAATGTGGATGCTGCCTACAAAATGCTAATCAATACGCTTCGTTGGAGAGTGGCCATGCGCTTGGACGATATCATTGCGCTTGGTGAGACAGGCCTACGTGATGAACTAGAAAATCTGAAACCAGGTTTGGGAAAGTCTTTTGTCGGACAAGTCCACTCTGGAAAGGCTACACTCGGAGGCCCCGACAAACTGGGTCGTGGTGTTTGGTAGGTCTGGGAAAATAATGATATGGAGTGACGAGGTTGATGAGGCTAGAGTTTGCGAGTGCACATTTAATCTTACTTTATGTATAAACACGCACACACTTACATATACCTATATACATATTCATGTAGCTTTATCAATGTAAGACTTCACAACAAGGAAGCCCAATCTAATGAGATTCTCCGATTGATGACATTATTCGTTATGGAGGCATCTCGTACGGTAGTTGCGCAGCCATTAGAAGCCAACTGCATTTTATTCAACATGGATGGATTTACTCTCAGCAACATGGTAAGTTACTCGAATAAAGCAAACCACAAAAAAAAAGGATTACTTGTGGTACAAGAAAGAATCATTATCCTCGAGGGAATGAAGACTAGAGACTTTCGTGTAATTTTTGTACTAAACTTTTTATCTTATTTTAATTATTTTCTCGCAGGATTACGACTTTGTAAAGTTTCTAGTGACTTGTTTCGAGGCATACTATCCAGAGACCTTGGGAATGTGTATTATCCACAAGGCACCATGGGTCTTCTCTACAGGTACAAAAAAATAGTTGGACATAGCACATGAAGCAACAACAACAGCAACAGCAACAGCCGACTGATGTGATGTTTTTGTGTAATATAGTGTGGAACCTTATTACCCCACTATTGGACCCTGTGGTTGCAAGCAAAATTCATTTTACCAAGAACTTGGAAGAACTTTCAGAGTACATTTCGATAGCCAACCTTCCTTCTACTGTCGCTGGCGAGAAAGATGATGTGTTGAAGGATGAGTTAGATACAGGAGTCATATCTCCACCTGGTACCCTCAAGGAACCTGACTCTCCTGCTTTCCAAAACTACAAAGACACCATTAAAATCTACGAGCAACAGACAATCGAGTGGGCCAAGGCACCTGTAGTTGAAGGTGAAATTGACTACAGCAGTCGCCACGAACTCGCCAAGAAATATCGCATTGACCGTATCAAGGCTGAAAATAACATTAGAGGTCGTACATGTTATCATGAAAAGGGTCTTGCTCTCATTACTCCAGATAACAGACTTATTGTCGATTTTGGCAGTGAAGAGCTCCCTCCTCGTGATATCACAGAATGCGTTTAAAGCATATTCATTTTATTCATAAAATCATTGTAACTTCTTCTTTTTTGTTTTAATAAAGAAATGATATTTAAACACTACAATCGTATCCTTTGCTTTAGGTATTGTAGTTTGTTATTTTGTGGATCTAATTGAATTCCGATCTTTAATTTTAATATCCTTGTCATTTATTTCCTAAAATTTTCCCGTAAAGAAGTCCAACTTATTTACTTTTTTTTAGCGAGAGGTAATAAGACATTATCAAAGAAGAACTCTGGTCATAACATATTGTTAATAGACTCTCAAGACAATATTTAAAAGACCTTTAATCAAGTATAATGTACTGCAAGAATGATCTGTTTAATATGTAGGCATGGTTAGGCCTAGTGTCTGGTTCGAATAAAATGACTACCGATAAGAACTGGAAAAGAAGAAGAAGAGATTAATAAGTACAGCTTTGAAAATATCAATATAGAATAGAGTGAAAAAAATAATAGGTACACTAAATTTTCCGGTCTAAGGAACATTTCCTATTATAGTTTTACAATCACTACATGCACAATGTGTAGTGAAGACACTAACAAAACAAGGTCACATGTGGCGGTGTCGATAACTACTAGCCAAACTGCCTTCCCTCTCTTTTCTCTCTCTCACTAGCTCCCAACTTTTACGGCTCTATTTACATATAGGCTTATTGAAAATGGCAGGAATCAAGCGCAAACCCGAGGTCGAGATCCCTATTGCAGATGAGAATGATCTCTTAAAGATCACCCCTCTAGGCGCTGGTAATGAAGTAGGACGTTCCTCCATTTTATTAGAGTACAAGAGCAAGACCATCTTGGTAGGTTTATTCTTCTTGCTTTATTTTTTTCACTCTCATGTACCTCAGCAAGAGTTGACAGGGTAAGAGAGAAGGAGAAATATAATATATATCTATATATCTATATATTTAAATGTATATTTTAAATGTATATAAGAATAAATAGAAATACATATATATATATATATATATTATATAAAATCGAAATGTAATTAGAATTAGAATCATAATTAGACAAATAAAGCAAAAATGTCCTATAGTTTTACGAATCTTTTCAATAAAATTTTTTTACAATTATACAATCGAGTCTCATGCAAATCTGTCCGTTTCCTTGATTTGTTTCTTTTCTTCCTTCCTTTTCGTTTTGTTTTATTTTTCTTATGTCAACTTTTATACATCTCATGTGTTCACATGAAAAACAAAAAACAAAAACAAAAAACTGTAGCTTGATGCTGGTATTCACCCTGCGTACAATGGCTTGGCATCTTTACCCTTTTTCGACGAAATTGATCCTGCCAAAATTGATCTTTTATTGGTGACCCAGTAAGTCATATATATATATATAATACAAAGAAAAAGTAAAATAAGCTAGGGTTCAATAATACCTAGTAGTAAAGTTACTTTCTAGTACTTGTATTTAACATATGATATAGTTTTCACGTAGATCATGCTGCATCTGTACCTTATTTAATGGAGAGAGTAAGTATATGTACATTATGTATCATTAAAATGATAAATTTAAGAATACAAGAAAGTGACATATTATGAATTTATGTGTTTAGACTTCTTTCAAAGGACGTGTGTTTATGACACATCCTACAAAAGCTATTTACAAATGGCTTTTGAGTGATTATCTCCGTGTGAGGTAAATTATTTTCTTTGTGCACATCGAATCAATTGCTTTAACCAATTTAACAATTACATTTTTTTTCTTAAAAAAATAGCAACATTGGTGATGAAGACGAACTATATAACGAAGAGGAGCTCAACACATCTTTCCATCGAATTGAAGCAGTCGATTACCATCAACAAGTAGAAGTGGAAGGTATCAAGTTCACCGCATACAACGCAGGTCACGTTTTGGGTGCGGCAATGTTCTTGATTGAGATTGCAGGTGTAAAGGTTCTCTATACTGGTGATTACTCGCGTGAGGAGGATCGACATTTGATGGCAGCCGAGAAACCAGAAGGAGCTGTAGATGTTCTGATCACAGAAAGTACATATGGTGTCCAAAGCCATGAACCTCGTCTAACAAAGGAAATGAGATTTACATGTAAGCCTATTTTTTTATCCTTTTTTTTAAAAAAAAAGTTTTCTTTGGCTTGGTTTTGATTGATTGATTGATTAATGATTTGTAATTGATCCTGTATCTAGCTCTAGTACATGATATCGTCACTCGCGGTGGTCGTTGTCTGATGCCTGTGTTTGCTTTGGGACGTGCACAAGAACTCTTGTTGATTCTGGATGAATACTGGGACTCTCACCCAGAATTAGATAGTATTCCTATTTATTATGCTTCTAGTCTTGCCAAGAAGTGTATGGCGGTTTATCAGACATATATCAACATGATGAACGCACGCATTCGAAAACAATTCACAATCTCAAATCCATTTATCTTTAAGCACATTTCAAACCTAAAGAATGTAGAACAGTTTGAAGATTCTGGCCCTTGTGTGATGATGGCCAGTCCTGGTATGCTTCAGGTAAGCACCTCTCTCTAATATATGTACTATATCAAGTCATTCATCTGTTTTTGTTGTTGTTGTTGTTGTTGTAGAATGGTCTTTCGCGTGAACTGTTTGAACGGTGGGCGCCAGACAAGAAGAATGGCATGGTTATTACTGGTTATTGCGTCGAAAACACCTTAGCACGGGTAAGAATTGAATGCTTATTAAAGAATTTACTTTGTGTTGTTGTGGATGTATTTATTAAACTTTACAAAACCCTACTGTTATTAATATTATTGATAATAGAATGCTATGAATGAACCAGCAGACTTTCAAGCCATGGATGGTCGCAAGGTTCCTCTTCGAATGTCTGTTGATTACATCTCTTTCTCTGCCCACGTTGATTATACTCAGAACAGTAAATTTATCGATGATGTGAAAGCACCCCATGTGGTATGCATTACTATTATAGAGAAATTCTCACAAGAAAGACAAGTGAAATCAAACAAACTTTTTTGTTCACTAAGAAATAATAATTATAATAACAATAACAATAATACTGTTATTAATTATATGAATATGAATAATAATTGGTGTGCGTGTGTGTTTGTTTGTTTGTATGTGTACATGTGTGTGTGTGTACATTGTGTAATGGTATCTTAGATTCTCGTACACGGTGAAGCCAATGCTATGTACCGTCTCAAGTCTGCACTTCAAAGCAAATATTCAGAAAAAGAAGAAAACGTAAAGATATACACTCCCAAAAACTGTGACACCGTCAAGCTTCACTTTAGAGGTGAAAAGATGGCAAAGGTAATGCGTATGAAATGCATAGATATATGAAATATAATACTAATTCTATTGCTTCAAGACCATCGGTAGGTTGGCATCCAAATATCCCTCAGAAAATCAACCTTTGAACGGAATTCTGGTTTCAAAGGATTTCCAATTGAACATCATGTCTGCCGAAGATTTGAACGAACTCGGAGGTCTTATCACAACAGTGGTAACCCAGCGCCAGGTTGTACCATTTAACGCAGGAATTGGTCTTCTCAAGTGGCATCTGGAGATGATGTTTGGTGCTGTAGGCGAAACAGATCTTTCAAAGACTGTCAATACCCCAGGAAATGTCATCCGTGTATTTGATACTGTTGATATCAAAAAGGTGCCCAGTAAGCCTAACCAAGTGACACTTGAATGGATCGGAAACTCTATGAATGACATGGTCGCAGATTCTGTGCTGGCTATCATTTTGGCTATTGATAGCTCTCCTGCAAGTGTAAAAGGTACGAATATTAAATAAAAGGTTTATGAAAGGGTAAAGTATATGTGATATTAATTCATTTCCTTTTTTATTATTATCATTATCATTTTAGCAAGTAGCCAGCCTTGTCACCACAGCCACTCTGAAGGTGAACATGAACATGAACACAAACATAAGCATGAGGATGAGGATGAGCATGTATACAAAGGCTCAAAGGTTCAAAATGAAATGGACCAAGAATTTGTGGACGTAATTGCATTTTTGGAAGAACAGTTTGGCGATGTTGAGACTGATTTCGAAGCAAAAAAGGTTACAGTAAATGTAGACGGATCAGTGGCTGTTGTGGACTGCATTAAATTTGTAAGTTATGTCTTGCTTTGATGACTAGAATCTAATTTGGGAACTGCTTTGTAGAAAGTGACAAGTGATGATGAGGTACTTCAAAAGCGCGTTTCTAATGTGCTTCAGCGTGTAAAAATGGCCGTAAAGCCAATTGATCTATGGATTAACGAAGCACGCGTGTAAAAAGAAAGAAAGAAGGAACCTAAGAACGGAGAAATATCTTTATTGATGTCGAGGGTCAAATCAAACTCTTTTTTCCTTTCATCAACGGTTTATTTTTCCTATAGCTGTTTAGTATATTTAATACACCCCAAGTAGATAGTATAATATGCAACAATTATAGAATTGCGTTATTTTTTATATATTGAAATAAAGAAATAAGAATTCGACTAAAAACAAAGGTGCGATCTACGAATATCGATTCATCTTTACACGAATGTATCAATGTATTTACCTTGGCCTCACGTATACTAGTATATTCTTTTAACCATTGGAGGTTCATGCTTTTACTTGCGAGTACAAGAACTTGATCAAGACCCTTTTTTTTTCTTTGGTTTTATAATCACCTGCTCTTAAGAATCACGGATAATTTGCATGTGTAGCACACATATGCTACTTACTATCAACCATTTTATTTTGTTCATTTAAGTATGTAACATTCAAATGTCAATTTACAAATAGAAATACACGCGCACACAATATATATATATATATAAATGTATATCTGTGACAGATGATAAAAAACGTATCAAATAAACAACAACAAGATCATCAATAGGCTTTAAAGTTCGTTGAATTTGTCTAATGGTTTCAGTTTTTTCCCTTTTCTTTTCAGGTAGATTTTCAAAATTTTATAAAGCATGTAGATTTCGATTGCGTTTATCTGTATGAAGGGAAATAAAGAAAAAGAATATTAAACGACTTGGAATATATATAATTATTTGTGTTATTTGTTCAATTTTTTAAAATGTCGATCAAGAAATGTTCAATTGCCTAAATAAACTCATTATTTTTGCTTTTATTTTCTTATTCTCTTCACTGTAATACAGATACAACGTGTATTGTGAACTTTCTTATTTGTTTTTTGCATCTCCATGTGAGATTGCGCCTTTATATATTTTTCTCTAATTGTATTTAACGTCTCATGCGTTTTCTTTTTTTCTTATTAAATTTATAAGAAATTATACAAGAAGTATTTCTTTATCTGTAGGCTTGACTTTGGATAATACTAAATATATGTGGGTATATGTTAGGTTGATTTTTGCAGTTAATCAAGATCGTGGGACAGACTTTAGATGTAATACAGTGGATCTACTACAAAGGTTCGCTTTCCAATCTGCCAAACTTGCTCTGGTCTCCACATGATACTCGCTTTTACATCGCTCAAAATGCACTTTGCTTGATTGGTTTTTTGGTGACCGACCAGAAGTTTTGAATATGATTCAACTCAGGAGAATATGAAGGCAAATGTATAGCTTTATAACCTCTGGCCTCGATCAATTTTGTAATACTCTCTGAGGCATGGATAGGTGTATTGTCCATAGATACATAAACATTTTAGAAACAAGCTTCATATCATAGGCAGTAATAGTTTCATTTGCCTTTTCTCTCTCTTTAGTACATGTTTCTTTTTCTTTTTGGTCCCACCAGTCTCTACTTTCTTGGGTTTTAAAGACCCTCTAATCTCAACTGAAAAAAAAATACCCTGAGCTGTTATAGTTACTAGTATGGTATGCGTGATGGCATGAGTAGTAGTCATTTCAACAACTGCCGGTGTTCCTTTAATTGAACAAGAATTAGGGTTTCTCATGTTAATATTGAAGCTAGCTCCATCCAAAAAAAACGCAGTTGATAAGATGGTTCATGTCAGTAGTCTCTACCCATTTTTTTTACTCATTGAGATCAGTCATTGAGATCCTCAGCACTATTATTTGCCAGATATTCCAAGGTAGCTCTCTTGTTAGCCAAATTATACTAGTATAAAGTGTTTGGTATATGTTTCTTTCAAGCTAAATTTTTCGTATGCTTCCATCAATTTCTCTACTGTATCGCATCTTATTACTTGTGTATTCTTAACAAAGATATATATATGTGATACTTATGCTCCTCTTAAAGTTGTGGAGGCTTTCTATTCGACTGATCTGTCTGCTTTTGATATATATATATATATATTTTAGCTGGGATTTTCCTTGAGTCGCTTGGCCCACTTTTGGACAGTACGTCACTCAACCTGATCTTTGCGGCTAGAAAGGGTAGCCTTCCACAGCTTGATTCTGTTAAAGTAATAGAAAACGGATTATAGATTATCAGAGTAACCATTTCTTTCTTTTTCTGCCTAGTCAGTGGCTTTGTATCTAATTCTTCGACTATTCCTTCCATTTTTTACATCAAGCTCTTCGTTGGCTTCAATAGGAAAGCGATTTTAGGCTGTAAGAAAAGCAAATATCAGGCGGAGACCAAAGTGAATTTGGTAACAAAAAAGTTGGAGAACGAACTGTGGGGGTTGATGCTCGCTGTACATATATATATATATATATTCGCTGTGAATCATAATTAATAATTACTATTGAAACAAATATAAATTACTGATGATTATTAAAAAGATACTAGTGTATAAAGAGCAATAAATTTGAGTCATTTCATCAAAGAAGTACACAAATACAATGTATATAGTTTTTTTTTCTCTTTGAATAAACATACGTAGACATATATTCACCCACCTACACAAAATAACTTACTGTCTCGGACTTTTTGCATTATTTGAAAGCCACTGTTTTTTTTCTCTACCTTGAATTGAAAATTAAAATAGGAAAAAGCCTTAATCTATAGGCAGCCAAGCCAGCCAGCCAGCTAAAAAAAAGTTCTTACTGCTATTACTACTACTACTACTACTATTATTATTATCATTACCTGAAGCACCTATATATTATTATTATTATATATATATATTCTTATATCTTTATACATATACCATAAAATGACAAACAGCATTACAGTCAAATGGGGAAAACGACATTTCAAAATTGAATTTGATGATTACGAACAGCAATTAGAAGACACAACTGTAGGCGACTTGAAACAAAGGTGTCATCGGCTGACAGGAATCAATACTACTGAAATATCTCTGTCTGCTTATGGAGGTATAAACTATTGGACGTCAGTTTCTTGCGTTTCGAAACTAAGAAACTTTTACATGTATAGCTGTAATGAACAATGACAAACTTCCTCTTGGTGCCTACAGTATTCGTCCTGGGTCCAAGGTCATTATGAAGGTCCACAAAAAGGTATATATTGACTATTATGATTACAAGACATGATAAAGTCGATACACTTGTTTATTGATTATTTTTTCTTATTCACAAATAATGATAATAACGTTCATATTCGTGTCCATATAAGCCTAGTGATACACTGCCTGATCCAATTGCTCCGATCAGTTCAAACGAAGCAGCTACATTGGCTAAACTTCAAGCCATTCAAACCAGACTTTCAAGCCAACTAATTCCCGATATTAACGCGTATGAGGAGCGTGTAAAAGCCTTTGGGGTTCAGTCTGGTGACGAAAAGGCAAAAAAGAAACTTTTGGAGCATGGAATTTATCTAGGCGAACAATTGATGCAAATCTTGTTCCAGCTTGACGGTGTTATGATTGAGCCTGGGTTTGAGACCGCTCGACAGGCACGAAAGAATGGAGTAAAAACAGCCCAGACCCTGTTGGATCGTTTAGATGGGATTAAGGGTTCAACAAAAAACTTTGTTTAAAGAAAAGAAAGAACCTGACATTCGGACAATTGTTTATTGATAAAAAATTGGTAGATAAATATGAATATATAAGTATAAGTATAAATGTAAATGTAACTATAAATATATGAATATATCTACAGGCACACACACGCACGCACATGTAAGAAAATAATAAAAGGGAAGAAAAAGAGTAATATTTATGGAAAAAGAACTTCATCTTGGCCTGAGCCAGTAAAATCAAAATCAAAGTCAAAGTCAAGAAAATTATTACGAGGAGAGCTAGGAGGGGAAAGAAGTATAGAAGGTTGTAAGAAATGGTTTTCGAATTCGGCCAGGACTTGGTCTTCATCAAGTATTTGTGCGGGTGTAGAGGATTGTGTGTCGGAAACGGTGTAGGTAGATAGCGATGTTGTGGGAATGGGTCCAAAGAGGTCGAAAGTAAGAGAGTTATCCATGTCAGGTTTTGTATTTTGTGTAGAGGCACGATGAGGGGATCGTTGCCGTGGACGATGATAAGGATGACTTTTGTGTTGCCGAGCGCGTCTGTGTAAGGTTCTGTGTCCAGGGGAAGGTGTAGAGTTGTCCGGGTAGGTTGGTCTGTCGTTGTAATCAGAAGAGCAAGATGTAGAGGTTGTATGAAATGCTTTTAGGGTGGAAGTTCTGGATCGGCCAGGGTAAAAGACGACAGGGCTGGTGTTTTCCTGGACGTGTGACTCGAAATCCATGGAGTTTTTGGATGGCTGGCCCTTTGGTTTGGATGATCTCTCTTCAATGGGCGGGAGAAGGGGGAACAGTGATGAGGAGTGTGAATAATATTCATTGTTTTGAGGGAAGAAAGCACCGGAAAGAGGCGTGGAAGAAATTGTTGGCTTTTGAAGGCGGGGTATTTGGGAAAGGGCCTGTAGAGCAAGAAGTGTATCACTTGTTACTCTTGCTTCGAGTTGCTCTTGTATTTATCGCTGATTTACAGCAATGCGAGCAAGCAAAAGAGAAAATAGAAAAGGTGGAAAGAAAGAGAAAGGAGAAAGAAAGAGAAGGGGAGAGGGGGGCGGATTCAAGTTCTGGGAAAATATATGAAAAAAAAAATATGAAAAAAAAGATCAAAATACACAGGGAGTACGAACTTCGTTTGATTGGCCGAGACTAAAGTCACACAGATGCGTGATACACCTCTCTTAATGGGATGATTTTAGGTGTAGGAACATTGAATAATTATAACAAGATCATAGTGAAGGCAAACAAAAATAGAAGCAGACAATAAGAAGAGCAAAGTGAAAAGGTAACAGTAGCTTAAAGTAGTGAACCAAGCCTCTTTTAAAGAAAGCGAGAACCGCTGTTATTGAAGGTACCAAAGTTCAAATAACCCGTTGTCCTGTAACCCATTTAATCATATTCTGAGCACACTGTTTTATACATCAGTTCTTGCTCAGCACAGTCACTTTATATATATATATATAATAATAATTATTGTTGCTATTACACGGCTAATAGAAAATACAAGAGGTGGGTACTTGCAACCACAAGCCAGCATTTTCTTCTACTTTCTTTTCAACCTCGGTATGAGCCAATTATGTACAAATATAGCGCTCAAAATATGTTTTCTCTCTCTCTCTTAAGCTTCTTGATGCTTCTTGAAGATGTGGGTACATAAAGAAATTAGGTGTTGTACTAATGAATAGAAATAATAAAAACAGAATACATATAAATATTTTATAATAAAATAATAGAAATAATAGAAATAATAAAAACGACGTGTGTTTGGCTTTGATCGACCCGATAACCCGACATTCGATCAATAGTTCTTGATATACTTCTTTAATTATACAAAAAAAAAGGCTTAAACTAGTAATTAGCTAAACAACAAAAAGAAATAGGAAATGGGGTTTGCTATTTGTACCTTGGAATAATTCTATTTATCTGTATATATGTATGTGTGTAAATATGTGTATACATCTACAGGGTTTCCATCTTGTACCAGTGTGGTTCCTAATGAGGATTACTAACAAAAATAATAATAATGTGGCAATAAACGCTAATCCCTTTTACATTTATCTAAATTTATAAAAGAGTATCACATCCAAATATATATAAATATCTCAATTTCTTTATACAGTTAAATACAAAACATATTTCTTCTCATATTTAGACCCCGGCACTTGGATGAAAGTCAGTTTAAATCCCAAAAGAAAAATTACATCCAATAAATTTCCATAAAAGGATTCAAAACGAGGAACAGAATTTTAAAAAGGCGATTTGGTAGAAAAAAGAAGAAGTTAAAAAAAAAAGAAAGGAAATGCGGGGGACTCTAATTGTCAAAAACCAATTTAGACTTTAAAATCTACTTTTATTTTGCTTCAAAAAAATAGCGGTAGTAATACTAATATATACATATATATAGAGAGAGAAAGAAAAACGCTGATAGCCGTATATACCTTCTTTACCAAAAACATCTGTAGTGTAGTATATTATCTTGGATAGTAGTCTGAACCCAAATGACAAGATTATATAATAAATAATGAAAATTAATACTACAGTAATATTTGGTGACAGAATCAATTATTAGTGCTATACTTTGTACCCAAAAATAATCCACAGTTCTTGAGTCTACAAAAATAACATTTGTAGCTGCTGCCAAAGGCTCAAAAATAATAAGAGTAAGAATATAAACCCTCCTCTGACAATATTAATCAGTTTGTCTGATTATGGTGATTGTACAATATATAAAATCAATAATAATTATGCCTTTGCATTAGAGCTGTAATACCAAGGAACTTCTGTACAAGTTACATTAAAATCTAGCTTTTCATTATATTTAAATTTAATTTAATCTGTTTAACTTATTGTACTTTTCTTAGGTGCTTAAAAATACGTTTGCACCGACTACATTATTTCTCTTACTACATTAAAAGGCACTGGTTTTCTTTTAGATTCTAAATTGTATATCGACTATAAAATTGAGGATACTTTTATATATTTGTCTCAAATTTTCTTCCACACTTTTTTTTTAAAGTAATACTAATATATGGTAATGAGCAACAAAACCCCCTAACACTAATGTTTACCGTAATGCTAATAACCTGTTTTTTTATTTTTTTTTTCTATTCAATTTTATAAAGTGTACAAAGGCTTAATAATCTAATTATAAAAAAGGGTTTGAATAAAATCACTAGCAAAGGAAAGAAAAGGAGTAGGCTGTAATGCTTTTGGTGTTTTTACTTTTCAGTAACCACAATTTAATAGTACCTTCTTTTACTTTCTTTAATTACTCGTATAAAGCTTCTAAAGAACATGTGTGTAAGAAGCAATGTAACCGCTGCAAGTAATCTAGTAACTCTAAATAGAAAAAAAATCGAAAAAATAGACATGGGCATGGACAGTTTTTTTTCTTGGTACCTTTCTTTATTTTCACACACACATACATACATTAGTTTTAATGTTTAACTCCAGATTAATATCCACGACCAATGGACACTAATTATTTTGAGTAACTTGTCATAAATGGGTAAATATTCAGTAACGGTAAAATAAAACAAATGTACGACAATCGAGAATTATTGTTGAGACTATTTAACATGGAGAAAATGTATAGGTATATATGTTTGTGTGTATGTGTGTAATGTATATCTGCAAGACTATCTTTTTAATAAACAAAGTTTACAATTATCTCCTTTTACGAATGCTTTAGTAGCTTTATATTATCACTATTTACAATACCAAATTAAGTATCCTCGTTTCCAAGGTGACAAGATCATTGTGTTTTCTGATTTAAGGGGTTATGTGATACATGTTGCCATGACAACCAACAAACTTTATGTGTACAAGATGAGTTTAAGTATTTCTTGTAGCTTGTACAAAAGAACAACAACAACTACAGCAGCAAACTTTAACTGCGGCATGTTACCTCTTTGCCAAGGATGCCTGGTTAATCCATAAAGTAAGAAATATGAATAATAGCTTTTCATTGAACAAACTAAACACACAAAAAGGTTGGCAGCCGGGGTATCCATTTTTGGTCTTGTTGCCGCTCTTTGACCATACATTTATTCTTTTTTCTTTCATTTATTGAACCCTGATCTCTTGATTTTCCGTGGTGCAGTATTCGTGGCTTCTCTTGACAGGATAAATATGTCTCTTTTGTTGGATAAGGCGTCTTACAATTCGTGCAAGTCGTTGTACAAATGCCCGGAAAAGAGATTGGTGTTTGGTGTGTACTGGTAGACTGTAAAGATGACTTCGATCGGATGTAATATGCGTCTTCTCGGAGAGTGATACCGGCGTGGCCATGATGTCAACAGGATTCCAAGGTAAAGATGTGGTTGGTTGAGGCGGTAGAGCATGTGGGAGCCCACAGATAACACAGGCGAGCGGGAGGTAGACAGGCTCATGAATGAAGGTGATTGGATCGTCAGCAAGTTCGTATCCCACAGAACTGATGGGGCTGAGAAAGGCAGAGATTACTGGAGGGGACCACATTGCTAAATCGCTTGTGAACAGTGGGGCATCGGACATTTTTAAATTGTTTCGACTGATAAAGCAAAGTAATAATAGAAATAATAGAAATGCAAGTTAAAAAGAGCAACGGTCTATAGAACCTATTTGTTTCTTATTAAAGCCAAAGAGAATAAAACAAAATAAAATAAAATAAACATCCGTCATTTACTCTTATATATATATATAACTTTTCTCCAATGAACTGTCCTTGATTGCCTTTTCTTTCACAAGTCAGTTCAATTGGAAATGATTATTTTCAATAAAATTATTTTAATTACAAATTTATTTATTCTAAACCATTGCTCTCAAGATGAAGCTTGCAGCGCCACCGATGGCTAACCCAAGTACCAAAAAGAAACTCATCAGACTTCCGATCAAAGACTTTTCGGCCGCACTCTTGAGAAAAGTCTGCTGGGGAGCAGCCATCATCGTCAGACTGCCAATCCAACCGTTTGTAACTGCAAATAACCAGACAATAATAAAGTAGGCTATGTCACTATTAACCCACACGGATAATTTCCGGTCGTCCGGAACAACCACGTTGCAGATTAAAAAGGCCGGGACGAATATGGTACGCGCCAACGACATGAAGGTCAATGCCCGGGTATCAAATGTCCGGAAAGCCTGGATGATTGGCATGGTGCGACCAACCCAGTCACCGACATTGAAGAGCAAAAAATGAAAGGCAACAAAGATGTCATCATCAAAAAATCGGTTGCGGCCAGTCATGGATCTAAGGGGAACCTCAATTTGGTGGACAGACTTGATAAGGGCGGTAATTGACGGGAAAAGGGCAAGAGTGATAAAGAACACATATCCAACAGCAAAGATCAGACCAGCCGACTTGCAAAACACTCTAGATACAGAAAGTGACTCGGTGGCAAACAACTGGCTTGAGCTCTCCACATCATCTTCAGAACTAACATCCGAGGCAGATGCCGGCACAGTCTCGAATGTAATATGGCGCAGATAAAACGGCTGTCTAGCAACCACAAACCGGCCAATCAATGCAGCCACAGTGATAAGGAGAGCTGTCATGAAGTACAGAAACGCGGATCTTGCGATGGCTGCTTCATCGGGTGGGCTATTTGTAGATCCCGCCAATGCACTCAAAATAGATGATACTGCAACAGCAACACCAGCAACACCTAAGACATCAAATGATACCAGGATCATAACATTAGTATCCTAGTTCAGTTGTACTAGAAACAAAACTTCCAAGAAATATTAACAATCCTACCTTGACCACTAATTAAAAAAAAATTAACAAAGTATTTGGTAAGTCAACCTCTTATTATACAAGTTTGCCGGGCTTGAATGTATAAAAGGGATCATGTACCTCATCACAGCCTGCATATACTCTGATGGAAACCGACTAGCCTCAGCAAACACAGATACTTGGAAGAAACTGGTGGATACACCAGTGACAACTAACATTACGAGTGTACACCAGAAATACTCTGATCCACCCACATCAGTCTCTACGGTAATAGCCATGACACCAAATACAATCACATTCACTACCACTGATGATACAAGATCCACATAGAAAGCAGTAGACTGCAATTAGATACATAAATATATATGTATATGTATAAAAGTAGATAGATATATACGGAGTTGTGTTAGTAAAGTTACTATTTCATCGTCACTACTCCAAATCAGTTTTCATACCTTGCTTTGCTTCCACAAAAGCATGGCAAAACATACGAGATTTGCTATTGTGAAACTAGTGGAGAAGTAGTTTTGAAATGTACCCTCGTACCCAGAACCTTCAAACCGTTTGGCAAAATACTCGGATGCAGTGATGAAGACTGTCAAACATGTTAAATGACATTCTAATCCATCTGACAATCTCAAAACCGACCATTCCATGGCAAAAGCATGGCGATGCCGTACAGGAAGAAGATCTATATTGCCGATTAGTAAGAATCATATAGATATCATTTATTCTTACCCAATACACCAAGCTGTATTTGTCATTTTGTTCTGCATAAGTGACAAGCGATGCTATATTCTGATCATCAAGCAATCCTCGAACCTCTTCTGCATTGCCTCTTCCCTTTGTAGAAGGGAGCTTTGACCGACAATAGTCACTAATAGAATCAAACATTATTATTCTCTTCTTTTTCTTTTAAAAAAAAAGAAAAGAAAAAGAAATGTGTATAAAATAGAAAGAAAAACAAAACTTCCCAAACGGTATAACACTTTTATTATTATTATTATTATTATTATTATTATTTTTTGACTCTTTTATATCTTGTGTACCCGATTTGGAGAAGGTCATGAGTACCAAAGGCATACGAGTGAATATTTTACTCATCACAATAATCAATAAGCGCAAGATATATTCTTTACGAGTGTTGCTTGTATATCACTTGTATATAATAATAGTGTATATACATATAAGTAGGATGTATACTAAAGACAGGCTTTAAAATGTCGATAAAGAGTACATTTCCAGGGATCGGTAAAAGTGCACCTCCCACTGCCGTGTATCTCATGACAAGGCGCGTGGTTATCCTGACAAGTATCAAACAGGCCTGGAAAGATTGATCTCAATGGCCAAGTTTAGCCCGAGATTGGCATTGTTATGTTTTCTGAGAAGAAAACAAGCCATTTTGGTTCATCGTATCCCTTGAGACTAATATTCAGGAATTGTAAGCATCAATCTTACTGATAGATACCCCTATTCCGTACCTAGATATTTCATTAAATGCGACACAGATCATCATGCCTTGTTTTTCAGCGTGTGTATATCCATATGCTTATGTGTATTCGTATGGGCGATAATCAAATTGTGAGAATATGTTTCATCTAATAAGAGCACAAGTAATAAACAAGAACACAAAATGATCCTTGCCATTTATCTATCACTTAAAACCTAATATCTTTTTTTGTTAGCTACTTAAATATATTTATATATATATATAATATCTAACCCTCAAAGTGGGGGCAATGGCAATTCCTAGTCTGCCCTGAGGAACCTTCTGAATACAAGGTCCTGCAGACAACCACTCGATAATAAATATCTGCTTTTGGTTTCTATTCAGTGATAAGAAAAATCAATTGGTTTCTTTACGCTTTAAACTCAATCAGTATTATTTCTTTCTTTGTCTGTTTTTTTTTATAATACAAGCATATGTATATACATAGTCTTGTAACTGCAAGTTTTTTTTTTACATATGAAATATAAATATTACAGTTGACCACACCCTTAAATAATAATAATAATTAATGATAATACATGTGATCAATTTATGATTCTTATCTTATACATTTCCACCCAAAGGTTATTTGCTTTCTGAGAATAATAAAACAAAATTGAACAAGGAATAATATCATTTATTCAGCATGGCTTTGGTCTTCACCTGTGATAAGTCTCCATAGTCTACAGTTAATAGATCTATATAGCAACTCTTAAAAGATAACAATAGGGAGTTTGGCTTATTTGCGCATATATATTTCGCACCACTTACACCAGATGTGAAAGAATATCCAAGTCTAATGTTTCCCACTTTTGAATATTATGTCCTCCCAATTTTTTTTCTCATTTCACTCAGCTTTGTTTTCAGATCTTACAAGGTATGATAAATATGTTTCAAATCCAAGTTTTATGCTGGCTAATTCTCAAAGCCCTTTATCGCACAGTTCAATGTCCTTAATATTTGATAGTATTTAGTGTAAAAGTTATCAATGTATCAATATAAGGTTCTTAGAGAGTGTACAATCGATTGTACCGCTACATCCTTTATTTACAAGTTTTACATGTCCAACAAAGGATTAAAAAGCTCATGAATTTTTATTTTTATTGTCCAGGAGAAATAAAATATTTCTTATTCAAAAATATAGATATATATCTTTTGATGACTAGCAGCACTTGTGAGATTCATTTTATTTTATCGTCTCTCCTTTTCTACTTTCTTGTTTGTTTCGCAAATTAGTACTTTATTATTCAAAATAATAGATAAATTGTCTTGGTCTGCCGGGAACATCTTTGGAGGCTGTATATTGGGGAAAAAAGATGATGTATCTTGTTTTCACAATTTAGTTTAAATACAAGATATCGTATGGACTTCAGATATTTAATATGTATACTTTATTGTAGTCCACAGAAACAGAGAACATGGGCTATTTATAATTATAGCTTGCGTCCTTTGTGAGATAATAGTCGAGAGGAACCATTAATGCCTGTCGTTCTCTCTTTTATACCCAGAGAATTATTATTGCTTGAATTATGGTTTTTCGAAACCTTTTCTAAACCAATATCTCGACTGCTTGTACTTGAAGGATCACTAGTAAGGCTTATGGCTCCACCAGACGACCCTTTTTTTTTTTTTAAAAAAAAAAAACAATGTGTCAAATAAGAAAGTGTGTCTTTATACAAAGCTCATTTTCGGCTTCTTACCATGAAAAAAGTAAGGTCTTCGAGGCCTGAATGTATTATTACGAGCGATACTTTGCATAGCTAGGATACATTATACACATATCCATATTAAAACATTGAAATTTAGGAGATAACAGACCACACAAGTTTTTTACCTTGTTTTCGTGATCGCTCATGCTTGAACTGAACATTTCTAAAGTGCTGAAGCAACTCATTGAATTTTATAAAATCATCTATTATTTTTGGATGTCCATTACTAATACTCTTTGTTGGCTGTTTCTTTGGTACTTCCATTGGACTATTTGCAAAAAAAAATAGATAAATAAATATACTGGTTAGTGTAGAAGCTTTCTGTATATACCTTTTGGGCATGACATGAAGGAATCCAAGAGAAGACACACAACTAAGACGACTTCTCAGAGTGGAATATGCGGATGACTGAGGTAAAAGCATGAGCAAACCATAAAGACACTTTAACAGGTGAGGATATTTTTCTGGCTCTAGTAATTGGAGGCGCAGATCTGGATAATATTTACGCAAGCTTTAAATAGAACTCCCGAATTTTAGATATATTTTCATGTCCTTACAAGTGAATACAGGTGATTCAATTAATTGTACCAACTTATCGATTTGGATAAGTGTATTGACAGTAATTTCGAGTTCAGCACTACGTGTGTGTATAAAGCATTTTATCAATAAAAATATACCTTAAAAAAAGAACGACTCACAAGACTTGAAGCATATTTGCCGCATGTTCATAGGCCTGGGCCAAGAGACACAATGAAAGAGTAGCCACGGCACTATGGCACCAGGACTTATATAAAGAAGTGAATAGTTGTTGACCATCCTATTTTTTAAAAAAAAAACAAGCTAATAGGTTATTACTGTAAGAGTATATGCTTTATGATGGAACTTACTTTCGTATCTAAATTTCGAAGGCGTTTGCGAAGATCAGTAAGTTCAGCAGAGGTTATGAGAATCACGTTGAGATTCTGAACCATGATACTAGCAAACTCCAAATCCTTTTTCCATCGGTTTTTTTTTGTCATTTTGCATTTTGTGTATTTGTCAGTAAGCTTGTACACACTTGTTGGCTAGTTTGTCTACCTCATCTTTTTCTAGCACATCAGCCAAGGTGATGTAAATTCTCTCTGGATCGAGGCTAGTACAAAGTTGACGAATAATCAAGCTGCCTCTATTCTCTAATAGCCGACGATCTGTACTGAATAGCGAAACAAGATTCATCATAAAGCTACGAAAGTAATCGTTGTCCGAGTAGGAAGATATCTGAGCCAGCAGCTGGAGATCACGCCGAATCACCTACACAAAATACAAGTTATATCCAATATCCTTCCATCATTTTCTCTACTAAACAAAATTACCTCTTCAGACGAGTCTGAGAGCGTTTTGAGTAACACAGGAAATGTTCCATCATCTGAAGCCAGGATCTAAACAAGTAATTGTTACAACAAGCACTCTCTCTTCTTCTTCTTTTTTTGGAATAGGTATATAGGTTTTAGGTACTATACTCACTTTATAAGGTGCTTTTTTGTGAAGCATTAATAGCCAATCTAAACTGGCTATTCTGGTTTCTTCGTGTTCATTTAGAAATTGCAGTCGTAAGTTTGTTACAGTCATTTGATAATCAAAAGGATCCTCGACCTCAAGACTTTCCATTACGGGTGTTTCAAGAACAAGTCTCTGTAGACTATGGTTAGTTCTGGTTGCCGCCACTTTGACTTCCTTGACAGGGTGAGAAAGTGACGGTAAAACGGCATATATGATCTGAGGTGTGAATTGGATGATGATATCCTTTTCATTGTTGAGCAATTCATTCATCCATTTTAGAGCAACTTTCTGAATCTCTTCATTTGGTGAAGATAAATGAGGAACGAGAATCTTGATGATTCGTCCATATTGAATGTTTGCCTGAGGTGGAGAAACCTTTTCAACGGATTTTCCTTTGAGTGTTCTTTCAGCATCCTCGTCATCGTCTTCGTCTTCTTCTCCTTCACCATCACCTTCACCGTCATCACTATTATATTTTCCTTCTGGCTCTTCATCTGAGGCAGAACCGTGATCATCAGCAACTTGCCGAGCGAAACAATCGTCCATGATATCCATCAAAAAATTGTCGAGTAGCTGTTCAGTCGCTACTCGTACATCTTCACTTGGATCACTCATAAAATCAAGTAATCCATCCAGAAATTCGTGTAGATAGGAAATCAATCCTAATTCTGGAATCGATTCAAGATTACTGATCCACAGTACAAGATGATTCCGGGTAAAGGAGTGTTTGGTCGATATCTTTGACGAAAGAAGAGGAATAAAGTTTGGTAGCGAGAATGTAGTCGTCTGACCAGGAGGATCAAATGGTGATATATAAGTTGTTGCTAGTTCCAATACTATGTCTTTGATAAGACGATCAAGCAATTCAGCTCCACTCTTAACAGACATTTCGGTATCTTCAGACAACTTCGTTGATGTTTATTTTGTTTGTTTGTGTGTGCGTTTGTTTATTTTTCCGGTTCTTACGGTTAGGTAGCCGTTTTATAGTACAGTGGTTATAGTAACTTACTGTTGACAAGGCATCGAAAATACCGTTGAAAAACCGTAGTGCCTCTCCTTTAGCAACTTTGGCGATGTTATACATACTTTCACAAGCATAATATCTCACTTTTGAGTCTTGATTATTAAAACATGAGAGGATAGGAGGTATGATGATGTCAAGGTGCAATGCAATATCCTAACCATCTGATTGAGTCGATTGTCAATGTATACACAAAACACTTACGGGACCTAATGCTATAGTCACCGCGGCGAGGGCGATAAGGCCACCATTTCGATAGTTTGGGTTGTTAGAATACACAAAATCTTGGACAAGTGTCTCAATGATGGTGTTGATCTGTTCTGGAACCTTGTCACTTTTCGTAATAAGCCTGTAAGGATTTATTATGTCAATATTGAATAGACAACCTTTGTATAATTTTATTTTTCATATAAGTGTATTTATGCGTGTATATAGTATTGCCTTTCTATTTGAAGAGCAGCCTTCTTTCTTGTAAGATATGTTTTGTCTGTCAGGGCCTTGACAAGTGGTCCCGAGAATACTTCAGTATCCATCTTAAAGAAAGTGTATTTACAACCTCCGTCTTCGCAGCACTTTTGACTGGCATCATGCAAGTTTCCTAGGATTGATTGGCTATTGGCCAGTTTTGTGTCACCCTCGCCTTCCTTCCACGTCCAGCGTTCACTGTTCTTCTCACCATTAACCCTTTCAATCTGTTGCGTTGTAGGGGTGACGGTCACTTATTTATTAGATATAGACAGTCAATAAAAAAATGTTCACTATGAGATCAGCCAATAAGATCAACTTCTATCTACCCATATAGTTTTTGAAAAATGCTCAAGGTCAAGGTTAAAATTGTGATGAGCTTCGTAAAAGTACGATTTTATCCCATTTGGCAGAATGTATCAAACGACCAATGAACCTTTATAGGCTTTTTCTAGAACATATTGTAATTTAAAACTAAATTCTTAGCAACTTAATTGCTAATTTAAGTATCAAAACATTCATGAAACTTGTTATTGATGCAACTATCAATGAATAGAATCAGGTCAATCAGAACCAATTGAATATCTTTTGGATTTGGCTTTGGCTTTGCAAGCTTTAAGTTTGCTGGCATTTTTCTTTAATAGTTGAAAGCTTGTCTGCTTCATAGTGAGCATGATTTGTGGAAGTTTCGCTACTCATTTTATATACTTTTATTCGTTGTAGCAAAGGATATGAAGAAAAAGAAAAGACGAAACAATTTAAAAACGCAAAGGTTGATTTATATCGTTACGTGGGATTTAACATTGTCTAAACTGTAATTGCTGCAGGCGGTTTTTTGAACAACACTTCGTTATCTACGGTTAATCGGCCGAAAAATCTTATTTTAACGTAGCCGCTGCATATGTTCTGGAGTATGACTAATTTTGTTTCCCATTAAACCACAAAAAGGGGTGTTAGGTCTGACACTCAAATGGATACTTTGTGCATGAAAAAAAAAGAAGTGAAGAACAAGACGAGATGACGTAGTTTCTGGTGTAAATAGCCCCCAGGCGTCTTCCTCATCCTATCCAGCCATCAATAACTTCGGTGCATCCATCCATCACACTCCAACGTGCCTCTAAATACCACCTACCCTCATCCTTTTTTACCAAAGGTATGTCGCCGCTTTACGGACCCTGGGCAGGGGCTGGCGTCTTCCTATCCCCGACTATCGTGCTCTCTCGTTCGCTCGCTTTCTACCTCAAGAAGTCTGTCTTGGTCCGACAAACGTGGCTTGGATTCTTTACTGGTCTTCATTGAATCAACCATTCATGACACATCTTTCCTTGTACATCATCCTGCTCTATACCTATATATATTTATACACATCATCTACATCTACAACTACAACTACGTACATGCTTCAATACCACTCCCCCCTTTCAACATGAACAACTTTAGTGCAGACAGGCAGACGAGACAGAGAAGAGCACGAGGTGGAAGGAATGATGAACTTGCTACAACTATTTAATGCCCAGACAGAAAGCAGAAAAAAATTATTTGGTCTCCCTTGACGTTTCGATCTCACTTACTAAACATTACCACGTCCCTCAGTATTGAACATGTCTGCCGCCGACCATGCTGATGATTTGATCGACTATGAAGAGGAAGATGAACAAAATCTTCCCCAGGAATCTTCCATTACCCAAAAGGAAACCGTTTCTGCTACTGAAGATGATGAGTCCAAGAAAGACAAGAAGGGTTCTTATGTTGGTATCCACTCCACTGGTTTCCGCGATTTCTTACTCAAGCCCGAATTGTTGAGAAGTATCGTTGACTGCGGTTTCGAGCATCCTTCAGAAGGTAAAAGCAGTAAAACAAATATTAGCCAACTACTATACTATGCCGATCAACCTGATGACTTATGCCTACCATAGTTCAACAGGAGTGTATTCCTCAGTCTATCCTTGGTATGGACGTAATCTGCCAGGCCAAGTCTGGTATGGGTAAGACTGCTGTGTTTGTACTTGCCACCCTCCAGCAGATTGAGCCTGTCGACGGCGATGTATCTGTTGTTGTACTCTGCCACACCCGTGAGTTGGCTTTCCAGATTAAGAATGAGTATGCCCGATTCTCAAAGTATCTCCCTGAGATCCGTACTGAGGTCTTTTATGGTGGTGTACCTATGACAAAGGATGTCGAGACTCTTAAAGATAAGACAAAGTGTCCTCATATTCTTGTTGGTACTCCCGGCCGTGTGCTCGCTCTTGTCCGTGACAAGTATCTCAAGTTGGGCAATGTAAAGCATTTCGTTCTTGACGAGTGCGACAAGATGCTGGAACAGCTCGGTATGTGTATATCTTTACTTGGGATAAGAAAAGGAATATTCTAAATATCATGAACTCCAAAAAAAATAGATATGCGTAGAGACGTACAGGATATCTTCAGATCTACTCCCCATCACAAGCAGGTCATGATGTTCTCTGCCACACTCGCCAAAGAGATGCGCCCTGTGTGCAAGAAGTTTATGCAGAACCCTCTTGAGATCTACGTTGACGACGAGGCCAAGCTCACTCTCCACGGTCTTCAACAATTCTACATTAAGATGGACGAACGTGAGAAGAACAGAAAGCTCAATGAATTGCTCGACACTCTGGAGTTCAACCAGGTCTGCATCTTTGTGCGGTCCGTTCCTCGTGCAAATGAGCTCAACCGTATCTTGACCGATTGTAACTTCCCCAGTATTTGTATTCACTCCCAGATGAGCCAGGACGAACGTATCAAGCGTTACAAGTCGTTCAAGGACTTTGAGAAGCGTATTATGGTAGCCACCGATATTTTCGGTCGTGGTATCGATATTGAACGTGTTAATATTGTTATCAACTATGATATGCCCGACAGTGCTGATACATATCTCCATCGTGTTGGTCGTGCCGGTCGTTTTGGTACCAAGGGTCTCGGCATTACCTTCGTCTCCGATGAGAAGGACTCAGATGTTCTCAAGGATGTCCAGAGCCGCTTCGAGATCAACATTGTCCCTCTCCCTGAAGATATTGATATCAACACCTACATGACTTCCTAGTTTTTTTTATATATTAAAAGAATGTCCACATTTATTATTTCACACACACGCACACACATTCTATCTATCGCTCTCTATCTATCTCTCTGTCGTATTTCATATCTTTCCTCTTGCCCCCCCCCCCCTTTTTTTATTTTTCTCTTCTATAAAATACAATTTTGATATGTTACACCATGTCTTAAAAACCCCACCAAGTTCAATTCCGTGTATCCAAGCTATTGTTACTATATATCAATAGGCCTACTCCATGTGCTTGTCTGTTCCTTGGGTGGATAACTTTGTTACAATGATTCGGAGATTTAATAGGTCCGGAAGGTCCGGAATACAGAAACGGTCCGGCTCATCCCTCAGTGAAATGGCCCTTTGAGTTCATTGACGATCAGCCTCTTTTCCTTGTAGTTGATAAAATGGTAGGCATATACGATTTTGTTATACGATAGAAGGCTGCAAACAACCTGCTGGATAAAGATGAACATGAGTCGACAATAAAACGCAGATACCGATGGATGGATCGCTTCAGAAAAAAATGATAAAAAAATCAAGACGCTGCAGACACCAAACACACAAAATACACAAAATACAATATACATAGGCAGGCAGACACTCGCTGAACATAATTGGAATCTGAATTCAACTATTGATTCAACCAGATTCACCAACCTCTTAAAATTCTTGGACAAATAGAATTGTGTAAATACTTACAGTATTTACATTTATCAAATTCTAGGGTATCGACCTTAAGAACCACCACGTCAAGAACTCAAACCGCACTGCCCCCAAGTCGGACAATGTCTACTTGGCTTTGTTGGTTAAGTTGTACCGCTTCCTTGCTCGCCGCACTGATGCCAACTTCAACAAGGTTGTCTTGAAGCGTCTCTTTATGTCCCGCGTTAACCGTCCCCCCGTCTCGGTCTCTCGCCTTGCCAAGTACGCTGCCACCAAGAGCGCCGCCAACAAGACCTTCGTCGTTGTTGGAACCATCACCGATGATGTCCGCATCTTGGACCTCCCCAAGTTGTCCATTGCTGCCCTTCACTTCACCAAGACTGCCAAGGCTCGCATCCTCAAGGCCGGTGGTGAGATCCTCACTCTTGATCAGCTTGCTCTCCGTGCCCCTACTGGTGCCAACACCGTCCTCATCCGTGGTTCTAAGAACTCCCGTGAGGCCGTTAAGCACTTCGGCATGGGTCCCCACAAGAACAAGAAGCCCTATGTTCGTTCCGAGGGTCGTAAGTTCGAGCGTGCTCGTGGTAAGCGTGCTTCCCGTGGCTTCAAGGTTTAATCGTATATATACAAGAATAAACACACAACAAAGCCTGGTGGTTTTCTTTATCCATTCATCAATCAGTCAAACAAGCAAAAACAGTGCGTGTGTGTGTGTGTGCGTGTGTGTGTGCATAATGAAGTAAATTGTCGGTGATTTAAACCGAGTTCGCAATGAGAATTGTCTGTACTCCCTTCATGTTCACACGCGTTTGAGCCTAGCTTTTATGATTTGTAGCTTATGGCTTTGTAAGGGACCTCTTGGAGATATGTTTACCGAAGCTAGAGTAGACTAAACACCATCCACTAAGGATGATAAGGAATATATATCATCCTGATAACTGGGTTATTTCCTTTCTCTTCCTTTCTCGAAATACGCACAAAAAAAATGCTGAAGAATAGGCTTGATTTTATGATATGTAACATATACAATTATATTGTATTTAAATTTTATTCTGTATTTGATGAAGTATATAGTGGTTTGGTAGTGGAGTGAATGTTTTTTTTTAGTTTAGTTTTGTTTTAATTCTTGCTAGCATTCTTGAGAGCTTCGATGTCTTTCTGGAGCTCGGCGGTGTGCTCCTGCTGCTTCTTGAGGGCCTCGCGCAGTAGCTTGATCTTTTCAGCATCCTGTGTCAAAATGAACGTGTTTCGGTTAATAAGGTCCGTTTATCCCCATTTCTCACTCTAATATGAATTGTCTAGACTTACGTGTGCGCGTGCCCACTGGTTCTCGAGGGCCTTCTCTTTCTCACCAAAGGCGCCTTTACTAGAGGCAGTGGCTCCCTCGGCTCCGCTCAGCGTGCTGGTATACCGGCTAGGAAGACGGATAGTAGAGCGAGTGGCAATGCGGGAAATAGTCTTGCTGAACATGGTTTGGAAGTGAATAAAAGTGAATAAGAAATGGATCAAGAGCAAGAGTATAAGAGAGAGAGAAAATCAATCTATTTATTCTCTTTATCACCCTTCGCGTCACCCTTCTTCTCTTGCTTGTGCACTGTTTCATTTTGACCAATCTTTTTTTTTTCTTTTTTCTTTTTGCATTTCCAAAATGAGCTGGTTGGTGAATTCTAGAATGTATACCAGTTTTATCGATACAACTAATTACTTTTTATACAATGCTGATGGCTCCAAAAATAAAACCTAAAAAAAAAGACCCATTTCAGAGGGTATTACAAAGGAAAACCTCTAATGACTGAATTGTAAAATCTAAGCATTAGATTTTTATCTTATATTATCTAGTCTCTAAATGTCCGAATGTTGGATATTTTAAATACGCCATTTGGTTTTTTAATGTAAGATGAATTTATTTTTAAATCCGACATTTGGAACCATCAGCACTGTGTATATAAGAATAATCAGGACCAAAGTAGTTTAAAAATACACCACAGGCACTTACTTTATTTATATTGTTAATACTTACTCACACTACTAATAGCCTATGACTTTAGCACACCACAAAACAGTATGTAGTTTTTTTTTTCATACAAAGATCAAAAAAAAATTAAGCAGGCTAAACTACTGTTGTGTACCAAGAAATAAAGTTTTCGTTATGGCGTGATACGCGGATTATTAAAATAATGCACCTGATCCAGTGAATCCTATATGTTTTTCTTTTTATTCTTTTGAGTCAACAGGTTCTGTGTATGGCCGAGAACGTAGACTAAGATTTCAATGCGGCTGTTCCGAGAACACTATAGATAATTAGAAGAAGAAGAAGAAGAAGAAGAGAGGGAGAATATTTTTCCTGAACTGAAAAGGCTTTTGTACTTTGCTATTTTTTTTATATATATTTTTTGCTTTCTCACTCATGGAAGAAACAAAGCTTACATATTGAAAGAGAAAAGCGAAAAATGAAAACTGTAAATATGTGGGGTGACAACCCCGCGAAGTATTATGCCTATTAGGACAAAACCTATAATTACCACATATTTATTTTATGGTTTTCTACCTTGTAGAAAGTGAGTGACCCCACATCACATATCCACTCCCAGGTCTTCATACACACGTACACAATTAAATTTATATATATATATAGTGTATGTGTAAATATTGTACCTACCAAGTTCAAACATGTAATAGAAAATAAGAAGATTGTACACGATCCTCTTGTAAGATATCTTATCTACATATGTGTTCCATTTACCATTTTCTTTTTCGGTCTTTATTCTTCTATGAAATACCTATTGATATGACTGATAGTAAGCCCAGTGTTCTACCTTTTTTTTTAAAAATTTTTTTTATATGTCAACAACAAGTAGTACTTAAAACAAGTTCATATCAAGCTTCTGAAAACTATAAGTCTAGATTGATATATGAGTTTATATGTCTGGTTTGTAATTTGTCCTGTAATTATCATTATATGCTTGGGTGTAATGAGAGAGAAAAATATTCTCTGTTGATGTAGTTCTTTTTATTTTGATTTCTTTTTGTATCTAACACATGTACAAGGAATCCTGATATGAAATTGATGATCGACTCTAAATACACACCCATATGTATCTTATTCTTCCCTCTGTAAATATTTATGTCATAGAAGGGAGATTTGATTGCCGGCTCTTTGCCGATTGAATATCGTCTACAGCCTTTGTAGATTCGTGAGCAGGAAGAAGAGAGATATCTAACAAAGGTAAATTCATCAAATATATATATATATATATATAAAGTCAGTTGTTAATACATATAATGGAAAGAGTTTTTTTTTTTAAAAAAAAAGGTAAAGAAAAACCCGATTTTACCTTCGTTCTTAATCAAGCGTGCTACTAGATCTGACATGCCACTTCCTGTGACATATTTTCTAGAAACACCATTAGGAAGCATAGGTACAGCCAAGATCTGCTTCAACTCTGCCTTCATTGCATTGATCTTTCGTTTCTTCTTCTCTTGGACTGCTTTGGTATCTGTGTTATTGCCTCTTCCCTTAATAACCTCGTCATCAAACACAAGATCCATATCTCTAGCCATGTTTCTCATCCAATTCTCTTCATGAGTAGCCTTGAAGTAAAGTAAAAAAAATAAATGAAAATTATTAGTAAAACTTGATTTTGGTTTTGGTTTTGGCTCTACTCACCTTGTTTTCTTGATGCTCAAGCTTATCAATTTCGGTGGCAAGGTTGACTCTCTTCTTCATTTCCTTGAGGACACTCAAGTCTACTGGGAAATCTGGGTATGGCTTTCCTTTTCTAAGGGTGTAACAGAGTTTTGTATACACTTTTTGCTCCTCGGGACCACAGAGAAGTAAAGAGACACCATCACGGTTTGCTCTTGCAGTACGACCACTGCGATGAACATAGATTTCTCCAGAACGGGGAAGTTGGTAATGAATAACATGGTCAACAAGTGGAATATCGAGACCTCTAGCAGCAACATCAGAGGCAATAAGAACGGCCTTGTCGTTGGTCTTGAAACTATAATGTTTTTTTTTTAAAAAAAAGTAAAGTGTTAATTCCAATGATTCTTTTAAAATACATTATTATCATCACTATTTTTAGTATTTGAAAATTACCGGTCCAAGCTCTTCAAACGCTGCTTTTGCTGCATTTGAGCGTGTAAGCCAAGAACTTCTACACCTAGTAGCTTGAAAGCAGGTACTAGGCGGCGCAAGGCATCAATACTGTTCACGAATACAATAGTACGACCTGGATAACGGGTCACAAAGTAATACACATAAAGATCCTTCTCAGTCTTTAAACAATCGATCTTTGCTTCAACCAAGCGTGAGGCAACCACATTCTCGGTGGTCATATCAATAATTGCCGGGTCTTTGTTTGTTAGTTCCAATCGGCTGAGAAGTTCCTCTAAAATATGTAGATATGTAAAAGTTAGATTTTGTAAGTATTGTTTTAATAACCAATTATTTACCCATAGATCCAGCGTTGTTTTTGCGAGTAGTATGCTTCTTCTTGACATTGAATCTCAAATCCTTGCCCAAGGTAGCGGTAAACACAAATGTTTGGTGAATACCATGAACTATTTCCCATATATAAATCATGTTAAAATCAAACCCATATTGTATTTTCCAAGATGAATCAAGAGGGAAATAAATCTTACCGGATGGTGTAGCTGGAACATCTTTCTGTTCTTCTGGCCATTCTGTTGTGTCTCTAATTTTTTTTTCATGGAGCACAATTAATATTATTTTTCTATATCTAAAATATTTTGCTTGTATAGACTTACTGTCTCTTGCTAGAAATAGCATTAAGAATATTTGTCAATTCGGCGAAATGGCCACGTTCGAGCATTCTGTCTGCTTCATCAAGGACCAGGAATTGGATGTGTTTCAACATGTTCAGATACTCTTCACTCTAAAATAAGCACAAGGTATATTAAATTCACTCTTCTTCTTATATTTTAGATGGTCAAACCACGGATATATACAAACCTCTGAGAAGATCTCCCAGAAACGACCAGGAGTAGCTACCACGATATCTGGCATGGTCTTGAGCACACGTTGTTGTTTCTGAATAGACATTCCTCCCACAATAACTTCAACCTATATATATATATTAAATAAACAAATAAATACTTTGTAAAGATATTTTAAGAAAGAAAGAAAAGGACTTACGCGGATGGGGGTAAAGATGGAGATATTTTGGATGTGGTTTCTGACCTGGATGGCCAATTCTCTGGTTGGTGTTAAGATCAAGGCACCAAGACCGTGCTTGCTCTTGTTAGTGAGCAAACGACGAACGATTGGGATACCAAAAGCAAGAGTTTTACCAGAACCCTACAAGATTATTCAACACACACACACATGAATATGGATATGAATATGAGTATGAGTAGATACACGATCTACTTACAGTCTCGGCAGCACCAATAATGTTACGACCTTGAAGAGCAACAGGAAGAACTTGTTCCTGAATTGGAGTAGGCTTTGTAAACTTTTGATATTTGAGGGCATCAGTAATGGCTTGGGGTAAATCCAATTGGCTCCATGCAGAAATGTCGACCTCTTTTTAAAGTAAATAAAAGATATTAGTTAAAATTACCCTTTCTTTTTCTTATCTTATTTTACAGTAACTGTATCCAAAAAATAATAAAAGAAAAACTTACTTGGATCAATGTCATCAACAGTAGGGCGACGTTTTCCTTCCTTCTCAGGCTTCGGTTCCTGCTGTTTGTCTTCTTTGACTTGCTTGTCCTTTTTGTCCTGTTTTGCCTTTGCATCCTTTGCGGCGACCTTGTCCTTTTTGGTCTGCAAAAGTTTTTCTTTTTTGGTTTTTACGGGAGAAGGCTCCTGGCTCTCCTCTGTATCAACTTGCATTTTATCGTCCTCCTCCTCTTCTTCTTCAGCATTTTCTTCCTCAACCTCTGCTTCCTCCTCTTCTTCTTCTTTGGATTCATCAGCAGCCATTGAAGCTTCGAGTTTCTGAACCTGTTTCTTCAACTTCTCCAATTTTTCCTTCTTTTTGGCCTCAAGTCTTTCTTTGAACGAAAGTTTCTTGGGTTTTTCTTCTGTGATAGTCTCTTCTTCCTGCTCAATATCTTCCATCTCCTCTACATCGGCCGCATCGGATACATCGTCTTCTTCTTGGTCTACTGCTGTTTTTGTTGTGGTTTTATTCGTAATTTTACCAATATCCTTAGCAGCAAGATCCTCATCAAAAGTGTCAATATCATAGTAGCTGTTCATTTCGCTTTCGTTCAAAGGTTCAGTGGGTTTTGCTTTTTGTCCAGGTTTACGGTTATCCTTTTTGATACGCTAACCAAAAAAAAAGTAAAAGAAAAAACATACACATATCCATATTAGAAAAAGAAGAAGAAGAAGAGAAAAAGATATATTCAATGGGCTTACTCTGAACTTGGCAATCTTTCCAGATTTATCGTCTCCCTCATACGTAACCTCGACATCGTCAATTTCTTCAAGACAAAGGAATCCTCCTGCATCGTCAGTCATAAGTCCGCCGGTGTTTGCAGAAACTTCTGTCCAATCCCAAGCATCGATTGCACCGAGATCTTCGTAAATCTTTCCAACCTTGATAGGTTTCTTTTGTAAGGCAGCCTCGAGCTTTCTCTTTTTACTGCTCATTGGGACCTTTTTGGCAACTAGAGGTTTGGCTTCTGTCTTGGGTGTAATGTCTGCTTCTACGAATTCTCCAAAGCCTCGTTTCTTTTGCTGCTTAGGTTTTACAGCCTGCTGCTGTTGCTGAGGTTTCTTTGTGGTGCTGGTAGCTCCTTTCTTTATTCCTGCTTTGGCCATTTGTCAAGATCAATAAATGTACAAATGAAAGAAAGTGGAAAGAAGAAAAAAAAAGTGCCTGAAAAACCATGTCACATTGAAAGTCACAGTGTGGGCATGAAAGTAGCCCTTTTCTTTCATTCAATAAAGAAGTTTATCTGGATACAGTATTTTTACTTGAGATTAAGACAAATTAAGAAATGTTTTAGACGAGTTAGAATATAAATATAGAAAGTCTGCTTACCTTCTACGAGCAAAACGAAGGCAAGCTTTTAGACGAAGAGAAATTAAGTTTTGAGATGAAATATTTGTTAATGTTCAGACGTCTTTTACCTGTAATTATCCAAGTATTTCAGGAGACAGGCTGTTTAAGCTATAGTTATTGAGCTGTCGTTGTTTCTGCTTTCTTGCTCGCTTTTATCAGATCTTTGGAAATTGGTTGGCCATATGAATTTTATATTTTTATTTCTGCATAAATATTTAGATTTACTAATCATCAATTTATCACGGTACAGCACAGTATATATATATCTTTATGTTAAGGTAGGTAGAGAGCGACCAAATTTTTTTTTGGTATTCTTGTTAGCGGCGGTGCTAATTATAATTGATAACGAAGAAAGAAGAACAAGAAAGCTGGCCCAAATTCTAAAATCAATGTGTCCAGAAAGTAAGCAACTAATCTTCTTCTTTTTTTTTTTGGAAGGCTCAACCAATTGAAACCCCCCACCATATATCGAAAACAGAACAAAGGTACAACTAATCGTATTTGGCGATGGAATGTTTGGGAAGGACTTAGTGAAGTTAAAAGGTTAATCCTTGTGGGGTAATTGGCAAGTTTTGGCACCCGTTGAAAAAGAGAGAAAAAGAGGGTGATCTTATCGCTGTAACAATCCCGTCACGGTATCGAAAACAGTTTGTCTCTTTGAGGCATTTGGACAATTACAGGTAAAATATCTAAGCATCAATGTCTGTTTGTCTAAAAATTAATTTCTCTTCGTCTAAAATTTTATTCTCGCTTCGTTTACAAAAAGTAAGCAGATTTTCTACATTTACGTTTTGATTCGTTCAAAACATTTCTTAAATTGTCTCAATCTCAAGTGGAACTGTAGTACGAAATGTACAAATTCAAAGGTTTTAAAGTAAATTACATTCCTCTTTCATAATACAGTGCTAGAACAAAACAAAAAAAAAATGAAATGAAATGAAGATGAAGATGAAAATAATATATATTTATATATAGGCATATAAGCATATATGTAAAGGTGCATCGAAATAATAGTAAAAGAAAAAAAGTCAAAGAAGTAGTATTTGTAGTTGTGGCAGTAGAAAATATAATGAGAAAGACAAAAGCATATTGGTTCAATTCTAAAAAGAAGGAAGAAATAAAAAAAAATAAAAAAATAAAAAATAAAGAGAAGAAGAAAAATGCCTCTGAACCACCCTCCCCTTTTTCTCTCTCTCTCTCTCTCATCCTCTTAATCCCCTTACTTATAGTTCATCCATCATTCCATCACCAATTTCATCAGTTTCCAAAAGGCTAAAAGAAAAATCAAGTAAATTGTTATTTATCATCATCTTCTTGTATTAGATATGCCCAATAAAAAAAAATCTTACCTGTATTGCTTCAAGAGAACACATTCACCGCCATTTTCAAGGTCAATATTGTATTGGTAAAATAATCCTTCTGATGAAATAACCATGACTTGAGGAGTAGTACTGACGAATGGGATGGATAAGAAAATCAAGTGTTGAGTACACAAAAAAAAACAGAGGACAAGCATAAAATTTCTATTTGGGCTTCAAGCTATTAGCTGAACTGTAGCTTACCTGCTCAGGGCAACCAGACTTCTTACACCTCCACTTGGTAGCTTTAGAGAAGCAAAATGTCTTGACGGCTCCCAGATTTCAGTGATGATTTCTGGCAAATAGGATCCAACACTGCGACCAATGTTCATAGAAGATCTACGGATCAATTGTCTACAAAAAACAAAACACACAGACCAACAAATTCGCAAAATCAATCAATCAATCAACATATACTTGTAGAGCTAAATTAAAATAAACTCCATTCTGTTTACCCCACACTCGAGTTCTTTGCACGCGGGTCTTTATTAGCTTCTTCTTTCCGATGTCCATTAGTAATGTGTTGGCTAGGAGGTCCTCTGGCTGCTAATTTGAATATATGCACCGTCTCTGTATCACTTGAAACACACAGGAGGGTACTGACAAGATTGAAGGACATTGAGAAGATTTTTGCGATATAAGATCCTCGTCTAAATTGATAAACCTTGACAGCTTTTGGGATCGAAAACACACGAATGACTGTACCCTATATTAGATATTTCAAATTATGATCAAGTTTTTGGTCAGTATAGAATTTTAAGAATAATAATAATAATAATAATAAAAATACTCTTTTTTTCTTTTTACCTTTTCACTAGCCGTTGCTAACAAAGTTCCGTCTGAATTCATTGAAATACAGCTAATAGGGCTCTTATGGGCCTGGACAATGCTAACAAGAGTGAGAGAAGATGCGTCAAAGATTTCGACGTCTCCGTTGGTATAGTCAGAGAGGTTTGAACCAGTAGTGGATGATCGAGATGGATAAGCAACAAAACAGTTTTCACTGGACGGGGATAAAGCACAGATAGCTTGTGGATACAATACATAATATAATACAAAATACATTACATTGCAGTACAGTAAAACAAAAAAAAGAAGGAAGTGGTTGTTAATACATTAATTAGACTTGGTCTACTGGCTGGCTGACATGCAGGATGACCTGCTTTGTTTCATTACCCGCTGGGTTCGGGCTGGTGTCAATCGTGTGGAGAAGCTTCATGTTACTTATATCATATACAAATATCTGTTCCTCCAACACTACTATCAACCGTCGACGATTCATTTTAATAGATAGGATACTTGTGGGGAACGTAAGCTCACAAATGGTTGATTGTCTCTAAAAGAAAAAGAAAAATACAAGTATATCAATATATGTATATAAATATATATATATATATTATACCTTTGTATTGATTATCTGTAGGTGTCTTGGTGAAAAGTTCTGTTGCTCTCCCGCGCCTACCAAGGCCACAAGAGAAGTGCAGAAAAGCATCTCGACAATTCCAGTTCCTCCTTCTACTTTTTATGATGAATGTCAAACAATGAGGTCGAAATGAAACCAATACAAAGAGAGAGAAAAAGAAAATAGAAGAAAAAGAGCGAGATAAAGATGGCTATATGGGCTAAGAGAGGTTAACTTACGCTTCGAATAGCATTTGCTGTAAGGGTCACAGTTGTAGATACGATAACCACTCTTCAACCCCACAGAAATACAACTGAAGTCTTGGTTGAAGTTGAGAAAAAGAAGCTCATTTGTACTCTTGTCACCCAGATTCATTACGCAGGCAAGAAAGATGTCGAGAAATTATAAATCCTTGACCTGCTGTCTCGACCTTTTTTTTTAAAAAAAAAAAACACTTTTACTTTCTCTCTCTCTCTATGCGTGTGTCTATCTCTATCTTTTGCCTGTACCCGTGTGACGCAACAGACATAAAATAAGTTTTGCGGGCATTAAATAAAGACAAAAAGGGGGTGGAGGGGGAAAGAGTAAGAGGGGTTCAAGCTATACTTCAAAAAGGTCCCAAGAAGAGTATACATACATATTATATATAAATAATATTGTTTTATGACAGTTTAAAGAAACGTCCATCTATTTTCGATTGTCCTTCTTTCCTTTCTTTCGTAATTTTTCTTCTGTTGGTCTTTGTATGTAAGCTTGGTAATTTAGACTTTTTTTTTCTCTCTATCTTTCTTTTTCTTTTCTTTTCTTTTCTTTACTGTCTGGCAACGACTTGAATGCTGTGTTTCTTTTGGAATTCGACAAACTCCTGCTCTTTACGCTTGTAGGATTGCAATAATGATTGAATGACCTGCTGGATCTACAAAAGCAAACAAAATGTCAAACCATCTATAATCTTTTTTTTTTCCTAAACAAAAAAAGTTCTTTGCATCTCTTACACCATTGTAGTTGGTCTCCAAAGCAGGGAGAACTTCCTTAACCGTTCGCTCGACCAATACACCACCAACCATACGGAAACACTTGCGACCAGGTTCAAGAGGAGAGATGCTATCGATCACGAGCCTGAATTTCTTGTCGATTAGTATAAAGCCCATACTTTTTTTTTCTATTCGACTATATTCTTTTCCTAAGAAAAGAAATGAAAAGAAATGAAAACTCACTTGTGTTCTTCTACTTCTGACTCAAGTTCACCAATCTTCTGGGCAAGTGATTGGAGCTCACCCTTGTATTGATTGTACTATAGATGGAGTGAGTCTTTTTTTTGTTTTTTGTTTTTGGTGGGTTCTCATCTCATCTTGGTGAATGACTTGTGCTTTATTTTATTTTATTTTACTTGTTGAGTAATCTCTGCCTCGGTAAGCTTCTTTGTTGACATTGCTGAGTATTAATGAAAGTATATATATGTAAAAAGGTATATATCTTTGCTTTATTAAAGAAAAGAGAATGAAAAGATGGTTATGTGAGACGCGTTTTATAAAGTAGATGAAGCACTATTTTCTCGGACAGACACACATACAGCACACACACACACACACACACTTTTTTTTTAGGGTAGGAGGAACGGAAGGATCTTGGAAGTGAGAACTCTATTAAATTACCGCTTTGGATGATTTTCTATTGCGTCACGCCACCTGTGGCTTGACCTTATATATATATATATATCTATACTCATTTTAATGAAGTATATAAACTTTGGAAATCTTCGTTGTTATACCAGTAATAATAAACACATTGTGTCTGGAATGGAGACAGCCAAAAGTCTATTAATTGCAGTTCCTGTTATTTATATTACATCTACAATACAATAATTATTATAAGCGTTTGAAAATATTTCAAAGAAAGAAAGAACGGAGACATGCTTGATCATAACTAGCGTCTGTCTTTTCGAACGTCGAATTAATATCAATCATAAAACAAAAGAAGATACAGAAGCCAAAAGTCGGATAAACTATGAAATGTGCTCTTTTTTTAAAAATAAAATACGTTGATTTATAAGAAATGAAGCAGTTTTATTGAGGATTCTTAGAGGAAATTTTGCATAAAAACTTACTTTTACGGATAAATTATGTATCATAGGATTATTTTGTGAAATTAAGAAGCATTATAGTCTTTTATAGAGAGACTATTCTATCAAGTAGAGCTTAAGGTGCGGTTAATAAATTTTAATCTGCTCCAAGAAAAAAAATACACTTGCCTTGGATTGAAATTGACTTATTGCCAACCCTGACGAAATGTAAAGAAGAAAAAGAATACATCTCTGTTTCTCACATTAAATAAGTTATCAAAGACAAAAATCACACGATCTTCAATACTGAGGCAAAACTTCACAAATACTTGCTGTTATTCTTGCCCAGTCCTCCAACAAACCAACCTCTAGCTCCATTGTTTCTTTGAAATTGTGATTGGCTTTATAAGCGAGATTATTATGGAATGAAACTTCAAAAAGAGAAAGAAGGTGAAATAAAAGAGGGTTTGCTTTGCATACGTATGCGTACAAAAAAAAAGCCGGTCGTAGTTGGAAGTAAGTCAATTTAGACGTGAGAAAGTGTATGGTGGTATAACCTTTTCAATCGTGTATCAAGTAACTTCATCATTTTTTTTAAAAAGTCTTGTCTTTGCCAATGAACTGCCTTTCTTTTATAGTCTGATTACAGTTTATTTACCATAAGCCTTTGTGTGAGTGAGTGAGTGAGTGAGTGAATGTGTGTGTGTGTCTGTGTCTGTGTTTTTATATTTATATTTATATTTATACGGAGGTTCGTTATAATAAATCAACACTAATCCGTCTTGACTGCATTCTTATTTTTCTTGGCAACCTTTGGGTCTGCAGGAATACCTCCGACTAAACGCACACCCAAAATGATAGCATCCACAATTTTGCGCACAGGATAGAATATGGGTAAAGTGTTGGGTAAGTTCCACTCTGAGCGAGCAGCATCTCCAGATGCCACAGACACACCAAAAGACCCGGTTGGCTGAGGAGTAGCCATAGTAGCCATGATGATATACTAAAAAGTAAAAAAAAAAAAAAGAGAGAGAGAAATAGTTAAACAAATAAGTAAAATAGATTGCTCAAAATAAAAACATCAAAATTAGCATTGAGATCCCCCGATCATTCTCTTGTTATTTCCTCCTTTCTCTTTCGTTTTTCTAAGCCAAGATTCTACTTACGCTGGGATAAATCAATGCAAAGATTACACCGGAACGTATAACTGACAAGAAGAATGTCAGAATAGTACCGGGAACACCTAAAGTCACACATGCACACCTAATGTTAGCCAATGTATCCTTCACATCATCATGTCCTTCTTAAATAATACAAATTTCGTACCAAATCCAAGGAAAAATGCCCAGTGACGTTCAAGATATGATAAACACTGTTCCATGTTCCATCCAAGATATGACCATTTATACCTTTTACAAAGCACGAATTATGAGTATCATATATATATATATTTCTTTGTTAATAAAGAAAAACATAAAGGGTGGTAATAAATAACACTTACTCAAAGCAATAGTAAGACATTATAGCACAATTCATCACAAAAGAAAGCGGGATACCGATATGTGGGATTGTGTATAAGAAGAACGCAAATACGGCGGCAGCAATGTAAAACAGAATCATATATATTGTCTCTGCTGCACTCTGGACTACATTGTTGAATCCATTTCCAGCAACTGAAGGACCTGACTTATTGTTACTGGTTCTAGAAAGCTGGACCTTGTAAGCCTTTTCTGCCACAGGCCCATAGAATTTTCCATTCAGAACCAGTAATATGATATACATCGGATAGCCATAAAGACTCTATTTTATATTTATATATGCAAATAGTTGTCAGTTAGTTGACGCGTGAACAGTAGTCAGGTTTTCGTGTTTCTTTTTTTTTTCATGGTTTTGTGGATGTATATATATATATATATATATATTGTTTGGTTTGGGTTCTTTTGGTTTCATACGTACGGCATAACTGTAACCAAATAAACGATGCTTTTCGGTATTATAGAAAGTCTCTAGAATTACAAGACCACCAAGATGAACAATACCATTGGCGATAAACACTTTTAGCATGGATTGTTGTATGGTTGAAGATCTAATGTAGAATGATTAGACAGACATTAAAAAAAAAAGCCGAAAAATAAAAGAAAGTGAAATAAAGTAAAGGTACGGCAAGGTAAGCTAAACTTAGGGTAAGGTAAGGCAAGTTAAGTCAAGTCAAGGTAAAGAGAAAAGAAGAAGAAGAAGAAGAAGAAGAAGAAGAAACACTTGCGAATAAAAGAGTATAAAGGTCTTTGGCCAGTTGAAGGACTGTTGGAGGCCATTTAAGAAATAGCTCCAATGGCGAGAGGCCGGTGATGTTGAAGAGGTTGCCATGGTAGAGTATTCTCAAAGACAACTTAATATATATATATATATATAATAAGTATATAAATATATGTGCACAAGGTATTTTAAAATATATAAATATAAATATAAATATAAATATAAATATATATAAAAGGGATTCTTGTGGTAACTGTGGTCTTATGAATTTTTGCTTCTTTGCTTCTTTCTTTCTTTCTTTTATATTAAAAATAAAAACTCGTGTTTATGGAAATAAAAAGTCCGCATCCAAATGGTTAACCTACACAACAGGTTACTAGTATTAAAAGTATACATGTCTTTAAGCGTACCCGTATGTATATATATATATATATATATGCGTAGGTATAGATGTAGATGTAAATTTAGAGATTATGACTTGTGATTAAAGCCTCTTTTTATATATGAATTATTATTTTTACCCAACATAAGATCTACTCAAGATTTTTCTCTTTATTTTTATTTAATTGATTTCTTACTTTCTCTATTAAGCCATAAACAAAAGAATGACTACTTGGTTACAAAAATTGAATTTTAATCTACAGTACCTTATATATGCTAATGTTCGTAAAATCTAATCAAGACTAAAAAATAAATAAATCTATTATTAAAAAGTGAACAATGAAGCTCTAACTGTCTGAGTTTGAATACCATTCAACAGTCTCCGCAGTCACTTCAAATCCATCTTTCTTTCTTTCACTTTTTTTTTTTTTTTTTTGTGTCTAATACTCTTGTGCATTTTTATATTATATTATATTATATTATATAAAAGTATAATATAATATATAGTATATAATAAACCTATATACCTATATAAATATATATATATATATATATAATTATATATCTATACATAAACAAACAAACACTATATACATATTTATTTATTTTTACATACATACATACATACATACATACATTTTACATATATAAACAAAGAAGAAGAAGAATAAGAAATGTCAGCCATCTATAAGAAAATGAAGGCTGCTGCTGCTCTTGCCGCGACAGGAGAGCCTATGCAGGAGGGACAGAAGATCGTTGCTCAATTCAAGTCGTCCGATGGAGATGTCACAGGTCCCCCTCTCAATTTGCCCGGAGATGTCACACCTGAACAACTCGAACTTTTGTTGAATCAACTTTTGGAACAAGTAAATCAAATCATTTCATTCTTAATCAAACGATCTATTGAGATCTATAGTACATAATTTATTTATTCTTCTAAGAAAAAAAAAACAAGAAAATTAACAATCCATGTCTCATTAGTCTGAAGATCCTCTTCCTTACTCTTTCCATGTCGGTGAAGATGAGATCCTGAAGAATCTGTGGATCGATCGCAAGGACAAATCTACCGAAGACACCATCACAATTGTCTATCAGCCTCAGGCCGTGTTCCGTGTTCGTGCCGTATCTCGCTGTACATCCACCTTGTCAGGACACACAGAGGCTATTTTGTCAGTGTCATTTAGTCCCAATGGTGCTCAATTGGCTACCGGTTCAGGTAAATTAAAAATTTTAATTGAATTAAATACAACACCAAAAAAATAAATAAATGGGGTGGGTGGGATTTAGTGAATTGGATTTATATGCCTATACATTTTGTCCATGTTGATCTATTGTATTTATCTTTTTATCTTTTTTTTTTTCTTTTCGGACATACTGTATTTAGGTGATGCCACTGTCCGGATATGGGATTTGAATACAGAAACACCACAGCATACTTTGAAGGGTAAGAATATAATATAATGTGATGTAACGTAGATATGGATTAAGCTTGGCATTAGATTTGTGGTATTGACACTGTTTGTCAATTGTTTTTTAAAAGGTCATACAAGCTGGGTATTGTCTATTGCGTGGTCCCCTGATGGTAAGACCTTGGCTTCTGGAAGTATGGATAACACTGTAAGTTTGATTAAAAGAAGAACAGATATATTGATACACTGTTGATTATAATTTTTTTCTGTTCTAATTTTCTTATATATTTATGTCTTTTAGGTTAGATTATGGGATCCCAAGACTGGCAAGGCGTTGGGCGATGCTTTAAAGGGACATACAAAATGGATCACAGCATTGGCATGGGAACCTTACCATTTGTAAGCTAAATTTTTTTTTTATATATTGATTAAAATAATAATAATAATAATCTTTTGTAGGAATTCAAAGGCAAACCGTCTTGCAAGTTCATCAAAGGATAGTACTATCCGTGTATGGGATACTACTCTGAGAAAGATCTCCATGACGATTTCGCAGCACACAGCCGCTGTCACATGTGTCAAGTGGGGTGGAGAGGGGCTTATCTATTCTGCTTCTCAAGACAAGACAATCAAAGTCTGGAATTCTAGCGTAAGTCTCTCTTTTATCTGTATATTATATTATATTTTCTGGGGGGGTCTGTGTGTGTTACATGAGTACAAAAAATAAAGTAAAAAATATGTATGTATGTATATTCATTGTTCTCTTCTTTTGTGTTTAGGGTGCACTTGTCAAAACTCTACAGGGTCACGGTCATTGGGTAAGTTACAAAAATCCCAAGAGAAAAAAAAAAAAAAAAAAAAAACCTTTGTGATTATCAAGATTGAAATTAATTTATTTTTTGAAAAATAAAAATAATAATAGGTCAATTCACTTGCTCTTAGCACTGATTTTGTTCTTCGTACTGGACCATTTGACCACACTGGCAAACGTTATGCTTCTGAAGAAGAATGTAAATATCTTTTTTTTTTTTTAAAAAAAAAAACCCCCATTCTTATTTATTATATTATTTATTATATAGCCAAGGCTGCTGCTCTTGCACGATACAAGGCATTCAAGGGAAACAAGCCCGAGCGTTTGGTATCTGGCTCTGATGATTTTACCATGTTCTTCTGGGAACCCGAAGCCAGCAAGAAGCCAATTACCCGTATGACTGGCCACCAAAAGCTAGTCAACCATGTCAGTTTCTCTCCCGACGGCCGCATGATTGCCAGTGCTTCGTTTGATAACTCTGTAAAGCTGTGGGATGGCATGACAGGCAAGTTTATCGGCAATCTGAGAGGACACGTTGGTGCAGTATACCAGGTCTGTTGGTCGAGCGATTCGCGCATGCTGATCAGTAGCAGTAAAGACAGCACCCTGAAGATCTGGGACATCAAGAAGATGAAGATCAAGATGGATTTGCCTGGTCATTTGGATGAGGTGTTTGCTGTCGACTGGTCCCCAGGAGGAGACAAGGTAGCAAGTGGAGGAAAAGATAAGCAATTGAAGATCTGGAGACATTAAAAGAAAAGTAACATCACACATCATCACTATAAGTAATAGAAGCAAAAAACAATGATAATGAATATGAATATGTACTTTTCTTTATCATTATAATTATCATTTATCTTTAAGAAATATATATATATAATACACACAAAGACATTCAAACAGACAGACAGACATGAAATTGAAACATCAATATACTTCTTTGAAAAGGACTTTTTTTTTTTTCTGTTTGACATCATCATCGTCAACTTTTACTACACTTTAAACTCTACTCACCATTTACTCACACTATACTCACTATACAATCTACTTGTATGTATATATGTATATATGTATATAATAAACAAAAAAGGAAATCATGACGTTGAGACCATGTCTCAGCCCTAAATAAATAAATAAATAAAAATAATTTTTTTTTAAAAAAAATAAAAAATAAAAAATTAGTGAGTCAGTCAAATCAAGTCAAGTCAGTGAATTATTTATTTATTTATTTATTTATTTATTTATTTTTCCACCACTTTCTTTTCTTCTTCAATAATTTTTATTTCAAAAAAAAAAAAGAAATAAATATTAAATAAATAAATTAAAAAATAATAATAAAAATAATATATATAATTTGATATATATTTACAAAAAAAAAAAGAAGAAAGAAAGAAAGAAAAACTATTTTCCGGAATCATCAAGAATCGAATCGAATCGAATCGGATCGAATTGAATTGAATTGAAATATCATGACACTCTTTATTGGTAAATTGCCTTCTGATTTCAGAGAAAGTGATCTTGAAGACACTTTTTACAAGTATGGCAAGATCACAAGATGTGAAGTCAAGGTAAACTATTAAAGAAGAATGAAGTAATTTATTGGTCATTTATTCTAATCTTTATTTTATTGGTCTTGTTTCTTTTCTAGAGAGGTGTCAGTTTCTGTAAGTCATATTATACTATATTATAAAATTAAAGAAAAAAAAAAGGATTCAATTTGAATTTGATCTTTTTTTTTTTTTTTTAATTTAATTCAATTCATTTCAATTCAATTGATATTTATATATTTGTTGTAAGCCTATGGCTTTGTAGAGTTTGAAGACAAGTATGATGCTGAAGATGCCTTGAGAGCTACAGACGGAATGGTTCGTATCTATACAATGTTTATATAATATATATATATATATATATATATAAAAGAGAATTAATATTAAACAATATATTTGTAGGATATTGACGGTGTTCGTATTATCGTCGAACACGCCAAGAGCAAGGCACGTAGATCTGATGATCGCACATGTTTCCGTTGTGGTGACGAAGGTAAATAACACAATGATTGAACCCCCCCTCTTCAAACAAAAAAAAAAGTTCAATTTTTTTTATCACTCACTCAATCAATTAAACTAAATTATCATTATTTTTCTATCAGGTCATTGGGCTAGAGATTGCCGTTCCAGACCCAGGTAAATTAATAGTAACAAATCGTAGTATTCTTGCTGCCTTGGTTTTCTGTTTATCAGTGGGTTTCTCTTGCTTGGCTGCCTTCTCTATCTCTTTATCACTCTTTTGAATGATCCTTTCTTAAAAAAGTGTATGAGATAAAGATGGCAACAAAAAAAGAGAGAAAGTATGGGAGTAAGAGTGTAAAAATATAGTATAGTATAGTATAGTATAGTATAGTTGTGGTGGAGTGGAAGGGATCTGTTTGGTGCGTGCAAAATCTCCTCTTCTTTTGCTCTGTTTATTTTCATAGCGGCAAGGAAACAAGGGTCTTTTATTTTTTTTATGTACATAAAAATTTACAAAAGTCTGCCGCCCGCTCTTTTTGCCCACCTTCCATTCCACTTGAGAAAAAAAAACATTTAATTATCAATCAATCAATTCACTCTTACTCCATACAAATCCGCTTGAAGAAGAATCCAAGGCATATATATATATATATATATATATATATATATATATGTATAATACTCTTTCTTTATTTTTGTCTTAATTACCCTAAAGGACAACAACAAAATACTAAAACTCTATATTTTTATATGTAAATTCAATAGCCACAGACGCAGCTACTCCAGAGACCGTAGCTACTCTCGAGACCGCCCTCGTAGACGCCATAGAAGCCCCAGCTACTCCCGATCGCGCTCTCCCAGACGCCACAGACACCGTAGCTACACTCCCTCCCGGTCTAGATCGCCTGTCAGACACCACAGCCACCATAGCCAACACCACCACCACCGCGATGATCGCCTTGACTCTCCTCTGCCTCCCCGCGATCGAATGCGCTCTCCTCGCCGGGACTCCAGAGACGACATGATGCGTTCTCCACGCCGCGACTCCCGAGATGACAGCAGAGCTCGCTCTCCTCCTCCTCCTCCTCTGTCTTCTCACCCTCACACTTCTTCTTCTGTTTCTCCCCTTCCCCATTCAGAATCCCGTATGCGTTCCCGCAGCCCAGCCCCTCCCTCCCATCATCACCATGACGAAGAACACCATAGCCATCGCCAAGAAGACGAACAACAAGGTGACTATGAGCGTGAGCCTGAGCGTGAGCCTGAGCATGAGCATGAGCACGGACAGGATCGCGAACAGGATCGCGAACAGGATCGCGAACAGGAGCATGAGCGTGATGAAGAGCGCGACGGTAGGTCACGACTGGACGAACCCGAGAGACTCGCTGAAAACAGTGGGTCTGGGGATGAACAAGAATAAAAGAATAATAATAATAATAATAATAATTTTTTTTTTCAAAAAAAAAAAAAAAGAACCAAATCTCTATAATTATTATTATTTCTCTTTCTTTCTTATATTTTATATTTTTCAATATCAAAATATCAAATATAAATTATCATTATGTAAAAAAAAAAAAAAAAAAAAAAAAAAAATTGGTATAGGATTATATTTTAGAAGCAAAATAAATAAATAATAAAAAAAAAAAAAGGCAACATTAACACCACCAACAACAGAAAGAAAAGAAAGAATCATAAATAAACTCAATTATACATTAGATTATTTTCAATGCTGTGACTTGATAGCCAAATCGAATAAAGGGAGGATATGATAAACTTAAAGTGCGCGCAAAAGATGACAATTCTTGACAATGCGATTGAATTGACTATAAAGAATATTTATGTACCTCTTTTTTCTTAAAATGTGCCAGATCATAAACTGCACGGTCGTATGGAATAAATAGCATGAAAGATACACAAGAAAGAAAAGAGTGAAACTGTATTGTTGGTGCGTGTGGTGAGTTTGTAACTAGTTGTATGGTAGTGCAACAGAAAGAAAGATAAGAAAAGAAAATTGTAAGCAAGGTTGTTAAAGACATACAGAAGATTTACCTTTATAGGCAATACGGATACGCATGGAATTGACCCAAAATAGAGTAAAATCGCAGACGCACTGTCGCTAAACCTACCCAGCAATACCAAAAAGAAAAGAAAAAGTGAATAGGCTTGGGATATCTCTTTTAAAGTATTAAATCCTAACAATCGAGATTTCCTTAAACAAGGGACGATCTGAAAGACTTTTTTGTTTTTTGTTTTAAGCTTATTAGCATTATTCTTATTATTTTATCGTTAATTATCGCACCATTTAAAATACAATAAAAATAAGAGTAAAGCATGTATTTTCCACTTACTTGTGCCACTAAAATTTATTTATTTATTTATTTATTTTAGAAAACGAAGATCAAATAATAATAATAATAATAATAATAAAAGGCCCCCCCAAATAACGACAATGACAATGACAATGACAAAAGAACAAGGTACAAAACAGAAATTATATAATAGATCGACAGGAAAATTACAACAACAAAAAAGAAACTTTTCAGAATTTAGTTATTGTACTCTTCTTTAAATAAATAAATAAATAAATAAAATATTATGTAGGTATAAATTGTTTAAAGGGGAGGTGAATATGAAAGGAAAGTGAAGTAAAGGGGAGGAGGAGGGTTATGGTATTGAGCATAAAGATATCTTTTTATTTATTTTTTTGATCTGTTTAGGGTATTCCGATCGGCCTATCTTTTCCTTTTTGCTTATTAAAGCCAAACAACCAACCAACCAACCAACCAAAGATTATTACAACCTTGCCTTTAACCATGCATTACTCCTCTCTTCAAATGACACTCCTGAGCACACAACTTTAAACACTAAATACCATAACTAGAAAGTCATAATAATACAAATAAAAGAGGGGGGTGTAACACAAAATCAAGATACGAATATAAATACCTTACTTCTCCAAACCTCCTCCTCATCTACTTCTACTTCTACTTCTACTTCTACTTCTTCATTAGTTAACCATTCCAATTCTCTATCATAAATAATAAAGAAGAAGAAGAAGAAGAAGATGCTCTTTAGCTTTGGTATCACTCAAAAAGACACCTGCTCTTTCCTTAAGAAACTCATCAAGAAACCTACCCAGGTTTCAATCGAATCAAACTACCTCGCTCAACCCTCTCCCGCTCTCTCACCCTGGACCGATACCCGTCCTTCATCTACTCCAACCCTCTCTCAAACCACTCCTATTGTAGATCAACAGTGGCCTGTCTCAAAAACAATCACCAGTCACACCAATAAATCCACTACACCAAACTCATCCCTATCCTCCAGAACCGCCACATCCTCCTCAACCTCATCTCCAGCCAGTCTCCGCAAAAGACCTCATAGCAACGAATCAATCAACAGGTGGATCAACCAGCGTCCAACATCATCTATTGCCTCATCAATCCAATCCCGTCAATCATCGACCATTCGCTCAAAAGCAGCCCAAAAGCAGTACCAACACTATCAATCAAACTCTATTCAATCAACCTCAATGTCTTCCATTGGTCGCAGCCGGTCCCGCTCTTCCTCAGTCGCAAACAACACCGCACGCGCCCTGGCTCTCTTGCCCGAACCTTTGCCTGCTCAGCAACACCAACAGCTGCTTTGCCTACAAGATACCCTCCAGACCATTCCAGCTATGCCAAACAAGAGTGCCAAGTATGATCCGGTCGAATGGCCCGATGTGCTCTCGCGCGGAAACGACGAGCAGGATCGCATGGTCGCACAGCACTACATTCTCCGCACCGCATTTGGTGGCGATTTCTCGGCTCCTGCTCGATCCATGCTCGAAAAGGGCTGTGTGGTTCTGGACGTCGGCTGTGGTCCTGGCACCTGGACAATGGAGATGAGCACCGAGTTCCCAAACTCGAGTTTCATTGGCATCGACTGTCTGAATGCCTTTCCGCGCGACATCAAGCCAAAGAACTGCCACTTTAGAACATGTACAGTTGGCCAGCAATCGTCTACCACACTAGCGTCTCTGCCGTTTCCTGACAACAGCATTGACTACATCTTCCAGCGTGATCTGAATCTTGGTCTGCAGGCACATATGTGGAGTCCGTTGGTTAAAGAATATCTACGAATCCTTAAACCTGGAGGATGGGTAGAACTAATGGAACCTGTAAGTCTCTTTTTTTTTCTATATATATATAAAACAAAGTCTTTGTATCCATAGAAACACTCCAACTAATACAATTCTTTTTGGCTTTATAGGATATGGAAACACAAAGTAGTCTTCGAAACGAGTGTGCCATGAATGACAAACGTAAGTTATCTTTAAATTTTATTTTAAATTGTTTAAAAATATATATTTTATTAATAACTTTTTTTTTGTTATATTTAGTTCTTTATGGCCTTTCGCTTCGTCAACAAGACCCTTATGTTGGTCGTCGTCTTCCTTCGATTCTGGCTGTCAATGGGTTCAGACGGGTGGAAAGCGAATTCCAATCTCTTCCTCTTGGATGGGGCAGCAGTCATGCATCCCCTTTGAGCTCTCCTACACAACCCACACATCCCAACGCAAGTGAAAGTAACCCTCGTAATCCAAGTTTACCAGTCGACCTTTCACCACCTTGTTCCGAGTTTGCCAGAGCAGTCTCCAGCCACTATTTGTTTACCCTCCAGTCTCTTCAGCCCTGGTTATCTGCAGTGATCAACATCAGTCCTGAAAAATATGCTGCCACAATTTCCAACTTGCCGGCCGAGTGGAAACAAGCGCGCACTTATATTAACTGGCATTGCGCAGTTGCCCAGAAACCAAGAACGGAAGAACCCTTCTAAAGAAAAGGCAGAAACTTGCAAAGAAAAAAAAAAAATCTTAAAAGTGACTTTATTGTTGTCCCTTGCATACCAATATCACTCCACTATTATTTGCTATTACCACTACCATTTTCTTATTATTATTATCATATTGATTCTATTGATTCTTTTGTCTATATATTCTCCCTATTTATTTATTTATTTATTTATTTATGTTACCCACTCACTCACTCCCAATTGACTGTATAATATTCTCTTTGCGTCTATTCCTTCCTCTCTCCCACACATACATACAACTGGTATATTCGTCTGTCCTTGATGGATATGTACAAACCACAAATAAGAATAATGAATCAACCAACCAACCAACCAATCAACCCAAAAATAAACTAAAATCCATGCCTTATAATGCCTGAAGCTTTCAAAAAACAATTTGGATATGTATATAAAATTACAAGTCAAGTCAATATACAATTTATAGTATCACTTGTCTGGATTTATCTGTGGCAATTGAGTGTGTATAAAATATAATAATAATAGCAAATACTATGATCGATGTTGCATTGGATTGCATTGCATTGATAATAAGGGATAAGTAATCAAACAGGTAGATGATTATATAGAGTTTATAAGGTGGGTAGCCAGGAACTAATGATCCTTTATGTAACTTGGACAGAGAGATCTAGAGTAATCGATGAATTGTATGTTGCGATCGTAAGAAACTTTATATTTTATATATATATATATATATATATATATAATATCTCTCCTTTTATTTGATTTGCTTACAGAATATTAAATTTACTTTTATGTAAATTATTAATCTACCCCCCCGGAAGCACAAACCCGGTTGATCAAATAGAGTAACTTTATATTTATATTCATACATATCAACATAAGCATCGTTATCATTATCATTGTAGAAAATAATGATCGTTAAAATCAAGTCAAATCATATACATATAACCCTTTAGAAGAAGAAGTCATAGCAATCGAATCGAAAATTTTCTTTTATATTCTTTCCACCCTTTCCCCTTCCCCTATTTATTTATTATTCTTATTATGATCCCATATACCAAAAACATAAAGGTGTATATATATTTGTATACAATTGTGTATTATAAAAGTATCCCTCTAAAAAAAAAGAGTCAAAAAATAATAATAATAATAATAATAATAATAATAATAATAATAATAATAGTGATGATGATGGCGTTGGTGGCGATGGAAAGAAGATAGATGTAAAAGTATAATCATACCCATGACTAGACCTGTATTTTGTAGTCTTCTCGCTGTTCCTTTTTGTTAAGGAAATAGATAAAGCAATGAATAAAAACAAAAGAAAGAAGGAAAGAAAAGAGTATAGATAGATCCCATTTTCGTTTTCTGTACACAAGAAAAAGAAAAAGAAAGGGCGATGTGACCTACAGTATATTTTGTGGGTATCTATACTATTACTATTACTATTCTATGATATGCTATGCTATGTATGATGCGTGTGGGTTTAAAACACAAAATCCCATGTTCAATTCCATGGGGTCAGGCCTATTCAAAGAAGCTGGTCTGTACGTACATCCGTACCTACATACGTAGTTCTCTTTATTTTATATATATATATATATACATGGCTGTTATCAATTGCGCACCGGCCACAGTCATTAGACCTTTAATACGCATATACCCCCACCAGCACCCACACAAATATCCATATAAATACATGCACACATGCACATACTCAACTTGGATTACTAAATATGGGTGGACTATAGTATCATTAATGCACTGATTGCCATGGATATGTTCCGAGTATGATTCCATTAGTAAAACAAAGAAATAAAGAAAGAAAGGAAAGACTAGTTACATGAATAGATGGATATATTTTTACACATCTTGTGTAAACTAGAGTTGCCATGGGGATGTGAGAATATTTTTTGTTGTTATTGTTGATGTTGGCTCAGATGTCTTGTACAAAAATAAAATAAAATAAAATAAAAAATTAATCCAGTATCAAGCAAGATGAATAGAGTTCTTCAAATGAGACTTGTAAAGATTGTATTCTATTCAATACATAAAGAAAAGATGTATTTTCTTTTCTTTTGTTGTTAGTCATTTACTTGGCTTATATTTCTCGGTAACTAAGCAACCTTGCTTGCATATTTTATCAAGTTTCCCGGCTATAATGTAATGAATAATTGATATTATGATTATGAGTGAGCAAGACATACAAGATATATAAATATAATATGGTAATTAACCAAGCAGATAGATGAATAGAATAGAATAAAATAAAATAAAATATAGAAAAGTCCCTTGCTTTCATGAGAATTTGGTACTCTCGATCACCCAACATCATGGGTGTTATTGACTACGTTTTTTTTTTGTTGCATACACCCCATGACATTTAACTTTTATTTCCTGTATTATTTTTATTATTTTTATTCTCTATCTTTTTGCCTTGATTTTCTGCTTAAATAAATATATAATTCAATTGAATTCAATTAAATTCAATTCAACAAAATAATATTTATATTTATATTTATATATATAAATATTTGAATTTAATAAGGTTTGAACCATAAGAGTATACGCTTCCTATTTGCTTAGATAGGTACCACCAAGGATTAAACATTAGATTCCTATTGGCCTCTAACAAATGTGCAGGCTCGGAATTACAAGTTTTGCCATTTCCTACAGCTGTGTTTGTGTGTGACTAGATCAAGATACTGTACGACAGAAACAAACGACAAAACAAGGATGTTTTCTTTTTTTTTTCAATACAGATTTTGACTAGTGAGTTATATACCTATATATAAATATATAAATATAATTGAATGGTATTCTATACAAGATCTTGGTTAATCAATGACGCAGATACATGCTTTTATTTTTATTTTATCTATTTATTTATTTATTTATTTATTTAAAAAAAAACATTGTTAGAAGGTTTGATTATAAAGGCTAGTAGTATTGATTAATCTTGGTCACTCTTTCTATATAAAAGAGAGAGTTGGTGTCAAGAATGTGGTTAATAATATATGGCATGTAATATAAAAAAATTATACAAAATGAAAATAATTTGGCGTGGGATTATTGTTATTATTATTATTAAAGAGTATATATATATATATAGGAGAAGTAATATTCTATTATTACTATATGAATACATAAAGTATTATTATTTTGACATGGATTATCGTATGAAATACGTCTAATCAATATCAATACAAAAATACATCTTATTAATTAACAATATTATTCTAGGCTTAGGCTTAGGATTGTTATGTATGTATAAATGTGCATTTGAAATTCAATTCAAAAATAATAATAATAATAATAATAATAATAACGATTGAAACTACAGAAATAACGTAATTTTGTTTCAAAATAAAAATTATAATAATATTATATTCTTGGATGTTAAAATGGTCTGATAAAAAGATTATCACAAATCAATAGGATGATTGATTGATTTGTGATAATCTTCTCTAAAAAAATAATAATATTAATATTTTTTACTCTCAATCTTTTATCTTACACACTTTCAAGTTACATATATCCTTTCTGTTTATCTTGTGTGTCTTGACTTTACAAAATATATATATTTGCTATTAAAATCATTCATTTCTTTGTTAGAAAGGAGTCCCAGATATTTTGTACCTCAAACGTGTATTGAATGTTTTATAACCCCACAAAAGAACAACAAAGAAAAATAATATTTATTTATTTATTTATCTGGTTGATGAAATTCACTTTACGTTTTATGTACAGATCTCTTACTATTAGCCTTTATATATCTTTGCATGCAATATTATTAATAAATCTAAAACAACATCTATTGATCTATTCTTCTTCAACTTTAGGTGTGTCTAGCCACCAAATGACATGCAAATTTCATTCATAGTAATATGTTATCTGTGTCTGTGTCTATCTGTTCGAAAATCACCTTTCTTAAATGTTATCATCATCATCCTTCTTTTTTATTCTACTGTCCAGTGTAGGGTGTGGCAAAGAATAGCAAGGTAGACCAGGTACAAACAGAGCAGGGCAGGGCAGGGTAGTTTAAAGAAAATGGCCTAAATATCATCTGATTATTTATTACTGAAAATCAAGTAGATTTATATGTATTAAAAAGATATGTATATGTATTTGTGTGTGTGTTACTTTGAGCATTTACGATAGTTGTTACTACACGTTTCATACAAAACAAATAAATAAATAACTAAAGAAATAGTTGGATAAAATATTATTTGATTATTGTTTTTTTTTGTTCTTGTTAGTATGAGAACAAAAGGTACAAATATTTGGATATTATTTGTATATAAGCAGTTTTTTTTTTCTTTTTTCTTTTTTCTATTTAAAATAAAAATAATATAGGATGAATTCAATTTCTCTCACACCAGAATTGAAACAAGGGCACAGGCACCAAGAATTTTCTTGTATTTTTATTTTTGGTAAAATATGAAAAGGTTTATAAAGTAACGTTTGGTGTAGCCTATTTTATTTTTAATTTTTAATTTTGAAAATAAAAAACATTTATAAAATAATAATAGTATTTATTATACTAGTATGGATTATCAATGTAAAAAGGAAAGAATAAAATAGAATAGAAAGCAGTGTGAGCGGATAGACCAACCAACCAATATACATATAGATAGATATATAGATATGTAAGGTGGACTGGTGGGTAAAATGGTCGAGTAAGGCATGTAAGGAAAGGCAAGACAAGGTGTATAGATTTATATATGGGTTTTGTACCACAGAGTACGAGAACAAAAAAAAAAGAAGTTAAATCACAAGTGTTCCCCATTCCAAAGGGTCACCGTTCACCACATTCATATATAATTATATATATATATATATATATATATTTGTAATTGTGTAGTACATTGTCCTATTCTCGTGTCGACCCGACTCTTGTAAAACTATTCTTATGATTTTTATGATTTATTTATTTATTTTGTATATTAAAAATTCATGGTCCAAGCAAACCATCGATAATCATCAAGGTTTTCATTTTGTATTTTAGATTATATAATATGCTTATATACATTTTGAATATAATGTATATTTTATATATAAAGAAATTTATATTCTAGTTGAGGTAGTAAGCCCCATGTGTAGTATATGTATTTATGTCTTCTTTAATATAGAACAACAAGTTCCCAAATTCCCATGACAAGTGCTAGTACCAGGTTAGAATGATTTTTTATATATTTCTTTTAATATAAAATCTATATAAACCAGCCTGATTTTTTTATAATTAAAATAATCCCATCTTTTATATATATATAAACACAAAAAAAATATTGTATATAAAATCATTTCAAAACATACCAATTTCTTCCTTTCTCTTCCTTCTCTTTGTTCGATACAAAAAGACATTTTATATATATATATATATATATAAATACATTGCTATTATGCTCAGCTCTACAATGATCACCCAGTCATCCTTCGTTCACCACTATAATTTCCATCAGCACAGCACAAAATTATTGGCCGCCCCTCTGTCAAAGCCCCACGAAGGGCCAGCATCTAAATATACCTATCGACCATGTCCTATCTGCTCAGAGCGTCTTCTTGTTCGTATATACGGTGCATTTGTACACAAATGGATCAACCTCCACTTTGCCACACACCACCATGAATTCATGCACATTGTAGTCAACCTACATTAAAAAAAAACATTCGCACGCACATACACATAGTCGACCTTTAATCCATTCAATCAATCTTCCCGACTCAACCAAACCCAAACCAGACCAAAGAAGATTAAGATTAAGACGATAATTTAAGAAGAACAAAAACACACATATATATATTTCAACATCATACAAACGCAAATTTCCTTTCATTCTTTCAATTCAAAAATTCAACATTTCATTGTATATACACATAACACACTCCACATTCAAAAAAAAATCACATATATATCAAACACTCAAAAAAAAAAACTCACAACACATACCATACATACATAATATACATAATATACATATTCATACACATCAAAAAAAAATCCCTCCTTTGAATTTCCCATCTACCTATTTGTTTGTCTGTATCCTTGTCTTTTTCATCCTGTAAAGCCCAAAGACAATATATATATATATATATATAATACTTTTCATTTTATAAACAAAACTCAACACAAATCAAACATCTTTTTCTTTTTCAGTAAATTGTAGATATAAATATATTATACATACATACATACATACATACATACATACATACATTATACCCAACCAACCCACCCATCTCCTTGTCTCAATATATATATTATATGTATATTGCTTTTATTTCACAATTTCAAATATAAATAAATAAAACTCAAGCAAATTTGAATAATAATAATAATAATAATAATAATAATAATAATATTTTGATTGATTGATTGATTGATTGATTGATTTACCCATTTACCCATTTATTTATTTATTTATTTATTTATTTATTTATTTATTTATTTATGTGTCTTGTTCATGAGGCTTATGTAGAATAGTCTCTGTATTTAAAACTTCTGGTTCCTTTGTAGATTCAATGGATTTGGCATCCGAACTCAAACTCTCGGTAGGTTGAGGTTGCTGAACATTGTCACTCTCATTGCCAGACTTTTCGGAAACCAGAGATTCTTGTTCCTTTTCTTTTGGTTCCAAAACATCATCATTTTCAACAGGATCCGATAGTTCTGTCGATTGACTGTGTTGGGGTACCTTTGGTGGTAATGATGATAACGATAGCTCATCATTACTGCCATTACCCTCCACTCCTTCTATTTCTTTTCCTTTTGGTTCTTGTTCTTGTTCACTTATCGATTGCGCTTCTTTAATCTCTTTCTGATACGCCTCTTCCTCAGCCGCATATCGCTCACTCAACTGCTTTTTTTCTTCCTCAGCCGAAAGCACAGGCTCGACTTCTAGCGGTGGCGGAATCCTGAATCCTCCGGCGTCAATGCGCTGTCGGTAAGGTATACCCGGTCCACCACTGCCGTTACTTCCAGGCGGTCCCATGAATTGTTGCTGAAACTCACTATAGGTCCGTTGCTGGGCACCTCCCTGTTGTTGGCGCATAGAGACGTGGCGGAACAGTTGTTGATAGTTTGTTTGGTATGACACTGGTCCAGCATATTGTTGAGGGGGGTACATTCCGACCGGTTCTCCTCCTCCTCCTACACTACCATGTAATGACGAGTGTGGCAGGAATGGAGAGCTGTTATATCCTGGTGCTCCAATACCACTACCACTACCACTACCACTACCACTACCACTACCGTTGCTACCCGTGCTTCCAATACTATTACTGCTAGTGCTGGCGTTCATATTGATGTTCATGTTGTTTGCTCCCAAATGGGCGTGGGACTGGAAAGGTGACTCAAATACCCCAGGCTCAACCAACTGCTTATCCTCATGTTGTTTACCTTGAAATCATTACATAATCAGTCCATCATTTCAAAAAAAAAGAAAGTTTTCTCTTTGGCTACTGCTATCCTTATTACCAACTCAAATACTTACTGGATGAGCTGTCATCGTTACCATAGGCAGGCGGCGGAACATTGTCGTACAGAGGGTAAGGAATTCTGTCCTGGCTCGGATTTGCCAAGGAATAGAGGTGGCTTGGTGGCTGTTGGAAAGATCTTCTTGGCGGTAAGCTAGGTCCAAACGAACTACTGCTTGTATTGTACTCGGGCTGATAAAAGTAATGGTCGCCTTTTGCTTTGAGCTGGCCACTCTCTTGATCCATCGTATATACACTACTGGCATCATCCATACTCATCGTGTCAGAATCCATCATTCCTGGAATAGCCAGGGTTGCTCTCTGCTCTCCCTCCGCCGGACTCCAGGCCTCGAGGGCCAGCAGACAGTCCTGGACGATTGTGCTGGCCACCTCTTCGTTCTCATATGGTCTGCGGGTTGTCTGGCCAGCCGGGGTGGGGTCGATATCGAGGAGGTCGACCAGATAGTTTCCAAATCCTGCCAGGATTGCTGACTTTTCAGCAAATTCATTCATCGCATTGAACCGCAGATAGAATGCCTCGCGAAGTGCAAACCGTTTGAAATCGCCCATCTCCATCTCGGTCTCTAGGGTGTCTTTCTGCAAAGCATCGAGTTCCTTTTGAAACTCGATCTTCTTTGGCGACTTGGGGTTGGTCTTGGCCAGGTGTGTGATCCGTGCCTGAAGAGTCTTCTTTTTTTCGCGCATCTCGGATAACTGTTCCTCTCTTTCTCTGATTGCCTTTATAGCATGGCGATACTGTCTGTATTTACCTATTATCATCATTATTGTTATTATTGTTATTATTATTTTATATAATATAATATTAACGCTTTACTTTACCAGCATATTGCTTTTCGAGATCAACTTGCTTATCCAATAATTTGCACAGCTTACTAACAATATCCTTTTTTTTTGTATATGTGTTTAGTTATTTAGAAATAAAGAAATAGTATTAAATAGCCTATAAGTACTATAGTGAGCACTACTCCCTCCCCTCTCCCTCAGACCCAAGTACTATATACTACTCATATAAAGAAGAAAGAAAGCTGTAATCTTACTTCGAGGTCACGGCTATCAGGTCCTGCTTCTTGTCTTTCTTCAGTGGCCCACTCCATCAACATGCGATTGGTCTCTGAATGCTGATAAGACAATGAGCGCATTGAAGCAAGATCGGTACGTTCTTTGTAAATCCACATCGAGAGTGCCTTTGTGTCTTGTCTCTGGAGCGGATTGTTTCGAACCATTTGAGTTCTGACATCGGTAGTTAGGCGACTGAGTGAATATTGTAAGTCTTTAAGCATATTTTTCTTTTTTGTGTGTGTGTGTATGTTTTTTTAATAAATAAAAAAAGAAAGGCAAGAGAACAAACAAACAAATAATAATAATAAAAAAAAAGAGGTGGGAAAATATTATATTATGTTACTATGGATATAATTATTATTGTTCTTATTAAAGATGGCTGTGCCTATCTGCTTTTCTGTAGACTATAACTGTGTGTACCAATACAATACAATACAATACAATTTTTATTTTTATTTTTATTTTTACTTACTTTGGTGTCTTGGTTACTGTCTGATGATGATGATGATGATGACACGGCCATTAGTATCAAAAAGGAATTTGGTACTACATCCAAGAATAAATCAAACCAAATTGAATTCATACAGTGTATTCTTTACTTATTATATTTTTTATTTATATGTATATTTGCCAAGGTAGCTTATACAAACGCTTATGGACACATACAGTCCATCAACTCTCAAATGGATCCATTTAACCGATTCTATTTAAAATAGGCTTTTAAGCAGTTTTCAAAAGGACCTTTTTTTCCCTTTTTTTTTTTTTTTAGTGTTTGAATGGTAACAGGATTCAGTTATTATTTGTGCGAGTATTTTCAGACTCCATAAGCTGGTTAAGCTTTACTTTACTTTATTTCTATTTTATTTTACAGAAACTTAATTTTTTTTTCAAATTTTTATTTATTTATTTAACGATCATCAGGGCTATTGTCCATATCATAAGCTTGGTCTATCCACCTTTCTTGAATATCTCTGACGTCTTCGTGGTAGCCTGCCTGCATGGCCGTCAGCATGATCGATTCATTTCCTTCTGTCAGACCACCGAACACAAATCCACCGGCCTTGTCGATCACCTGCTGCAGTTTCATCATCGATCCCTTGTCCTCGACACAAAGAGTGTAAAAGCCGACTAGTGAGAAGTCTTCGATCAGATCACATAGTGCCCGGTTGAGAGCCTTAAACTTTGATCCAAACGGGTCTTCGTTTAGAGACTCCAACAGGTACGACAAGTTCATGACATCAGTGTAATATTCAAGATTGAACCCTTTTTTTTTCGTATGTTTATGTGAGTGTGTTAAATTATGACGAGCTATTTCGAAAATATCTATGTTTATATGTATTGCTTACTAAGTTTTCCGTAGGATTCAATAAGATCAATCTTTGACAGAACATTGACGTGAGGAAGTTCCAGCATCACCATGGTCTTGAGTGACAAGAGTAGGACCGAAATATACTTTGCAGGGTCTGTGCAATAGTGAGCATCTACCATATGAACAGCCACCAGCTAATAATGAATAATCCAAATATATATATATAAGAAAAATGTAGGGTTTAATATCGTACACATTCTTTTCTTCCTTCCTTTCTTCCTTTCTTTCTTTCTTTGATATTTACTCTATAGTCCAGCTTTTCTAATTTAGCCAAAATGTCCTTGACAGCTGTGTGGTGGGTGAAAAGTTCTACTTGACCAGGAAAATCAAATAGAATATAATGATCTAAACAAAGATAAATAAATTAATACACACATTAAGAGAAAGTGAGTTTGAGATAAAGATATATACTATAAATATTCCATAAATAATAATAATAATAATAGTAGTAGTAGTAGTAGTATATTAGTAATCAAAAGGATACCTTTGATTGGTTTCAATTGCTCAACAAGCCAATCGAGATTCTTCAAGAGATATTCAAGACAAAACATGATTCCTCCATTGGGCCCTAATTCAAGGTCTTTCATTGTGTCTTCCAAGGTAATCAGATCGGCAATGTTAACTGCGCAGGGATAAGGAATGTGATCATTGGCAGGATCAAGATTGACAATCGCGACCTTTCTACAACAAACAATAAAAGCATAAAAAGAGAGCAAAAAAGAAAAGTATTATTGTTATTGTTATTGTTATTAATGAAGAGTTGGTAAATCAAGATTCCTAAATAAAATGTACAAAAAAAATTAAAAACGCACCTCCCCATTGCTGTCAGGTATTGATATGCACCCCAACAATAAGTCGTCTTTCCTGAACCTGGAGGGCCTACAATAATCTATGCCACAAACAGACAGACAGACAGACAAACAAACAAGCAAACAAACAAAAAACAGATGCATACACGTACACATACACACAGACAAGTACAACGTACGTACAGACGTATAATTGTAGACATAATATATATAAATTTTATTAATATTCATATTAATAGTATTGAATTGGATTGGATTGGAGTTTGTGTTTATGGAAAGGAAAGAGAAGAGAGTAAACATTGGACTGTTGGGTATTTAGAGAGTATATTAAAGAAAGACGTACTTGTCCAAATGGCATGTTGAATCTGTTGTTTGTAGTTAAATGCGAATGTGAATGTGAATGCGAATGTATACAGTGCCGCCAAAGCCAATTCGTGCTAGTTTTTTTTTTTAAAAAAAAAATTCCACCATTTCATTGGCTCATTTCGCACTTTTGTTGGGCCTCAATTTGCACTTTTTCAGTCACCAAATTACATCTTTGTAAATTTCAAATTGTGCTTTTCTTTCTTTCTTTGCAACTATTAAATAAAATAAATACTAATACGCTCTACTATGAAAACAGCCAAGAAAAAGTTCTTGATAAAGCTGGGAATGAGGCAATGAACTGGAAGGAACATCTGGATACTTTCAGCATCATATCATTAATGAAGTCGAGCCAGTACCAGAAAATTTCAAAAGCCACCAGAGGAGGTTCTCCAGCAATTAGATCAAGACGTTGAAGAGGCAGTCGAAGAAATACAGAAATACAAGTCAACGTATAACGTATACTCGGAAAAACAAAGAACACTTTTCTATTACTTCAACAGAATAAAACTGCTGAAAGCTGCCCCCTGCTGGTAGAAATGCAGGGATTAACGTGCGCACTGCACAAGATTGGGGGAAGAGATTGAAAGAAGATCCAAATTGGATTATTTACGGAAAAAAATCACACACCAACAAAGTTAACCTTAAGTAATTTCAGCTGCAAAAAGAGCATAAGCAGCAACTCCCTGAGTTTTTTTTCGAAAAGAATCCTCAGACAAATAAACAAGATGCAGTCAACAGTTTGGCTCAGGATTTCGAAGTGTGATATACACCCCACAATTGAGTGAAGAAAAAACTCCACAACCAAGCACTGATTCCTTCTTGCTAATGAACCTGGCAAGTTAGCAATCTTCGGAATTGTTACACACCAGGCACACGTACAATACACGCTCATACAGTGTAAACCAAGCATTACACAACAGGGATTTGAATTACAAGAATTTTAATAGTAACAGATATAAGCAATATTATTTTGTCTCTTTAATTAAAATAACACTCACAGTATCTAATTTTCTCATTATTGAGATAATAACCTGATAACAATTCCGAATACCTCATGTTGCAAGCGTTCTTTATGCTGATTGCTTGATGCTTCGATGACTAGCTGTTCTTTGCCATGCATATCGCAGCCCAAACCGTCGACGTATCTGAGCGCTGATGAAGTCCATAAACTTACATTCATATTCATTCGTAAAGATTGCTGGAGATTGTCCTCACATCATTGAAAATTCAGGCAATCAGTCTGTTGGCCAAATGTTTATAATATTAGAACCACTTATTTCACAAATTATGTGCGCTCATGTCTGCTTTCACGTTGATGTAAGCTTGTTGATCGATCGATAAAATCAGCCAGAGCAAATTGGAGTGTTTTAATTAACTGCTTTTCCATTATGTTGATCGTGTTTGGGTAAGACTGGGTCTATGCCCAAGATGGTAGTATTTCTGGAGATTGATCAAGTGCGTTCAGAAGCATGGTGTGTACGATAGGAAATCTCTTCAGATATTTCATTGTCGTTTGGTCTTTTTCATGTTTCGCCAAAAGCTGTGACAAAGGCTGAGGTAAGCTTGGAGTTGTAAAGCGTCACAATGATTACAATGTCTTCAAGAGATGTAATAGTTTTTTCTAGTATTTTTGAGACGTCATTATATTGTCGCGTAGGTTTGAGAAAAGTGAGGATCGTATTGCTGTATTTCGAAATTGACACGCTGCCTTGTCTTGCACATTGTCTGTTGGGTGTAGCGTTAGTTTAATTCTGAAAATGATTGGCTGTGACGAATCTTCAAAAAATGAAAAACGAGCATCCAAGCATCTAAAAAAATAGTTCGATACTCTAGATGTCGTGACTTGGCCGAAATTTTGTAAATTTTGTACTTTATGTACGATTGATGGCAAAGTTCATATAGAAGCAAAGTCAAAACCAAGCCATAATCAATCTATATAAAAGTAGTTATCTTGATACCAAATTATAGAAGTCTAACTTAATTGTGAGGAATTTGGGCATAGGCACTATATTTATGGGTACTCTAATCAAGCGTATTGTACATATGAATTTTGACATATATGAGAGAAAACATATCAACCAAGGGTCATTAGGGGGTTTCACCAGTCTTTTTTCGATACTTATTATTATTGGCTGGTGCTTAAACTACCGCTATATCCAACAGTCAAGCATCCAAAGCTGGTGAAACCCCCTATTCAGAGAACTTTAATAAATCTGAGCCTGTCACAGCTCCATACAAACAAAAAATTGATTCTACTGGACAACAAATCATGGACTTTTTGCCGGCATCAAATAATTATATCTGGTCCCTAAAGATACAGAATATTCGTATAAAGACTTTTGTGCTTTGCAGAAAAAAAAAGGGATGAGTGGGGATTACTTACCAGTTGGTACTTTAAACTCTGGTAATATATATATGTGAAAGATAAAAACATGATACACTTAAGAAGGCCAATAAATAGTAAAATATGCAACAAGACTGCGTCACACTCTAATGACAACAACTTCTTATGATCTTCTACATAACTGGCTATTGATATATATATATTTAGGACACACCATTTTGCCCTGAAAGATTAGAGAAAGATACCGGGCCCCGGACATGTAGTTACAATTTATTAGTCCGGTTAGATAGTAATGTCGTGCCCAACCAAGAAACGTTGTTCCCGTAATATTTCTGATTAGAAAATGTCGTCCCCCTAATATCAACGAAATAAGATCAATGATTTTCAGTCTATGACCAGACAAAACTGCACAAAAAAAAAGAAGTCAACTTTTGGCAAGTATTCAAGGCTTTCATATATATATATACATACATGAGTATAAATATATGTAAGTGTATAGATATAGATTGATCGCATTTCATTTCATTTTATTTAAAGGTATCTCTAAAGCATGACGTGCTCTATTCGCTTATATATATTCGGGTGTGTATGTATAAAATTCTCATTACTCTTTACTATTCTTCTTCTTCTTCTTTATCTTTTTGGTATAATTTATTGTTATTATTATTAATTCTGCATCTTTGGTAGTATTGACGTTGGTATTGTTGCTGTTGTGTGAATATGCTTTTCTTCTTTTTCTTCTTTGTCTTTAAATTCCAGTCCATTTCTTCTCGTCACTTGTGAAAGGAAATACAGTCGACTGTTGAAAAGATTGGTTCTTTTCGGTATCATGATGCCATGGTAAATGTGCCATTGGAGGTTGATCTACGGTAGGAGCAGCATTTGAACACAATGGAATGCTGACATAATCGTCGGATGGGTATGATCCAGAGAATCTCTGGCTAGGTAGTGAGCTGTAACGATCATCGAATTCGATAACAATAGCCTGTGATTGTTTGTACATTAATTAGTTATTTAAAATTGATTAATAAATGATTTAATCAATTAATTGATCAAACAAGCGAGTAATTCATATGTATGTATATATAGAAGAAGTTTTGGTTTTATTATTATTTTAAAGTAATAATTTTAATCTCTTTATCTATATAACCTACATAAGATGTCTTGAACCCAAGAATTTGATGTGGATCTGATTTGTTGAGGTGGTGGCCATTTTTACTCAATCGATAGTTTACACCACGAATGTTCTGTGTAGCATTGACTTGGCTGCAAATCTCCAGGATTGCAAATTCAAACTAAAAGAGAGAAAATTAATATCAATAGCAGTAGCGATAATGAATTACTTGAATACTAATAATAACAATTAGTAGTAGCTTGTTATATTGGTATTCTATTCTATTCTATTGTACTGTACTATATTTTATATTAAATACATATTATATTTACCTGCTGTTGGGTTCGTCTGTACCCCCACACAAATAATGCAGTGCTCATCACCATTACAAGAAGCAGGGGTATTAGAGTATGGTTTGCTTTAAAGTGAATTCTCACAATGTGAGCCAAGACGGCAGTCAGCATCCAGAAAACCCAGAGAGTACACAACCAGATTGCCTTGCTGCCTGGAGGAGGGCAACGATGAGCAGCCTGGTTGAATAAATTGATGGTCGAGCAAAAACTCTTTCTAGATAACTACATGTCAAATAATATAGATAGATAATAAATTTTGTTAATAATATTCTAATCGTTTCTCTTTTGTATATATCAGATAATAATAATAATTATAGTAATTTACATAGTGCTGGAGATCAAATGTGTATTGATCATCAAATCGCTTATTCATCATTGGAAGCTGTACGGACTTCATTATTTGCTCTTGTTATTATTGTTATTAGTCAAAGGAAAAAATAATAATAGAGAGAAAGCTATGTAGAGCGAGAACCAAAATCCAAAAGAAAGAAGGAAAGAGAAGAAGAAGAAAAAAAAAATTAAACAAGTTTCTTGGAGTGTATCTAATGTCTTTTTCTTTTCTTTTTTCTTTTCTTCTTTTGTATATATATATGTGTGTGTGTGTATAGAAGTGGTGGATATTGAGGTGGTGAAGGAGATTCGCATTAAGGGAGACATTGTCTATCTTTACAAAGAAATAAGGGGGGGGGGGGGGGGGGGGGGGGGGGGGGAAATTCTGCCCCGCTTTATTAAACTTTTACAAAAAATTAAAATTTTA